TTGAGACTAGGTGTTACACTTAATTGTACCTGCTTCATCGCCCAATTTACCATGCAAATCTTCCAATCTTTTTAATTTGGCCGGCGAAACATTGATTGAAATTAGTCACAAAATATGTTCATGAATGTAAACATCCATATGGAGCAGTCTAGTGTAATTGAACTTGTTACTTTTTTAAATTTATTTGGACGGGGCTTAAAATTTTAGAAAAGAAGCCCTTAATATCAAATAAATTACTTAATATAACATCATCCTGTAATGTTTCGGAACACAGTGAATTTCACTTTCAAAAGAAATCTTTTTCCAATCGACGTGCCTAAAGTATTACTGAATATATCATTTGATCAATAGAGTGATTTGATGATTTGGAATGTAATTATGTTGTAGGAATAATAAGTGGCGATTGTATTTAATTTTGCTTCACAGCAACACCCGTATTGACCGAGCCGACTGTTGGTGACGAGTGCATTGCACCGGGGGAAGCATCAATTCCAGTGTCATGGGATCAAGTGAGCGCAACCAACTCAGATGGTCAAGCAATAACTTGTTGGGATGATGCAGGGGGAACCAGTGTAACAGTCACAGGAGGAGACTTTCCAGTAGGCTCTCATAATGTAACCTGCACTGTGACCAATGATGGTGGTTGCATGGCATCAGCATACTTCACCTTCGATGTAATCGGTAAGATTTGATTTCTAATTGACACCCTTTGAAACATGATTAAAGTCAACCCGATTTTTTTCTAAAGTTCTTTGCATTGTTTAGAGGCCAGCATTTTGATAAAAGATGGATCTTTTGAGACTAGGTGTTACACTTAATTGTACCTGCTTCATCCCCCAATTTACCATGCAAATCTTCCAATTTTTTTCAATTTGGCCGGTGAAACATTGATTGAAATTAGTCACAAAATATGTTCATGAATGTAACATCCTTATGGAGCAGTCTAGTGTACTTGAACTTGTTACTTTTTATATTGATTTTGACGGGGCATAACATTTTAGACCAAGAAGCCCTTAATATCAAATTAATTACTTAATATAACATCATCCTGTAATGTTTTGGAACACAGTGAATTTCACTTTAAAAGTAAATCTTTCCAATTGACGTGCCTATGGTATTACTGAATATATCATTTATTCAATAGAGTGATTTGATGATTTGGAATGTAATTATGTTGTAGGAATAATAAGTGGCGATTGTATTTAATTTTGCTTCACAGCAACACCCGTTTTGACCGTGCCGACTGTTGGTGACGAGTGCATTGCACCGGGGGAAGCATCAATTCCAGTGTCATGGGATCAAGTGAGCGCAACCAACTCAGATGGTCAAGCAATCACTTGTACGGATGATGCAGGCGGAACCAGTGTAACAGTCACAGGAGGAGACTTTCCAGTAGGCTCTCATAATGTAACCTGCACTGTGACCAATGATGGTGGTTGCACGGCATCAGCATACTTCACCTTCGATGTAATCGGTAAGATTTGATTTGTAATTGACACCCTTGGAAATATGATTGAAGTCAACCGGATTTTTTTTCGAAAGTTCTTTGCATTGTTTAGAGGCCAGCATTTTGATAAAAGATGGATCTTTTGAGACTAGGTGTTACACTTAATTGTACCTGCTTCATCGCCCAATTTACCATGCAAATCTTCCAATCTTTTTAATTTGGCCGGCGAAACATTGATTGAAATTAGTCACAAAATATGTTCATGAATGTTAACATCCGTATGGAGCAGTCTAGTGTACTTGAACTTGTTACTTTTTATATTGATTTCGACATGGCTTAAAATTTTAGACCAAGAAGCCCTTAATATCAAATTAATTACTTAATATAACATCATCCTGTAATGTTTTGGAACACAGTGAATTTCACTTTAAAAATAAATCTTTCCAATTGACGTGCCTATAGTATTACTGATTTTATCATTTAATCAATAGAGTGATTTGATGATTTGGAATGTAATTATGTTGTAGGAATTATAAGTGACGATTGTATTTTTTGCTTCACAGCAACACCACTTTTGACCGTGCCGACTGTTGGTGACGAGTGCATTGCACCGGGGGAAGCATCAATTCCAGTGTCATGGGATCAAGTGAGCGCAACCAACTCAGATGGTCAAGCAATAACTTGTACGGATGATGCAGGGGGAACCAGTGTAACAGTCACAGGAGGAGACTTTCCAGTAGGGTCTCATAATGTAACCTGCACTGTGACCATTGATGGTAGTTGCACGGCATCAGCATACTTCACATTCGTTATAAAAGGTGAGATTGTATTTCTAATCGACAAGTAATCAAGACAATACAAAATAGGAGTAACAGCTACAAGAGTACAGTGTAAATGCCTTTTTATTCTGTTTGTTTGCCTTGAAGGGGGTATGTAACAACAAAACTCTTTAATGTTGAATATTATGTTCAGGTCTGAAGATATCTTTTACCTTTTCAAAATCAAGACGTTTTGAAAATATTACTTAAATTCAGAATGAGTATGAAGGTCCCTGGCGGGAACCAGTGTAATTTTTGAAGCGCTTATTTTTTTGTTAAGTAAATAATGTGCCTAAGGTTGATTCAACCAGTATGGATAAGAGTAACATTTCAGACCTCATCATCTCACCTTAATGCATTAGTTATGTTGTAAATGATGTTCACACGAGAGTCACATGTGATTAATTTGAGAATTTTTTGACTATTTGCTTATCATTTTGACAACTACCAGACTGATGCTCTCATTTTTTTGGGAGGGGGGGGGGGGGTAAAAATGGATCAATCTCAAAAAGAGACATCAAAAAGTGTTTCCAGTTTCAAAGACATTTCAAATGTAATACTCTTAAAGGATATTGAGACTAATTTAATCTCAGATTTACAGAACATCACTGGTACTCTGTGGATAATAACAATGACAACAGAAACTCATATAGCGCCAAAATTCGATTTTCATACGGAGGATCTTTTTTGTTGGAGAAAAAATCATTCAGTGAAATGCATGACTATTCCACAGTGTTGCGGTGTAAAACTCGTAGCATTAATTATTTGCCTCTGAAGTAGTGCTGGTCAGTCTGCAAGAAATACAATTCTGAAAAAATAAATACATTTGCGCTCTATTGCCAAATTAAATGATGCAAAGTGATTGTCGTAAGGGTTAAGCAGGAGTTGATATAAAGGGAGGGGGGGGGGTAATTCATCGTTGACTTACATTTTATCTTCACCATACAACTTACAAACGTTTCGGCTGCAGCTGCTGGCATGACATATAAAGGAACACTATTTGTCAAACCTTGTTGCCTAAATTTGGCATTTTGTTCAATGTAATTTCTGATATCGGACGGGGTAATATGTTGTTTGTTTGCATGTGGGGTGGGGTGCTCGTGTGTTTATTGGGTTGGTCGTTGGCTTGTTTATATGTTGGGTTGTTTGTTTGTTTCTTGTTTTTATTTTTTTGGGTGTGTTTAAGGGTGCGGGTTGGTGTTTGTTCGGGAGCCCAAAACAGGGTTGGTCAGAAATAAGAACCAAAACATTTACAATAACACTTTCTATGTCGTGGGTAAAAATTTCATTTCAGTTCTTTATGTCAAATGACGTTTTAAAAATACGTGAGGAAGACCTTAGTTATTTCCCGACGTTGTTTGGTGGTGCTGTTTAAGTTTATATGGAGCGATGTAGAACAACATTATTTACATTGCCGACTTATCCACTAGTCAAGCTAGTTGCAAAGTTCACAAATGGTACATTGTTGCCGACTGAAAAGTAAATATACCTACCAAGTTACAAACAAATTCGGACCTTTGGTTCTACAAATATTGGCCTCAGAACATTCTCATTTAATTTGACGTCACATGACCTGTGACGATGTCATCGTAAAGTCTCTAAAATATTTACCTAAATCATATCCCTTTCTGTATCTATACAAATGTTCAACCCCAAATCGGATTTGTACTCAAGAAATTAAAAAGCCTCGAACAATTAATGACACATCATCTGACACACAATGGCGTCCTTGCAACAAAAATATTCAGGGACCGTCCGTGGGTGGTGGTCTATGTGTGTTCCAAGTCCGGAGTCGGTCTGGTTTGCAAAATGCCAAAGTGTATTGGTGGAAGCAAATTGTACAAACCTTATCGGGAAAATTAATGCACCTTTAATGTGACGTGACTTGACTTCCGATGACTTCATAGTGACAAAAATCTTGTTCCTAGGCCGTGTCAAGTTTGGAGTAACCACATCAAAGGCAGTTTCAAATCGGCATTAGAAAAAGAATCGTCTTCTTTTTTAAATCAACTGAGGACGTCATTTTGAGTCACTTCTATTTTTCTAAATATTATATTGTATAATGACATTAACTAGATATCGTCCAATTTGAATGACTATCTGACCTTCCCTTGTATGTGTTAAAAAACGTCATCATGGCGTTACGCACTTTTCTGCATTGCTGCACATTTAACAAATCAGTGAACAAATAATCTTGGCGGTTTTACATCAAAAACGCCTAATAGGTGGATTTGAAAATAATTTGGAGAGTAACACAGTGACCTGCGTAGTTATTCTACAGTGTGGATGCATAAAAGTCGTAGAGATCGTTTTCTTTGTCTGGGGTAATTAGATCATTTACTTTGTTGAGGCCAATTATAACAAAAAACATAATTCTTGTCAAGGTCAGACGCTTTTGAAATTTCTGATTGCACATACGATATAAATCAAATTGCCCTCTGTGTTGTAATTGAGTGTTTCCTTTTGCTGTTTAAAAATCTTTTCCCAAATTATAAGTAACGAAAAAGTTGGTGCCGTATTCAAAACTGGACATACTATGTGGAGTATGTGGGACAAGAAACGTCATTTAGTCCCGTTTGACATCAATTAACCTTTCTGGCAATAAACATTTGTAACATTGTCAGAAAATGCAGTATTGGATTTTCGAGTGATTCTTCATTGACTTGCGCCTGAGCATCTTTTTATGACAATTATTGCACGAAATTTAACAGTTGTATCGTGCTTTGCACCTAAAGATGTCTCTCGGTAAAGATTATTTGATTTAGACACATCAGCATAAATCAACAACCCCAAAAAACTAAAGTAATCACTAAATATGATGCCTCCCTGCATAAGTTGAGAGATGACTGTCAGTTGCACATTTGAATTCATAATCTCGATGGTTTTACATCATTAACGTCTAATAGATGGAGATATTCAATAATTTGCAGAGTAACTGTATTATTAAGATGATTAATGAAGATTGTATATTTCTGTTTCACAGTCATCCCTATAGTTTCCGTGCCGGTTGTTGAAGATGTATGCCTTGAAGACTCTCAAGGATCTGTTTCCGTGACATGGGATGAAATCACTTCCGCCGAAGGCCCTCCTGAAAACATCACTTGTACAGACTCTGTGGGAGGACAGGCAGTGTTTCCAACTGGAGGTTCATTTGGAGAAGGAAATCACACAGTGACCTGCGTACTTATTCTACCGTGTGGATGCATAAAAGTCGTAGAGATCACTTTCTATGTCTGGGGTAATCAGATCAGTTACTTTGTTGATGCCACTTATAAACAAAAATGTCAAGGTCAGACGCTTTTGAAAGAAGTGAATTTCAAAATCTCTGATTGCACATACGATATGAATCAAATTGCCTGCTGTGTTGTAATTGAGTGTTTCCTTTTGCTTTTTAAAATCTATTCCCAAATTATAAGTAACGAAAAAGTCGGTGCCGTAATCAAAACTGGACATACTATTTGGAGTATGTGGGACAAGAAACGTCATTTATTGCCGTTTGACATCAATGAACCTTTCTGGCAATAAACATTCGTAACATTGTCAGAAAATGCAGTATTGTATTTTCGAGTGATTCTTCATTGACTTGCGCCTGAGCATCTTTTTATGACAATTATTGCACGAAATTTAACAGTTGTATCGTGCTTTGCACCTTAAGATGTCTCTCGGTAAAGATTATTTGATTTAGACACATCAGCATAAATCAACAACCCCCCAAAAACTAAAGTAATCACTAAATATGATGCCTCCCTGCATTAGTTGAGATATGACTGTCAGTTGCACATTTGAATACATAATCTTGATGGTTTTACATCATTAACGTCCAATAGATGGAGATATTCAATAATTTGCAGAGTAACTGTATTATTGAGATGATTAATGAAGATTGTATATTTCTGCTTCACAGTCATCCCTATAGTTTCCGTGCCGGTTGTTGAAGATGCATGCCTTGAAGACTCTCAAGGATCTGTTTCCGTGACATGGGATGAAATCACTTCCGCCGAAGGCCCTCCTGAAAACATCACTTGTACAGACTCTGTGGGAGGACAGGCAGTGTCTCCAACTGGAGGTTCATTTGGAGAAGGAAATCACACAGTGACCTGCGTACTTATTCTACCGTGTGGATGCATAAAAGTCGTAGAGATCACTTTCTATGTCTGGGGTAATCAGATCATTTATTTTGTTGGGGCCAATTATAACACATCACATACTCTTAATCAACTTTTTGCAATGCTAAAGTATATGTGTGTGTTATTTTAACCACCAAACATTGTAAAGGCTCTCAGGCCCACATGCGTTTTGTTTTAGAATTAAATGTTTAATTGTTGGCCTCTTTTTTTTTGTGCATATCCTTAGTAACCAAAAGCTGGGCGCGGAATTTAAAACTGGAACAAGTGCGGACAAGAAACATGTTATTTTCTTTCTATTTGGCCTTAACCCTAAAGGGGCCGGGGGTGGGGGGGGGGGCGGAATCCGCCCCCCTCAACATTTTTTGTGATAGCCTCTAAACAATTTTTTTTCGCGACCCGAGCTCTTATGACTTTTTAGCCTCAAGCAGTGCGCATCTTTTGATACCAAAAACATAAAAATCGGAAAACGGGTTGCCGCGTAGCGAAATTTTTTCGGCGCTACGCTCCCTGAAACTGATTTTTCGCATATACGTCGTGTACACAAAGCAGAATTGCCATTCGTACATATGAATAATTAATTAGCCATAATTCCAAAACCCTTTCACCTATAGTCATGAAATTTCTTGGGTATGTTTAGGAAGAGTTGCTCTATGCATGTGCCGAGTTTCAAAAGTTTTCGTCACTCAATGGCCGAGATCTTGGGGGGGGGGGAGCGGAATCCGCCCCCCCCCCCACCTGGCTGAGAGATGGTCAAAATTACCCGGCCCCTTTAGGGTTAATGAACTTGTATGACAATATAAATGTAAGATGGCTTTTTGGTCTGAGACAGCCGCCATGAGCTAGTGAAGGCTTTATCGTGTCATTCAAAATGGTATGGTGCAAAGTAGAATATACAAAGGAGCTAAATCATTATGATCCACAAGTAAAACCAGTTGCCACTGTCATAAATAGTAATACTGCTCAAATAACAAATATACAATGTAAAAGTAACCTTGAAGTGTTATATCATATACATCGAATAGATTGAGTTGATCAATATTTGGTAGGTAACTATTTTAAATGGTTAATGAAAATTGATTATTTACCTTCACAGAACTACCCACAGTTATCGTTCCGGTAGTTGAAGATCAATGCATCGCAGAATCTCAAGGATCTGTGTCTGTGACATGGGATGAAATCACCGTTGTAGGCGCTTCACATTTAAACATCACTTGTACAGACTCTGTGGGAGGACAGGAAGTGTCTTCGACCGGGGGTTCATTTGGAGTAGAATGTCATACAGTGACCTGCATCGTTATTCTACCATGTGGATGCGTAAAAGAAGTGACTTTTACCTTTTATATCTGGGGTAAGATAATTTGATTTATTTCGACTGATCTTTCATGAGTCGTGCCTTTTTATTGTCTAATTGTCATAAAATCAGGCTTGTTTTTCAGATTGATGATGCATTCACCTGGAAGCGAATATATTTATTGAAAATGGTCACAACAGAATATTGCATTTGAAATGTGTAATGAGTCGGGTAGCTATTCATATAACTTGTCACTTTTTTTTTTAAATTTAGACATGACAATATTACGCAAACTTAAAATACACTACATCACTTAAAACAATGTCATCCTTGATAATTTAGAGAAGGTTGGCAATTCCACATCAATTGATTTTTTTTTTCATTTTATTATCGATCGTTGCTCAGTGATTTGTAGTTCGTTTGCATCATTGATATAATAAATAAATATTGTAAATTGCTCTGCAGCGATACCAAGATTTGATGTGCCGAATGTTGATGATCTGTACATTGCACATGGCCAAGCATCAGTTCCTGTGACATGGGATAAAGTAAACGCAACCAGCACAGATGGTCAAGCAATCACTTGTACGGATGATGCAGGGGGAACCAGTGTGACAGTCACAGGAGGAGACTTTCCAGCAGGGTCTCATAATGTAACCTGCACTGTGACCAATGATGGAAATTGCACGGCATTGGCATATTTCGCATTTGATGTACTAGGTAAGACTGAATTGGTAGTAATAAAACCTAAGACCATTCTGTGAGAAAGGATGGTGTGTTAAGTTGATTAAAGCCAATAACCTCTTATCACACAGCATAGGGGACTGTTAAATAACATTACATTATTTTAGAATCATCGTGAACGTCCAGCTGGAAGAAACTAGTTTAATTAATCGCGCCTAAGATCCGGGAGCAATTCAAATGGCAATACGATCACAATATTCATGTTTGTCATGTTTACATGTCTTGTCCATTGTATAACTTTAAATCAATCCTGTTCCACAACTTCAACAATTTCCACCACAGATGCACCTACCACTGCAGCACCAACCACCACTTCAATCACAACCACCTACCAATGTGGTGAGTGATACGTTCGCATCCTTTGTTTGAATAGAAAGGAAATTATATTCTAGCGTCTTAAGCAAAAGTAAAAATATTGTCAAATCTTTATTTTGTTCATGAACTCGAAAATGTGGGTGCTTGGTTTAACCCTAAAGTGGCCGGGGGGGGTGGAATCAACATTTTTCGTGATAGCCGCTAAAAAAAAAAAAATCGCGACCCGAGCTGTTACGACTTTTTTGCCTCGAGCTTTGCGCATCTTTTGATACCAAAAACATAAAAATCGGACCACGGGTTGCCGCGTAGCGGAAAAATTTTCCGGCGCTACGCGCCGTGAAAACTGAACTTTCGCATATACGTCGTGTACACAGAGCAGAATTGCCATTCGTACATATGAATAATTAATTGGCCATAATTCCAAAACCCTTTGACCTATAGTCATGAAATTTCTTGTGCCGAGTTTCAAAATTGTTCGTCCCTCGATGGCCGAGATCTGGGGGGGGGGGACGGAATCCGCCCCCCCCCCCGGCTGAGAGATGGTCAAAATAACCCAGCCCCTTTAGTGTTAAGGAAAATAATTGAGCATCGACCTTTTCATCAGCTCGGACCGGCATTGATCGTTCATTAGATTAAAACATATTTTCATTGTTTAACTCTGTCAGTACGTTTTTAATTAATGTTTATTAACTCCGCCATTGTTTAGTGAGCAACTTCTTACCTTTCAAATATATTTCAAACATGTGGGAGGGTGAATCAAGGAAACTAATTGAAAATCGAAATGGGCTTGGTAAAAAATAAAAATCCACATGCGTTGCTGTTTGGTTATTTTCATTAGGCTAACCGGTACAGTGGACTAGGTTTTTTTAACATACACAAAAAAGTAATCTGGGCACATGTCCAACATAACAGGGTGCACCAAACAAGTCAACACACCATCACTGAACCGGGCATACATGCATGCGTTTAGATTGCCATACAGTGACCTGGGTTATTAGTCTACTATGTGTAGGTGGTATAGAAGAAATGATTTCTATATTATAGATACAAGATTTAATTGGTGAATAGATTGGCCATATATGACAAACTATATTTTTCAGAATTGTCATGAAAATCAGCCTTGACTCTCAGGTTGATAATGAGTGACTGGGACAAAATATTTTTTTATTTTGCGGAAAAAATAGCAAAGGAATTGAAGTATATAACGACGTAAACTTAGCAGAAACTGCTGCCGTAGCGAAACAAATTACAACAATGTTTTCATATCTTTACCTGATGGAGGAAGCCGACATCTCGTTTACACATTCGTTGTGTCCGGAATTACAAAGATGCTTGGTTTAGGAAAGGTAAATATGTTGGTGGGTGAATTGTTTCAAAGAAAATAAAACGTAGATCTACGCTTTCGTCGTAAACATCCTCAGTATTTACTGCACTGCTGTACGAAGTCGTTTCAAAACTTCCTTACGCACGCGCACGCACGCATCCCTAGCAACTGTGTTGCGTACGCGCGCGTCAGTCTCACGCGATGGAGGTTGAGCGCATGTGCAGTGCTCTATTGTTACAAGCTACCCCAGGACTGTTACTATATTTCGACCAATCATTGGCTTGCATGGGGCTGAACGGGACTTGATCAATGCTGGTTCAGGGGCCGTTTATTCGCTTGATCTTTGAAGCCGGTCCATTATCACCGTTAATGCCCGGCCACGTGATCGAGTCTCGACCAATCAGAAACCATCAACTCTCCAAGGTATTTATTAATAGTTTTTAGTATAAAAGTATGGTTGAAGTTGTTAATAAAGAAGATTGCATATGTTGCTCCACAGCAATACCGATATTTACTGTGCCAACTGTTGATGATCAGTACATTTCACTTGACCAAGCATCAATTCAAGTGACATGGGATAAAGTGAACGCAACCAACTCAGATGGTCAAGCAATCACTTGTACGGATGATGCAGGGGGAACCAGTCTGACAGTCTCAGGAGGAGACTTTCCAGCAGGGTCTCATAATATAACCTGCACTGTGACCAATGATGGTGGTTGCACGGCATCAGCATACTTCACATTCGATGTAATCGGTAAGATTGAGTTTGGAATTCTCATTACGTTATCGAATATTTTAGTGTGTTTAAGGCCCAATTGAAAATTAATGAGCTTTTTAACCAAACAATCAAGAACTGTTGATATATCCGAAACTGCAAAAAAAAAAATTGAACTTATACACAAGGAAAAGTGCAAATGCTGAATGATGTGATTTATGTTATCGAAGACGGCTAGCTTTCAAGGAGCTGAGCCTTACCATACATACATATGGATGCATTCTGTCGGTCGAAATCAATACAATTACTAATTTTAGCTGGGTCAATTTTTATTTTTATAATGAACATTTTAATTTAATTTTGTTTTGTGTAACAAAAATCTCATTTTACATAGGATATTGCTAGATCGGAATGCTGATGCTTAACCAGTCTTTGGACTAAAAATCAACTCTTACTGATATGAACATGTAATATTTATTACATCATGAATTTTATAACCACTCTATACATTTGCACCACAAAATAACTTACATCCACTCCAGAACCAACCACCGCTCCAGAACCAACTGCCACTCCAGAACCAACCACCACTACAGAACCAACCATCACTCCAGAACTAACCACCACTAAAGAACCAAATACCACTCAAGAACCAACTACCACTCCAGAACCAACACTTACTCCAGAGCCAACTACCACTCCAAAACCAACCACCACTCCAGAACTAACCACCACTACTGGTAAAATCACCCTAACCACAAAACCCTAAAACTCTATTGTCTATCAAATTATATAGTTCAAATCCATTTTGACTTTAGCCTTGCATGCACATTGATGGTGAAGCTCAAGTAAACGTTGAATATTATTGTGCTTACAGTCTTCTTCCAAGAACTGTCATTGATGTTTTTCTTGACAAGACAGTTTTTTAAACTTTGGGAAGAGGGATATCATTTTCATGAGGCCTAACCAGTATTGATTAGTTGTTTAATGAAATGCGGAATCTCACGACTAATCTGTTCTTTGAAATGTGTCCTCACGTCAGTAAAGAGCCAACAAACAAACACTAACTTGCCCTTTGTTTGTGTCCTCGAAGGTGTATAGAGCCACTTAACAAACGTTAACATGCCCTTTTGTTTGTGTCCTCGTTTTAGTAAAGACCCGGTCACCAAACACTATAACATGTTGTCTAGGCTTTTGTTATCGGTTTAAGTAAAGAGTTAAGTGAGTTACCTCCCGAGTGAAAGTTGGAAAAAATCACTCGGGTGGGACTCGAACCCACGACCTCCTGATTTCAAGTGCAGATGTCTTACCACTCGACCACCGAGCTAATGGGATCGGTTGGCCGGTTAGAATCCGATGTACATAGCAGCAGGTACCGCATAAACTATTATAAGATATAATTGAGTAAAGAGGCACTTATCAAACACTTATATTCCATCTTGCTTGTTTCCTCGCGTGAGTAAAGAGCCATTAATCAAACACCTACACGCCCTCTTGTTTGTGCCGTTGAAAGAGTGAAAACTTTCACCTTCACTTTCCTAACTGGGATGCCTTTGATGACCTGTTAATCTTGACCAGACTTTTTATCGGGTTAAATCAGAAATCTGTCTTTACATAAAAAAAGTGTTTTCAGGTACTGTACTCCAAAACATGTGTTATAAACCAAATTATCTTGATTAAGGCAATGACAAACTGCACATTAACACGTTGTCCTTTCTTCTCTTTCTATCAATTTTTTTTTGTTATCAATTCTACTACGAAACCAAACACCACAGTGACTAAAGAACCTACATCCTCAGTGTCTACAGAACCTACCAACTTTGTGTCTACAGAAACTACTACCACAGTGACTACAGAGCCAACCACCACAGTGACTACAAAACCAACCACGACAGTGGCTACACAACCTACCACCACAGTGACTACCGAGCCAACCACCACAGTGAATACTGAGCCAACAACCACAGCGACTACACAACCTACCACCACAGTGACTACCAAGCCAACCACCATATTGACTACAGACCCAACCACCACAGTGGCTACTCAACCTACCACCACAGTGACAACAGAACCAACCACCACAGTGACTACAGAAACTACCACCACAGTGACTGCCGAGCCTACCACCACAGTGACTACCGAACCAACCACAACAGTGACTACTGAGCCAACCACCACAGCGACTACAGAACCAACCACCACAGTGACTACACAACCTACCACCACAGTGACTACCGAGCCAACCACCACAGTGACTACACAACCCACCGCCACAGTGACTACACAACCTAACACCACAGTGACTACCGAGCCAACCACCACAGTGACTACAGAGCCAACCACTACAGTGACTACAGTACCAACCACCACAGTAACTACACAACCTACCACCACAGTGAATACTGAACCTACCACCACAGTGACTACAGGACCAACCACCACAGTGACTACACAACCTACCACCACAGTGACTACCAAGCCAACCACCACAGTGACTACAGAACCAACCCCCACAGTGACTACCCAACCTACCACAACAGTGACTACAGAGCCAACCACCACAGTGACTACAGTACCAACCACCACAGTAACTACACAACCTACCACCACAGTGAATACTGAACCTACCACCACGGTGTCTACAGGACCAACCACCACAGTGACTACACAACCTACCACCACAGTGACAACCAAGCCAACCACCACAGTGACTACCCAACCTACCACAACAGTGACCACAGAGCCAACCACCACAGTGACTACAGTACAAACCACCACAGTGACTACACAACCTACCACCAATGTGACTACCGAGCCAACCACCACAGTGACTACAGAACCAACCACCACAGTGACTACACAGCCTACCACCACAGTGACTACCGAGCCAACTACCACAGTGACTACACAACCTACCACCACAGTGACTACCGAGCCAACCACCACAGTGACTACAGAACCAACCACCGCGGTGACCACAGGAACAACTACCTGCCAATGCGGTGAGAAATTAAATGATATCCTATTGTTATATGTTTTAAATTCGTCGTGTTGTTAGGTGGGAGTTTTCACAGTTACATGTAGTTCCAATAGCATCAGTTATGAAAGCATGTTGGTTAATTGCTTGACATGGAATTTTATATACATCAATAATGTAAACCTCTAATCTCGTTTTTTCCCTAACGTTTATTGATATGTCTGACCTAGACACTACTTCTATAGGCATGCGTTGATGTACATGTAATACATGTATGCTGTACAGTGATCATGATTGACGTGCATTTCATCTACTGATTTAAAGATCAGAGACAAAATCCTTTAAAAAAATGTCAAAGAAATAAGGGAAAACAATTACGTACTGCAGGATTAAGATACCAGTGTTCACAATAACACAGCCGCATGTAATAAACTATTAAAACTTGTGCTTATCATTTTAACATCAACCAAGACTGGTACTTTTACACACACAAACATTTTTAGCTAGAAAAATACAGTATTAAAGGTATGCGCATGCTGTGCTTGAAATTGAATAATTGAAAGAAATTGTTCTTTGCTTTCAGAAATCCGAGAAACACACATTGTATTTTGTTTTGTCTTGCAGATGGAGAACCGCCAGTTGTCACTGTTCCTACTGTTGAAGATCAATGCATTTATGAATCTCAAGCTCCTGTTTCTGTCACATGGGACAAAGTCACTGCCACAAACATTGCTGCTGAAAACATCAGTTGTTCAGACTCTGTTGGAGCAAACGTAGTGTCTCTGACAGGAGGCTTATTTGGGGTAGAATGTCACACAGTCACCTGCGTTTTTACTCTCCCGTGTGGATGCAAAATAGAAGAATCATTCTATTTCTCCATTGAAGGTAAAGGTATCCTTTGATTTGTGCGTAAATTGGCCCTACATGACAAAATGAAGATCTCTATCTTTTTCATCATAAAGTCTTGAGTTTCAGATTGACACTGTATTTACCTGAGAGCGAACAGTTTTATTGAAATAGTTGGTGTCGATTTGAGAATGTTAAAATTTGATTTGCGCAGTGCACATATACTTGAACATGCCCATTTGTCAAGAGTATTTGATTTAAACAAAGCAGCATAGTCAACAACCCCTGAAAATATGTTTTAATACTGAAAACAGTGTCACCAAGGATTATTTGAAGAAAAAACTGTTAATTGATTATTCTTCGTTTTTTTTTAAACAAATTATTAGACTTCAAGGTGTTACATTATAGAATATCTAATATATGGAGTTGTTCAATAAGTTGGAGTGTACATGTTTGGTTGAAAGGATTAATGAAGTTTTTTTATTTTGCCTCACAGCAATACCTGTATTCACCGTGCCGGCTGTTGATGATCAGTACATTGCACCTGGGCAAGCATCAATTCCAGTGCAATGGGATGAAGTGAACGCAACCAACTCAGATGGTCATGCAATAACGTGTACAGATGATGCAGGGGGAACCAATGTGACAGTCACAGCTGGAGACTTTCCAGCAGGGTCTCATAATGTCAACTGCACTGTGACCAATGATGGTAATTGCACGTCATCAGCATACTTCACGTTCGATGTAATCGGTAAGATTTAATTTAAAATTCTCCTCACGTTTTTGAAATAAGAAATTCAGCATACTGAACACACTTTAAACCACGTTTTACTTCAATTTTGTTAGTTTGAATGACAGTAAATGATTGAGATCATTAATCCATGAAAGTTGTGTTCCAAGTTCCAATGAAAAATCGTGAGCTATTTTAACTGAACAATCAGGAACTGTTGATATTTCTGACAATGCAGATATAAATAAACAGTGATATATAATGAAAAGTATATATTCAATCGAAGACGGCTATTTTTCAAGAAGCTTTTGTCGATTGAAATAAAACGTGTTAGTGTTAGGTGCTTTCACAGTATCTGTGATGGGCCATGGGGAAAGGGCTGCTGAGTCCCGGAGGCTCATATGCGCACTACGGTTCGGCCCGCGGTCTACCAAGAATGCCAGTATGTTCCCTCCTGGCCAGTCACGTTCTGATGGGTCCCTCTGGGGTCCCTCACGTTCCTCACCTTCTAATCAAAGTCTGACACGTTTTTTGCGTCCTGTCAAGGCTTTCTATGGATGAAACGTGTACGCCGGGTTAGCTTCGAAGCAAGTTTATGCCCACGGTATGAAAAAGAAAGCCTCCCAAGCAATGACAATCATTGTTTGCTTTTATACTCCCTCCCAGACAGCGCTCGCCGTATCAGATCGTAGTAGAACGCAACGCGCCGCATCGCACCGGGCCTGTTAACTGTCAAACATCTGGACGCGCCGTGATTGAACGCGACGAAACGGCTACCGTTCACCCTAGCTTGCCATAGAAACGAAGCAAAGCTTGACAAACTTGAAAGGACCGGAAAGATACCGGGGAATGTACATGCTTCCCGTCCCACTACGGACCGTCTCCAAATTTTGTTACGGCCTATCACGTACTGTCACGTTTTGTTGCGTTCACCCCGATTTACTACGGCCTACTAGGTTTCTCATCAGCACCGTGACTGCCGTGGCAAATTTTTGACGGTTTAAAAATCTGGCCCGGCATCCACGGCAATCACGGACTGTCACGTTTGCCCATCCCGTCCCCCGGCGCTGTCTGACGTCCATTCCGTTTTGTCCACGGTGGCCAAAAACGTGATTGTCATGGCCGCCTGGAACATAGTGTAAACCCAGCCTAACATTTTATTTTCCTTGTGTCCTAGCATGAGTAAAGAGGCACTTATCAAACACGTACATTCCATCTTGCTTGTTTCCTCGCGTGAGTAAAGAGCCATTAAGCAAACACCAACACGCTCTCTTGTTTGTGCCTTTGAAAGGGTGAAAACTTTCACCGTCACTTTCCTAATTGGGATGCCTTTGAGGACCTGTTAATCATAACCAGACTTTTATCGGGTTAAATCAGAAGTCTGTTTTTACATAAAAAAAGTGTTTTCAGGTATTGTACTCCATAATTTATTCTTTCAATGGCTCACTAACATGTGTTTTAAACCAAATTATCTCGATTAAGACAGTGTCAAACTGCACATTAACACGTTGCCTTGTCTTCTTTTTTTCTATATATTTCTTTTCTTTCAATTCTATTACGAAACCAAACACCACAGTGACTACAGAACCTACATCCTCAGTGTCTACAGAACCTACCACCTCTGTGTCTACAGAACCAACCACCTCGGTGTCTACAGAACCAACCACCACAGAGACTACAGAACCAACCACCACAGTGACCAGAGAACCTACCACCACAGTGACTTCAGAAACTACCACCACAGTGACTACCGAGCCTACCACCACAGTGACTACCAAGCCTACCACCACAGTGACTTCCGAACCAACCACCACAGTGGCTACACAACCTACCACCACAGTGACTACAGAGCCAACCACCACAATGACTACAGAACCAACCACCACAGTGACTACCGGGCCAACCACCACAGTGCCTACACAACCTACCACCACAGTGATTACAGAGCCAACCACCACAGTGACTACAGAAACTACCACCACAGTGACTACAGAAACTACCACCACAGTGACTACAGAACCAACCACCACAGTGACTACAGAACCAACCACCACAGTGACTACACAACCTAACACCACAGTGACTACAGAGCAAACAACCTCAGCGACTACAGAACCAACCACCACAGTGACTACAGAAACTACCACCGCAGTGAATACAGAGCCAACCACCACAGTGACTACAGAACCAACTACCACAGTGACTACACAACCTACCACCACAGTGACTACCGAGCCAATTACCACAGTGACTGCAGAACCAACCACCACAGTGACTACAGAACCAACCACCACAGTGACTACAGAAACTACCACAACTGTGACTAGAGAGCCAACCACCACAGAGACTACAGAAACTACCACCACAGTGACTACAGAGCCAACCACCTCAGTTTCTACTGAACCAACCACCACAGTGACTAGAGAACCTACCACCACAGTGACTACACAACCTACCACCACAGTGACTACAGGACCAACTACCACTCCAGAAACAACCAACACTCCAGAGCCAACCACCACTTCAGGACCAACTACCACTCCAGAACCAACCACCACTCCAGAACCAACCAGCACTCCAGAACCAACCACCACTTCAGAACCAATAACCACTCCAGAACCAACCACCACTCCAGAAAGAACCACCACTTCAGAACAAACCACCACTTCAGGACCAAACACTACTTCAGGACCAATCACCATTTCAGTACCAACCACCACTTCAGACCCAACCGCCTCTTCAGAACCAACCACTACTCCAGAACTAACCACCACTCTAGAACCAACCACCACCCAAGTACCAACCTCCACCCAAGTAACAACATGTGGTAAATATTGCTTTCATAGTGTATGGATTATGTTCTGTTTTAAAAGGCTCGTACCGGGTCACTTTGGAAGGTGTGTTTTGGGGTAATTGTATGAAAGATTTGTTTGGTAGTATATACAATGTAGTAGGCTTTCCACAAATGCATAATTAACATCTACACATAACAAAATTATTTTACCTTGTAACCGAAATTTTACACATGACAACTGGCTGACAAAGCGGATTTGAAATCCTTCATTACTAACGATTCTACACAATGGATGGAGGTTACTTCCAAGCTGCCAACATTTTGCCTTCGGTTTCTAAATATTGAAACTTTTTTTTCTGGTACACTTGAAAATGTTTTGGGCAAATCAACAGGTATACATTTAACGTGTTATTCTCATTGCTCCCTATCTTTTAATTCTTATTGGTGTGGGACAAAGCCCTAACTTTTACATACTCATTGCAGTTAGGCTGCCAATACTGACTCTGAACATTATTGGAAACTTTAAATTGACATTTGTGATCAGATATGAACTTCCTCTTCTCTAGCGGTTCTAAAAACTTGACGTTAAGACAAATTCATGCATATAAAGTGATACAGTTCGGACACGATGGAGGGTCATGTCCTTGTAAGCATCGAATGGCCTATTTGTTCTAAATTGTAACTGTTTTTTTAGCACCGCCAACTGTGAACGTGCCGACTGTTGGTCTGCAGTGTCTAGCTGTTGATGCAACCACACTTTCAGTGACTTGGACTACTGTAACCGCGATCAATGCTGAGGGTGGAAACATCAATTGTACTGATTCTGGAGACGGAACTGGAGTGACGACCTCTGATGGCACCTTTGGAGCAGGATCACACACAATCACGTGTAGTGTAACTCTTTCTGAGGGTTGCTATGGCTCCAATAGCTTTACCTTTCTCGTATCAGGTACTAACGCTTTTTAATAATGGGAAAAACATGTTTTGAAAAGTGATTCTCAAAAATGTTAATGCCAAGTCTTTATCTAATTTCGTGGGTGACTAGATGTGAGCGTGAAAAAAATACTGACTAAATATATGGAGGAAACTAAGTAGTTCATCAAATAAAATACAGTAAATGCGATTTTTTTGCAAAAGATCTGTGACTTAAATTCGTGTTTATATCTTTTAGCCCCCTCCAAAAAAACACCTCCAAATATAGTTTCGTTTTCGTTTTCGTTTTCGTTTTCCAACTTTGACAACTCACATGTCAGTTTACTGAGGGAATAAAAATAGACTCGACCACATCATTAATCTTTAATTTATCTAATGTTAAATAAGGCAGCTGTGTCTTTCAAATTTATTTGAATATATGTGACCGGAAGCCCTAAAATGTGTCCGAAGCACATCATTTCACTTATTCATTTTTGTGAATTTGATGGAGGATACTGAACTCTTCATCGTGCTACATATAACTCAAAAGCAACTCTGTCATCTTCTGAATATTGGTTTTGAAAATTGAAACTGATTGATACTGATCAATTGTCTTTTACACAGCGACACCAATTGTGCATGTGCCAACAGTGGGTTCGAAGTGTGCAGATGTTGGTGCATCTACAGCCTCTGTAACCTGGCCAGCCGTAACTGCCACCAATGCTGCGGGAGGGAGCATCTCTTGCAGTGATTCTGGAGATGGGGCCGGTGTGACAACCACTGGTGGAACCTTTGGAGTAGGATCGCATACAGTCACGTGCATTGTAACTAATTCTGGCAACTGCACAGGCTCCAGTAGTTTCACGTTTGTTGTTGCAGGTATTGAGCATGACTAGAATAATTAAGTCGGCCAAAGTGTTGTGAAAATTGACCCGGTTAATCATGCGTTTCAACTTTTGGCAGCATTAACCAGAACATTGGGATTCTGCCACAATTAGGCGATTGCTTCGTTGGTTAAGCACCAGTTAAATTTGATGGAGGTTTTAGTCCCGTTTCAGTAATTGAATATACATTCAACCTATATGCATTGGAATGGCTCCCAGATCTTTTTCCCCTTTTTAATTGACTTTTTGTGTGCACTCAATTTCAAAACAATGAAGGCCAATATCCTTCCTGAGTGACTCTTGTTTGCCAAACCCAGGTCAGCAGAATTACTAGCAAAATGTTGCTAGCATCCTGTTTTTTGATGTGATTTTAGGCTACATGGCGCGTGTAGATTGATGGCTTCTTACTGGGCAAAGACATTGACAGGTTGGCAGACTGTCAAGATAGGGCTCAGTTGAGAATTCTAACAGTATTCCGAAGACCCCAGGCTCGTGTCCCAATATGGTATTTTCTTACATTCTTAATGCATCAAATTTTGAAAATCAATCGACATTGGTCATTGTGTTTGACACAGCTTCTCCATCTGTGACTGTGCCCAGCGTGGGTCCGCAATGTACCGATGAAGGCTATGCTACAGTAACTGTGCCTTGGGCCGCTGTGACTGCCACCAATGCTGCGGGTGCAAACATCACATGTACAGATTCTGGAGGTGGAACTGGAGTGACGACCTCTGGTGGAACCTTTGGATTAGGATCGCATAAAATCACGTGCAGCGTTACCAATTCCAATGGATGCCCAGGCTCAAAAAGCTTCACATTTGTTGTATCAGGTATGAAACAAAATATTCTGTAGTGGTGTGTTATTTTTTTTGATGTAACAAACTAACAGTTGGAAGATTTGGAAGATTTGACATTTGACAGGATATAACCTTGAAAGGAGAAAACTTTGAACCAAATATAACTCTGAAACAAATGGATGATTTTGCATCTGATTTGGACATCCTGTTTCATTTTTTTTAAATCAAAATTTAACACCGTGTACACATCCTTGTATCACGAATGAAATCTTTCATGATTTGAACGTTTGCTTCAGTTATGATGGCAGTAAACAGTGTGCTACCAGAATCATGCTGATTAACTTCTACTCGTATTATTATCTCACTCTGACCTAATACATGTATTCACTCACAGTAAATTGAATTGACGTTTAATGACGTTGAAGGTCACATCTCACCTTCTTTGTATTTTTTTTTCCAATAGCTTCACCATCAATTTCAGTGCCCGTGGTCCCTGTTAGTTGCACCAGTCCAAATCAGGTGACATCTACAGTGTCATGGAGTCCAGTAACTGGCACCAACACAAACGGTCAAGCCATTCAGTGTACATCCAGTGCATTGCCCGTGTTTCTGGTTGGAGGTAACTTCCCGGTAGGAAGTCACACCATAACCTGCACAGTGACCAATAGCGGTGGTTGCATGGCATCAAAAGGCTTCGCAGTTGTTGTTGTAGGTGAGGTTTGCATCTCCGTTATCTTAGTCTGTTGGACAAAGAGGTATCTCATCCTGCTCTTCAATCTAAGCAAAGCGTACGAAAACAGTCAAGGCGAATCCTTGCAGTAGAAAACGTGTCCTTAGCTGAGAATATTGGGTGCAGCTAGCTCAGGGAAGCACATGGTCAGTGCTGAGGCAGCACAGGGAGTAGCAGGAAAGGCGTTTTGGGATGAAACTGAAACGTCTGCATAACGAGAACTTTCGATGTGTACTTTCTATCCACAGAATCTCCGTCGCTAGCAGTACCAGACGTTGCCGACCAATGCACTGATTTCAGTGTGGCTACTGCCACTTTAAGCTGGCCTGCAGTATATGGCACCAACCTGGGTGGACAAGCCATCTCATGCAGTGAAGGAGGAATCGACGTGCCTCTCAGTGGCGGTATCGCATTTGCTGTGGGCGCTCACACCGTGATCTGTCAGGTCACCAATAATGGTTGTTCCGTTTCGCAAAGCTTCTCGTTCACTGTCCGACGTAAGTAAGAACACACAGTAAAGTTAGGAAAGGTTTCAGTGTATTTGAACTCATCTTTTCAATCCCCTTTATGGGTCAGGGCATCAGTACCCTCTCAACACTGAAGAAGGAGATGATGGTTACTTCTGAGCACCGTCGCCACCGTGCACCTGTACTCCGCCCTGTGTCCAAGAGTTACTGGAACACAGCGCCATCCACATATCTGCTTTTGATTGATTTAACCAGTAGCCCAATTGTCCATCTTTGTGTGTGTCCACTTATAGTCTGTGTCATTACTCACTAGCTTGAGTTGGTGTTGGGGTGATGTAAATTCCAATTAAGGATGTGCCCTTCACCGACGTATAAACACTGTATACTCAGTGTGTTAGCTTCCGAGTGAAAGTGGAAGAAATCCCTTGAGTGGGACTCTAGATAACCCATGACCTTACTCGTGCAGACGTCTTACCACTCGACCACCGAGCTTGTCGGGGTCGGCTGTCTGGTTCGATTTTCAGTTCGAATTTCAGGGGAAATTGGGCTCTGTCATTGTGAAGAAAATTGTGTTTCATAATAATTTGACATGTTATGGTTTTTGTTTATCATTTTCTACCCATATAGAATCACCGATTCTTAACCTGCCAATTGTCGACAATCGTTGTGCAGTCTCGTGGTGGGTGTATGCCCAGGTGTCATGGCCCCGAGTGACCGCCACGCACAGCGACAACAACCAAATCGTCTGTATAGCGTGGGGAATCTCCATGCCGCTCACAGGGGGTTGGTGGTACTTGCAGGACTATACACACGTCCACACCTGCGCTGTCACCAATAATGCTGGTTGCACAGCAGTGGGAGCCTTTGATTTCTATGTTTTTGGTAAGGAATAGTACAATGTTCAAGGATGCAGTCAAAACCTGGAAAGGGTAACTTAACTAGGTGTCTCACATTTTAATTCAGAGCTTGTTGGTACCTGATACGTGGACCCAAGGCTTGCACGGGTTAACATCAATGCTTCTTAGTGGCATCCGTGATTTAAAGACTGTCACACATTTGAAGACCGAGAACATATCAGACTCATTTGCTTTTTGAAAGGGATACATTCATCAATGAAAAATCTGAGACAGTGTTGGATGTGTACAGTAATTGCAAGGCTATTTTCATGATCAAATATGGCTTAAACTTGGCAATACAGCGTCTCTATTAACTCAACCATGATATGACTTAATGTAGGTGTGTGACTAAAGTGTATTAATCGCTAATTTGGTAGCGTGTCAAAACGGTGATCCGCAGGTCACAAATTCAAACCGTACCCCAATCGATTTCTTTGTATAAATTCTTGTAAATGTACCCAAAGGGAAACATTCTTTTTGTTGTAGATTGTTCGTCATACCATTGGGAGACCGGACATAAGGGAGACATTGCAATATCTCCCTGATGTCACCACTCCTTTTTCGAGGCGAAACTGTAGTGTCGCAGATGGGCTAGATCGATTGCTTGTGGTCGAAAATATAAAAATACTAACATTCTTAGGGGTAGGATAATAAAAAAAAGATAGGGGTCATTAAAGTTGGACACAAGTGTGTGTACAACCCCATGGAAATGGCTCCCTAAGGTACAATTTCCTGTAAAGTAAAACATTATAACTATTCACCTTCTGAGTTGGATCCCTCCGTGGTTTTTTTGAAAATGTAACATTATTTTTTTCCACCTGTGGGTTTATTTGAGTATTTGAAACATGCCTATACCTCAAGATTCATACATTCATTCAATACTTCCTTTGTCTCCACAGCAAAGCCCCGCATAACGGTGCCATTGGTTACTAACCAGTGTACACTGCCTGGACACAATGATGTCGTAGTTTCGTGGCCTGCAGTGACTGGCAGATACTTGGATGACCAATCCATCAGTTGTACCGATCAGAACGGAAATGGTGTGCCTCTCAGCGGAGGCATCTCGTTTGGTGTTGGATCTCACACAGTGACCTGCGGTGTTACGGTTGAAATCTGCAGCACATCAGAGAGCTTCTCGTTCAGTGTCTATGGTAAGAAATACATGAGTGTTGGTACCCCATTAATGAGAATAAGGCGATGGTGATGGTGAGAAAATTGTTTCTGTTAGAAGCACATTCTGGTCCAATTTACATGGCGATATTCAACACTCAGCAGAACAAAGATGTGCTGGCCTTGTAGCAGAAATTTTGGAAGTTTAAGTTGACCATGCATTGAGGAGATTATTTTCTACCATTTACTTTGACGCTGGAATGCTCACGTTTATGTCTAGGATTTGTTGTTCCACAGAATATTTCGTGATATGCTCAGAGCGTTTCAAACTGCATGGGCCACTCACATTTGAGATGTACGCATTCTTCACGCCAAATGCACATGAACCTTGTCACATTTCACGTCTACGAGATGTGTTCCATTCATGGAATTCTTGACACTGGTCGGACAAAGACAAATACTCATCAGTTATAAGTGCTTCTAGCAGCTTCCCAAGTTAGGGCCTGTAAACTCGGAAAGAATACAGTACTTAGAGCGGAACTCTGTTATCGTGTTAATCCCTTTGTCAACAAACTGGCCCATGTTATCAGATACTGCTGCTTATCCCCTGCACTGTCAATATCAGTTGTGTGACAGCAAATGTGGCTTGATTACACTAAGTGTTAGGGATTATAAAGCCACTGTTTGGACAAAAGTTTAAGATAGATTAGAGGGCTGGCCAGTTTACAGTTAGATTGACTGTTTTCTCTCACAAGTTTATTCTGGAAGTTACTCGCAATGTGTTGGTGTGTAAAATTGGAGTGCAAGGATACACATTTGTAAATGATTTTGCTCTTTTCTCAAAACAGAGGGCAATTATGTTCCTTTTGGAACCGCAGTCGGAGATAGGCGTCTTTCACAAGAACAACAACCAGTAAGTAACACATCACTTAACAGGAGTTTCTGGATATTTGATTTGTATCAACTTTTGAACCTCATTCTAAGTGTTCACCTTACAAAACAGTATGGGTATTACCCGTTAGTCACCATACCACACAATAGGCTTCGTTCACGGGTCAGCCATATTGATTCAAAAGCAAGGTGGATTCTTCCTTTTTGGAACTTGCGATTAGAAAAAAAACACAACGACACAAATTTATTTACAAAGTAATACCGGTCAGCTCTGATAAGTGATTAATCAGGTGTGATTAATCATACCCTAATGTTTTAAGCCAGATTTAAACATAAATGAAAGTAATGCTTGGAACGCATAAATATAGTCTGGCACCATCACTTTCTACAGTTTACAATTCATAAAATATGTTCAGGGAACCCGATCAATAATGGCTTCCTCGTGATCGAACAAGGTGTGTTCCCTATAACGCTACATGTACCTGTTACACCCTGTACCACCCAAAAACAACCCCATCACTGTTTGTGTTTATGGATTTACCACAGAATAAATAAAGTGTATTAAAAGTACTTATTCATGAACCAGCTTAGTTTCTGCACCCGCTCCCGTGAAAAAGGGGAAGGTGTGAAGACCAATGTTTTGTAAAATCATTACATAAATGTTCAATCCCTGTGAAATTGTGGATAACCTGTTTCAGTTGGAAACAGGAAATATGTTGATAGTACTGGGGTACACAGTGGCCTTACACCAAATTACTATTTTTTTGAGGGGGGGGGTAGGTAGAGACTATTTAAAACACATTAAAAATGCAGGGAAGTACTTTTCTTTGAAATAAATTACAAAACTTAGTCGCTAATATTTAGTGTATTTTTATTTTTGCTATGTACACGTCTGTCTGTTGCACGTCGATGGGTTGGTTGAAGAGTCTGTATGATTTTTGGGGTGAATAATCCTGTTTTTTTTATTAAATGTTCTTTATTATTTTAATCATATCGATTGCCCACTGACTTCATACAATCAACCTCTTTTGTCTAAATAGCGATCACTATCATCTAACAAAGATTTGATCTCACGAACCATCAGCCCACCAAATTTCTTTCCCTACTGCAATGAGCTGCATGAACAAATCTATGTAAGTATGACAGGTGAAAAACATGAAGAAATTTTTATTTTTCGAACGGAACATCTGCATTATCTGCAATACCTTATTTTTTTTAATCACACGCAGTAGCACTGTACTATAATGCAAACCACGTGCGCCTAATATTTGCCCGTAAAGAAAATTTTGTTTTAAGTGACATCGCAATAAAAGCAGGCACTGCATTCACCACCATCTTTTCCTCAAAAAGATTGTGTTTAAATGATCAGAAATTGCCTCAGATTGCACCACAGAGCATCTAGAATCCAAACATTTCTTGGGGCCTGTACGTGGGCCCCAAACCCCAAGCCATAATTTTTGGGACCCACATTTTGGGGAACAATTTGTTTGCCCCCCCCCCCTCCCTAAAAAAAAAACAACATTCTGGATCTGCCCTTGTTATACTGCGCATTGCTGTAACAAGCACTCGCATTGCTGTAACAAACACTTACTGGACTAGATTGTGGTAGACCCCATTCTTGTATATATAGAACGACGTTCTGCTATATTGTGCTTATTACAGTGTATCCCTTGCATAAAGGAAAACATTAATTATGTAATTTCTGATCGATGGTAGCGGTAACATGCGTGTTTTAAGAAAAATAAAAGGTATAATGAAAACAACTAGTCTTGATGCCTTGTGTATTTAATCGTCTTGAATACCACTTCTTTGAGAATTGTCCGACAAGACAAGTTTACCATTCAAAACTGGCCTATCGTGGTACCATCAGCAGAAAAACTTGGTTTTGTGTAACCTTTATAACTTGTGTGTTTACCTTTATTACTTTTGTCATTGCCTTTTAAAAGATGGTCATTTTTTGACTTGTGTGAAAAAGACACAGGTCACATCAGTGGGTTGTAAACACCATAGGCAGGTGTCAACGTGCTACTTAACAGTAAGCACAAACATTGTGCCTTTTGTAGCAGAAAAGCAGTGCAAAATCCAGTAGATTTTACAGCGCCGTACGCTTACGGTGGCACGCGCAAGCAGATTTATGTTGGTATTGAAAACAAACTTTGCCCCTGAATTGAAGTTAGCTGGCTGTATCATGGTCTCTGTGAAGTGGACAAGGGATTTTGTTAACACAAAAATGTGTGCTTATAGTGCCATGAATTGGAACCATATCCAAATCTTACGTTTGAACTATTAATCACGGTCCTGACAAATCTTTGATTGACTGTTCTTACAGTTCACAGATAACGGTGTCATTGTATTCTCCAATGCCCAAAGTCTGTACAAACGAGGTTACCCAGGTACCACCAAAACTTTCTTCAGAGGCCCAACAAAAATGATAGCTCCTTTTTGGGCAGACGTCAACAGTAGAAGATTTTCTCAGACAAAGAATGTCTTCTTCCAGGTGAGTTAGTTGAAGGTTTGTGCTATCGTGTCGTTGAGGACAGTGTACCCTGTCCATCTTTTAAAAAAAAAGATGTAACCTCATGCATTCCGTCATGTAAACCTCAAAATCATACTGCGTACTTTCAAAATCAACCGAACAAAATTATTAAGTAAGATTGGAGCCAATCGAACAAAGCTACCCTTGACCCAGATTATTAACAACAAAGCTCAGCAGTCCTTAACCTCTGTCTAGTCTCTCTTTTTCATAAAGTTGCCTGGCAAAATATATGCGTTTAAATATCCTCTTTACCCAACTGAACAAAACGAGTTTACATTAGCCTGAGCTATCTTGGAGTATAAACAAGCCCCGAAACAATTTTATCTTGCACAATTGGAATCTATAGGAGTAACTCAATATTTTCAACCACTTAAAGTCCATCGGCATTAGGATATCAAACGGAATGATACATCAGATTGAGAGCAGGGTATGTTCATTGTAATGCAAAAGAAAAGCTAGTCTTCGATCTCCTCGCCCGCTTTGTGGGGATGGGGCCACTTCGTTGCCTGTCGCCTGCTTTGCTGCATGTTGCCTACTTCGCAGGCTTTGCAGGCTTCGCGCGTGATCACTGCACAATTGAGTACACTTCAAATGCCGCAATAAGACTACGAAACTGACCTTATTTGGCCTTGTTTATTTGAGGCTCCATGCAGATTCGTACTTGATTATGCCAAAGACCCTATATCTTACAGATTTGCGTACACCCTTTGCGCTTTATAGAGACGTAGTGGTGATTAAGAACTTGATTAAGACTCATTTTGTGGTATCTGGACCTAACCCTACCCCCCCCATAAAAACATATTAAAGTAGTAGGTTTACTCAGTTGAAACTAACTTTAACTAATGTGGACCTTTCTTTGGGGGCGTGGTGGCATGGCGGCGAACACGTCTAGTCCATCGCCCCCCCCCCCCCCCATCCATCCCCACATAAATAATAAATCAAAGTTATTGATCATCATGAATTGTAATAACTGTCACTTAATCGACTCCTTGCATAAGCAGTAGCAGCTATATTGGATGGACACAATGCCACTTTCACACTGATTGTCAAGTGTATGAAACAAAGTCATTTTATGCACATACCTATTTATCACCCTCCTGGTTCTCTTTGTAATAACAGTCGTTCTTGTCTCAGGTCTGCTAACCAACAACTTCTGGATGTACCAAGGTCTTAACGATCCTTGAACGAACATCTTTTCGTATAGGCCTACAGCTGCCCCAAGTCTGTGGAATAGTCTTCCCAATTCCCTTTAACATCCGATCTAGCACATCTCATCAGCTCATTTAAAAAGACTATGAAAACACAGTACTATATTTAGCCTACAACACCAAGGCATAAGTTCTCCTGCTTTTTTTTTCAGGTATATGTTGGCAGTGGCTCAACCATGTTATCTACCTTGAGTAGCATCGTGTCTGCCCGGTATGGCAGCTTCACTGCAGCCTGGGCTCTTGTCATCACATGGCGCTATGTAGAAGCCCTCTCACCCGACAAAGTAAGTATTTGTAACAGGCATGTTTGATTTAAATCATGTCTCTCTATTACATCTGGTGCAGAAGCGAATCGTTAATTTGGTTGGTGAAGAGTTGGGTTCATCATTACAATCGCTTTACCAATGTAGTGAGCGCGGAGTAGCGCCGTGGGGCTTGAGTCTCGTTGGGGGCGAGAATCACTGATTATTTATTCATTCATTAATGTTCATTCGTCTTCATTGGTTGCTCAGAGTCGAAGGGAAGGAGGTAGCCAGTCGCTGCACCAGGCTAAGCACGACAAACAGTAGCTTTCATCATGATTTTCAGCGGTATTCAGGGGAATTATCTCTGTATTTTCCCCAATTCGGAGGCCATTCCTCTCATCTCTTCCCGTGACTGACCCAGATTTATATCCTTCTCGTTTGACACTAGTTCCGGAGCACTGCCCCGCGAAGCCTGTTTACCGCTGTCTGGGTTACCTCTCCTTTCTCTTAGAATAAACAGCTTTTGTATCCCTCTAAAGAACCTTAGTAATATTCAAAGAGTTTACTTAACTACCAAATTATGTAAGATACAGTCTTTTATTACCACCAAACAATATTTAATGAGGCCCTATATTATCTTACACGACACCGAATGCCAGTCTTTGCAGACATGTCCCTGCGCTGCATGGATACACATTCTATTTGTAGAATATTGTGCACACACCTGGGCAGGCCAGCTTTTGGCAATTTAACGGTGAGTAGGCGAGCGCCCTCTGTTGGCCAAATTTGTGAATGATCAACAACAAATCACTATCATAAGTCATTTCTCCACACCAACATAGGTTTGTAGCCAACTTCAGTCTGCTCTACTCTGTGTAACCTCGTAGCCTACATTCTGTAACCTCGTACACATTTTAATTTTGCCTGTGCAACGTTTTGTTAAGCATCATGTGCAAAAAGGTGCAAGTACACAACTTGTGTGACAAATAATCACGTTATTAAATAGCAGCATACAATGTGTATGCAAATGAACAGTTTATTTATCAAAGCATGCATCACCATGCATTTTGTTCTACGCTGTTTTGTTAAATGGACAGCAAGTTCAATACCCTATATTATTTGAAAATAATTATATTTAAACCAGAGTGTTGACATTAAATAAAGCTTTTGGATTGTGTAGGTAAGTGAAGGCAAATCGTATTGAACTGCTTTCTAAATCATTTGGGATTAACAATGCATTTGCTTTATTGTTTCTTTTTTTTTTCTGTTTAGAGTACTAACTCTTTCCAAGCCGTGCTCGTGACAGATTACATTCATGGCTATGTTATCTTCAACTACGAGCGCTGCGGCATGAACTGGAACGAAAACCTTCTGCCAAACGACAACGTCATCCAGGGCTTTACCTGCGGACAATATGGCAACAAATTCTACCTGAACGTACCAAGCTACTCGCGTTTCCGCCCTGGAAGTGTTGTTGGAAATACCGGGATGTACGGGCGCTGGGTCCAGCGACTTGACAGCCTACCAGACAATTTTGTCAATCCCCGCTTGTTCTGTCGGAATTGGTACAGTGGGCAGGTTGTTAATAGTTAGATCCTTTACTACTGGTATAGGACCGCGCACACTTGTCCATGCAGTTGGTGGCAAGCTTTTTGGGACCCAAGGTGGACATACATCGGTTACAGTTATTTCCTCCCAAATTCAGGAAGCAGCTCATCACTTGGTGAGTACAGGCTATCTACTCCCACCCCCAGCCCCACCCCCGATAGTACATGTTTAAATGAACAGTGATCAGTTCATTAGCAGCGGTTGACTCGACGCTTCATTTTTTCTTGACATTTGACGGTGTGGTTCTTTTGTAAAGCAAACGACAATTAACACAAGCCAGACATTTCTAAAACTATTTGAATGTTTGATGAGTATTCTTCCAAAAACTGGATGCTGAGATATGAGGTCTCTCAAACTTGACGAAATGCAGACACGATATACCAAAAGGTTTTTCTTACATTCTCAAAATACATTTTGCAGTTCAATTTCTGAAAGCCAAAATGGTTTACTCAAGTAAAATTGGAGACTTTGCTTGGTGGGGATACTAGGTTTGCGGAAACATAATGTGGGAATAATTTCTCAAATTAAGAGATTGGTTCTGAAAAAAAAAAAACCTGAGGTATAAACTCGACGTCCCAGGCATGAATGCTCTGGCCAGAGGCATAAACTCGACGTTCTTGTCTGTATGCTGTGGCCGTCTTTAGGAGAACGGTCAGAGCATACTGACCGGAACTGCGAGTTTATATCTCTGGTTCTTTTCAGCTCTGACCGTCTTCTCCTGAAGACGGTCAGAGAATTCTGACCTGTCTTTACCACAGGTTTTATTTCAGAACAATTCTCTTAGTTTGAAAAATTATTCCAATTGTGTTTCCGGCAAACCTCTCTTTTATTGGTAAACTCAACATTTTTTTTTTGAAAAGAATATTCAATATTTTACCCTCTATTGTTTACGTATAATCCCTTTCACACTGATAACCTATTCTCTTTTTTTTTCAATTGAATGCAATTTTCATGCAGCTGCTGTTTGCTATGTTCGGGCTTGGCAGTTTCCTTATACCCCGGGTCCGGTATGTTGCTACAGCACATGGACCTGGAGTCTTCTCCGGGGCGTCAGGAATGCTGTAGTTGCTTCTGTCTTTGAGCATTATCCAGTCAGTCCCTGGTTTTATTCACCTAGTCTGTTCAACCGGCGGTATGGTAAGCACCTAATAGGCAGACACCTAATTGAATGTACCCAGCAGCTTGCAACATTACATTTAGATCAGCTAGAGGCCAATAGGCCTGTGACACAATCACATCTTGCTTTGTTCACATGTATGAAAAGCAGCATGTTGAGTTCAAGACCCACCTAAAGCTCCAATGAAAAAAAGTAAACAGTAAAAAAAGAAAAATGTCATCATGTCTCACGTCTGATTAAATTTGACACACCAATAAATCGTGTATTAAACGAGCATGTTATTCCGCTTATGTGAAAAAAATAAGAATAACTGAAATCGAACAATGCTATGCACGTTTTACTAAAATAACCCATTTTTACAGATGTCCACAGAATGCTCAATGCTTTGAAGCTATTCAACGTAGTGAGTACACAGAGATCACACACAGGCATTCAAATACAAATGAGATTTAAATAATGCGAGTCAAGACACAACATTAATGGTACGTCAGGTTTGTGTTTTGTACTAGGGGAACAAATAAAGAAAAAATCTGAATTGATGGCTTGGTGTTTTTTGTCTGTTTCCCTTTATTCGTTCATATTGGGAGACATCCCCATAGACGTGTGCACAAAATTGTTCAAACTTAAATGTGCCCTAACCCAATATTCCCTTGTGGTCTTTTTTCACGAATTTCGGTATGTTTACTAAGTAGACCACGAGCAACAAATATAATCTAATTGCGACGATAAAATTGTGCCTCTAAAGGGGGGCTGTGAAATTAGGGAGACATAAAAATGCCTCCCTCATGACCGATGTCTCCCATCGTGCGAAGAAATTAATATAACGTGTCTCCTTAATGACACCATTACACGAAGCATTATTACCCTGCACACTGGGCCAATGAAACGTTCCAAAGACAAACTCAGCTCCCTGGGGAGTATACAGCTCGATGGTGACATTTCGGCGTAAAACAGCTAAAATCAACCACAATAACCATCTTTGCCCCCACATGTACCCAGTTACTCCTGGATGGAGAGAAGTGATGAGTGACAGCCAAATGTTAAGCAGTGCATATTACTAATGACTGATACTCAGCTGATGCGTGCTCAGCCAAATTGTATATATAGCCTGTCCATCTGCTATAAGAAATGGTTTCTGTTCAGAAGCTTCGTTAAATTTGGCTCTAGTGTTGTGGCAGTTAAGTATTGTTATCGTGAATCTGATCTGTTGAAACATTTCTAAACGACTGGAGATAATAAAGGTGGGTGCAAAGTATGGGCCTGATCATGTTAACCGATGCTTGTATAGAAACGCCTTACACAAACACGTACAGTGTAGGACAGTTTACTCAGACAATAACAATAAAAAGCATCGCAGATAGGTGTTGGGACTGTGCCTTTGATGATACAAGCATGGCATTTGGCACACAGTCAGAGTATGTCATTAGAAAGATGTTTTGCTATCGGGCCATCGCAGATTTGTCCTTTGTAAAAATATAGGTAGAATAACAAGTAATGGCTATTTTGAAAATTTTGAAAACTGAATCTTATTCTAACTACATTTTTTGCAAAGAACAAATCTGGGAAATACAAATTTGCCCTAGTCTAGAGCCAAATATCTGTATTAATACATACTCTGTCTGTTTGCCAAATTCCATGCACGGTTTATCAAAGGCACAATTCCCAAATTATTTCTCCTATTTGCCAAACTAAATTACGAAAACGAACGGACAAGGAATACTGGACAACAAACCCAACCCACCCAACCCAACCCAACCCAACCCAACCCAACCCAACCCAACCCAACCCCAACCCAACCCAACCCAACCCAACCCAACCCAACCCACCCAACTCAACCCAACCCAACCCAACCCAACCCACCCAACCAACCCAACCCAACCCAACCCAACCCAACCCAACCCAACCCAACCCAACCCAACCCAACCCAACCCAACCCAACCCAACCCAACCCAACCCAACCCAACCCAACCCAACCCAACCCAACCCAACCAACCCAACCCAACCCAACCCAACCCAACCCAACCAACCCAACCCAACCCAACCCAACCCAACCCAACCCAACCCAACCCAACCCAACCCAACCCAACCCAACCCAACCAACCCAACCCAACCCAACCCAACCCAACCCAACCCAACCCAACCCACCCAACCCAACCCAAACCCAACCCAACCCAACCCAACCCACCCAACCCAACCCAACCCAACCCAACCCAACCCAACCCAACCCAACCCAACCCAACCCAACCCAACCAACCCAACCCAACCCAACCCAACCCAACCCAACCCAACCCAACCCAACCCAACCCAACCCAACCCAACCCAACCCAACCCAACCCAACCCAACCCAACCCAACCCAACCCAACCCAACCCAACCCAACCCAACCCAACCCAACCCAACCCAACCCAACCCAACCAACCCAACCCAACCCAACCCAACCCAACCCAACCCAACCCAACCCAACCCAACCCAACCCAACCCAACCCAACCCAACCCAACCCAACCCAACCCAACCCAACCCAACCCAACCCAACCCAACCCAACCCAACCCAACCCAACCCAACCCAACCCAACCCAACCCAACCCAACCCAACCCAACCCAACCCACCCCACCCAACCCAACCCAACCCAACCCAACCCAACCCAACCAACCCAACCCAACCCAACCCAACCCAACCCAACCCAACCAACCCAACCCAACCCAACCCAACCCAACCCAACCCAACCCAACCCAACCCAACCCAACCCAACCCAACCCAACCCAACCCAACCCAACCCAACCCAACCCAACCCAACCCAACCCAACCCAACCCAACCCAACCCAACCCAACCCAACCCAACCCAACCCAACCCAACCCAACCCAACCCAACCCAACCCAACCCAACCCAACCCAACCCAACCCAACCCAACCCAACCCAACCCAACCCAACCCAACCCAACCCAACCCAACCCAACCCAACCCAACCCAACCCAACCCAACCCAACCCAACCCAACCCAACCCAACCCAACCCAACCCAACCAACCCAACCCAACCCAACCCAACCCAACCCAACCCAACCCAACCCAACCCAACCCAACCCAACCCAACCCAACCCAACCCAACCCAACCCAACCCAACCCAACCCAACCCAACCCAACCCAACCCAACCCAACCCAACCCAACCCAACCCAACCCAACCCAACCCAACCCAACCCAACCCAACCCAACCCAACCCACCAACACACCAACACACCAAAAAGCAATCTTCGTGTTTTGTACACAGATCAGGAAGTACTGCCTCGGTATTACTGCTGTCAGGCTTCTACACTCTGCCACCTCTACGATGACTACAGACCGGCCATGGGTTGCTACAATTACCGACCACCATGGTGGTGTAAGTTTGCATTATTTAGAACTCCTAGCAAGTCATTTTTGTTTTTAATTTTACAGAAAATTGCCTTTCAGATCTCGGCTGTCCAGTCGTAGATATCCATGCTTACTCAAGGGCGGATCGGGGGGGGGGGTGGCACCCCCCCCCTAAAAAAACCCTACTTTTTTTTAAGTGACATCACCATAATATAAAGGCAGGTACTTCGTACATCACCATCTTTTCCATACACAAAAATGGTCAAAATCGTCAGAAATTGCCTGATTATTTTGGCCCCCATTAAAAATTTAAATTGTGTTCTTCATCCGATCTTGTGCTTACTACATCTGCACAATTTCCATTCATTGAAATAAAACTAGTATTTGTTATTTTTCAATCTCTAGGTCCATGCATTAGGTCACAACTTTTTCATGGAAAAGGTTGTTAATTGGTACATTTTTACAAGCTTAGGCACACAAACAAATCTCAGGCCAAGTTCGGGCAAGGACCATTAGTCGACTAGTGGTTAATTTGTGACGTACCTTACGCCTGCGCACTGATTGCAACGTGCGAACGTCTCTAGTCAAACGCTGGTCGAAATGTCATCGCAAAACTTCTGGATCCTGGCTCTCTGCTAGCGTTATGAATGCGCGCAGCTATTGGTTACCAGCGAAGCAACCCCAGTAGGCTGGTTACAAATAGTCGACTAGCGTAGCCAACTACCGTCGACTAGACAGAGGTCTGGCAAACGTTAGTTAACCATTGGTCAACTATAGTCCTTGCACGAACTTGGCCTTACATGCTGAAATAATGGTTGGTCCAATTTACTTTGTGTAATAGTGTCAGTAATAAGAGAAACCTTTGATACCTTTGTATGATTTCATACCGACAACAAGTGAAGAGCAGGTGGAAAACCAGGCACTGAGTAAAATCTGTTTTATTGTTAAGTTTGTTTTCTTTTGCAAATTCTCAAAGTCTGGTTTTGGGGAGACCCTCACATCAAAACCCTGGACGGAGTTGAGTACACCTTCAATGGCCTTGGTGAATACACGGTAGCACTCATTGAAGATGAGAACGGAGCACAAATCTTTGAACTACAAGGCCGGACGCAGCGAGCTACCAATGTAGAAACTGGTCAACTAACGGATGCAACATTCTACTCTGGGTTTGCTGCAGAGTATTCAGGAGAAGGACGGGTTTGTAACTCTTTACTTTCATCAAAAATATTTTGAGTTGCACCCGATTATTAAACTTGAGTAATTGCCAGCTGTAGCTAATTAAGTGTTCATTTGACATACCTTTTGGCACGCTTCTCTGAGCTTGGTAATACTTATGAATCTGCATGCTATGAGTTCAGTATTCTCCTGCCCCCAAAAATTTTTAAAGAAATATTTTAAAATTTTGATTTGTAGATTTGGAAAGGATAACTATACATCCCTTGCTCCATTGTCTATACGACATAAAATGTTTTTCTTAAAATCTTGAAATTTTGAGGAATTCTTGAATGTTGAAACTCGCAACTATTCTTTGAAATTGACTTTTTTCCCCTTCAAAATTTTCTGAGTAGTTGGTGCGTATTACACAACGGAGGAACCTACTTCAGAAACTAACGGAAATCTCACATTTTCTGCACGTATCTTCCACTGGATCAAGCGCTACACTTTCGAAATATTTCAAGATGGAAGGAAATGAAGTATTGGCTTTCTGAACCTGTCACAAGTATTTTTTTTCCCAGGTTGAAGTGAAATTAAACAAAAGGCAGGAAGCTGATGATCTGATAACAACTGTCAATGGAGATGTTGTCACGCCTACAACAGCAGGTACATGTGCAGTTGGTGGAGTTTAAATGTTAACTGGTAGCCCCGCCCTTACATCTGTTAAATACTTAACCAAGCCATTCTTTACTTGGGAGTGGGGTGCTGTGGTCCAACGATTACGGTGTTCGACTCGTGTGCGTGGTACATGGGTTCAAATCCTGACCGTGGGAACGTTGTTCTTGTGCTCTTGAGCAAGGCACTTTACCATTATTGCTCCGTCCTTCGGATGGGACGTAAAGCCGTAGGTCCCGCGTGTTGTGTAATGCACGTTAAAGAACCCAGTAACACTTATCGCTAAGAAAAGGGGTTTGCCCCCGTGTTTCTGAAAGTGGTTGCTTAATGCGCCGCAGCACCCTGTAAACCCTTATAAAGGTGCTAAATAATGGGTCTTTCTCTCACGTATACTTCATTCACATGTCTATAATAATAGACATCATATCCAGCGCCTTGAGTATCTAATTGCACTATATAAGACTCCGGTATTATTGTTATACTTCATTGAACACAACCTCATACAAGTCGTCTGTTGATCCTTTCAGATTACATCATACCTCTACAATATTTTTCAGTAGTGTATTTAGAATGCAACATGCAATCAACCGTTTTGCCTGTCGTGAGTTTCTTAATTTTAGAAGTCTTAATCTTTGGGTAGCATATTTTATCTACTAATGGGTTAATAATTAAAGCCTACGATTTATCACTGACCTTTTGATAAGTAGTGGTGAGTTGTATTATCATTCATTCTCTTTAGGATTGCTAATTGGCAATGTTACTGTCAAAAGGGATGCTTCAACTAACAAAGTGGTCACCATGTTCCCTGGCGATATTCAGTTTACAGTAGGAGTAAACAACAGCATTGGAGACATTACTGTCCAGTTAGGGCAAACGTATCGGGGAAAAACCAAGGGACTACTGGGTGAGTAAAACTCAAATTATTCAAAAACATTCCGTGCGGAACTGATTGCCTGAACAGACAGCATTTAAACACTTCACTTTGACTTCAGTCCGATGTACACAAGTCTTGCTCAAGTCCTCACAAGTTCTCACAAGTACACTACAAGTCAATGGAAGTCCGATACAGTCCAGCGTCAAGTCAAGCATTCAAATGAACTGTGACGGGGACTTGTTATTGTTCTTTACAATATTGTGATTTAGTTGTGATAGACTCAAGTACAAAAGTAGACGTTATTGTCTGAGAAAAATGGGTGCGATGTTGATCTCCATGTACTGCCTTATAGGGCCTACTTAACTAAAATCTCCAAAAACATGCACATCATAGCCGTGCATTCCACATGACACAAAAGAGTGTTGCAGGAGTAGCCCGATCAGGCTACAGGGAAGTAGGCGCCGTCAAGGCTCATTATAGCAACCAATAAGCAACCCATAAGATTCCATGAACTTTGAAGGTGTTGTCCTTCACAAATGCGTGTGTAATTAGAGGTCATGCAGGCTCTCAGTCTGTGTAGCATGAATGATTGATTAAATGTCTGCTGTACAGGCGTTTGGGATGGCGACCAAGGCAATGATGCAACCAGACGTGATGGTACTATACAACCAGCCACCGGTGACAACGGAGCGATGATTGAAAGAGACTTCTATAATTTTGGTGAAACCTGTAAGTCAATCACCGTACTGTTGTTGACTTTGGTGAAATCATTTTGCCTGGTTATCTAGATTTCGTCATAGTTTAGTATTCAGCCGGGATACCCCTGCAAGCTTGTACACTTCCTTTTCCAGTCGAAACCATAGATAGATCGGGAAGGGGTTGGAGGAAATTTGCAAAGACATTCCAATGAATACCCACACAATCGGGTACAAGTCACAAATACATTTCACATGACTGGAACCAAGGTCAAAGTGATTTAATTGCAAAATATGATCCTATACATTAACGCAATCCTATCCGAAACTCTTTATGAAGCTGCTGAATATTGACAGACAAATTAAATATTTCTTTGCCACAGTAGATCCTCAGTGTTCTTAGATTACATGTACGTTTCTCCTTTGGCTACACATAGGGCGTATCACTGAACAGGATTCTCTCTTCTACTATGTGGGTGACGAAACTTGGGCATTATCAAATGACCACTCCTTCCTGCCAAGTTTCTATGAAGATCTTGTCGCAGCTGCCACTCCGGAAAAGCTTCAAAAGGCTCAAGAGTTATGCGGGGACAACAAGATGTGTTTGTTTGACACACTGGCGACGGACGATGAAAGCATCGGACAGTCTACAGTGATGCTGAATGAAATGAACTCTGAAACCGAAAGTGCAGCAAGTAAGTAAAGCTGTCGTTCATGACTAGTCCTTCTTTAGTGACGAAGGCAGGGTTGGGCACGGAATCGTGTTGATACCGTCGACATCATACGCTGATACGATGCTCATGCATCATCAGCGTTCAGGGCACGTACACGTGCTCACCATTGCACTGACAATCGTGCATGCAAATGATCATTTGCAGTTGAGAATCACTGAAATGGGCATAATGGGGTCCTCAAAAAAACCCAACATTTTTGTTTGCTGGTCATAGGTTAAATCCATTTTCTGCCACACTTGACCTGTAGGATTGCACAAACTTTTGGGGGTCACATTTTACGGTGATTGTTTTGGCCATATGTCCAGTATATCGGTGTTTGATAAAGTGGCATTATATTGTAATGCAATAAAATGCACTTATTTTTTAAACAATTTGCAGCCAACTATCCACCAAACATAACCGCTTCGGATACCTTCAGGGTAACGGTGGGTGTGCAATTCACTGAGCAACTGGAAGCCATGGATCCTGATGAAGACGATGTTATATTTTCATTGGTGGAGCCAATCGAAGGTGCATCCATCACCGAAGATGGTAAAACAATTAACCTTTACGTAGTAGTTTAGGCTGTGCCTTCCGTCAGCATTATTTTCATGAGAGCAGTGTACGCGTTGCCGTCAAATTAATCTTTGAGAAAAAAAATCAGCTTAATTGCGTTTGAATTAAACCCATGACCTATATGATTAGGTGGCTAACACGCCCCCTCCCCCACCCCTCTCCAACTCCAACCCCACTTCTGACAAGTGTGACGATCCCAAATTTCACAAAGTTCCAAGAAAAAGTCATTGTTACACATCTTGATTCCTAGCCAAAGGCATTCGATCGTTTTATGCGTTGAGTCCTGCGCCTCATCTATCGATCCACTCTTGAAAAGTATGCGGACTATTATCCCAAGCCAACACAAGTCATGAAAATCCTGGATCTACCACTGCTAGCCTACTTCAGTGTTGATGTCGTATTCCATAAGACTTTATGTTCTATCTATGCTTTTGGAATATTCAACTCTTGTGTTTTATTTTAATATACAATTACCCCCCTCTATTAAATTTTGGGCTCCTGCAACCCTCTGACAAAAAGTGGCTCTTATTATTGATCTTCCCTGCGGTCAGTATCCCTTACCTTACCCATTATGATAGGTGGCAGAAACCAACCCACCCAGTCCAATATGTTGGGCACTAAATACTTTGGACACCACATAATTATAAGAGCATGAGTAGGCCTACAGCAAATTACGATTTTTCAAGTTTCAGAAGCCACCATATTTTTCCACTTCCATATTATCTTACAGGTGGTCTCTTCACATGGACGCCAGCGGACCAGTCAAAGGTCATGGTTGCTTTCCTAGCAACAGATGGCAAAGCTAATACCACACACGAACCTACTGTACAGCTCTGTGACTGCAAGAACGGTGGCACGTGCCTGTGGGATGAGTTTGTGATGGGCACGGATGTTGTCGAAAACAGTTTTGGGGTGAGTGCTAATTGTGTGTGTGGGTAGGCATACACCGCGTTATGGGGAAGTTTGTTAATGTTAGGCAAATTAGGACCGAGTTATGGGGACTTTCTGCTGTCCCCATAGCATTTTCGGTCCCCACAAATACCTTGCACAGACGAGTGTGTGTGTGTGTTTTTTTGCTGGACCCAACGGGCTAGCCTATTCCCCTGTGACCTGTCATTTTAAAGAGGAGATTCAACCCTAACAGAGGATATCTCTCTTTGATTCACATGTGCCCTACTTCTGTTCAAATTAGCAATAATATATCGGTTTCGTTTTTTTTTTTATCCACGCTGTATATGATGAATTCGACGTGGGTCTGTGTAGGAGCTGTGTAGTATGTTTGCTCTAGTGTAACAAATATTCTCATAAGCTATTGGTTAATCTTAATTAGGCCTAAAATGCAGTTAATGGAAAGTATAACTTTTTGTAAGAAAAGTGTCCTGCTCGAAGACAGAGGCTTTCCTAATTCGAAAGACACTACCTATACAATGGGGTCTGTGAATGAATGTAGCGATACAATCGAAGAGATCAAGTTGTAATTGTTGTTCTGCACATTTATTTGTGTAGTATGTTGGTTAACGTTGTCATTCATTTCCTATTTAGGTGGTGCTTTGCGAGTGTGAGCCTGGCTGGAGTGGTGAGTTCTGTGAAGTGGATTACGACGCCTGTGAGGACGGCCCCTGCTTCATGGGCGTGGCTTGTTTTGATGAAGCGCCACCGTCGTTGAACAACACCTGTGGACCTTGTCCTGAAGGACTTGAGGGTGACGGCAGGTTCTGTCAGGGTAAGTATAGAGTTCTTGGTTTGAGTATTTATTTGAAACCACTAGCTCCTTTACTGGCTAAGACCAACTTGCTTGTGGACCACTTCAACTGTGACATGCCCATGGGCGACCCTTAACACCTTAAGAGATGTACTTCCAATGCAGGCCAGAACTGTTCGGATTGACCACAATTAACAGCCCGATCTAAATCAAGATTTTTGCAAATGGAGTCATAAATAGAGTCACAAATGGAGTCACATCATCAACATATACGGAAACTAATGGCCTTGGAATAAACTTGGAGGGGAGTGGTCGGCCAACTACAACCCCCTCCCCCAGAGGAAATAACATGGTTAGCCACATCAATTCACCGCCCTTACAATTCCCTGTTGTGATAGATTACATCAGTAAAGTGCACAATGATTCTGTTGTCATTAGTTAACATAGTTTGATAGTGACTGCTGTATTAATGATATGGAACTCACGTTAACTGTGGATGATGTATCGTGTTGTCCTGAAGACTCTATGTCGATTTTCCTGCAGATATTGACGAGTGTGAGCTGTACCAAGACGAGCCAGCCAGCAGCGGTGGACGCGGCTGCGATCAGATCTGCAACAACACCCTCATGGATTACAACTGCAGTTGTGAATCTGGCTACTCCTTGTACATTGACAACAGGCGATGCATTGGTATGCAGTGCACTTTGTATGCAATGAAATTCAAAGAAAAACCTGCAAAGTTACAGATGTACCTGTTGAAAGAAAATTGGTTGCGAACGTGAAAGGGCACAATACCTAAGAGGTTTTCTCTTTAAATATCTGGATAAGGTGAAGAAAAGGTTATCCTCAATAGTCCAACTGTGACAGATATTAGCTTAGCTTTCCTCGAACTTCCCTCAGATGCAGTTATCGTTTTACATTGTGAGATACGGACATTGATATCAAATATCATTGGCTACAAATTCTGCCATCCTCTCCCCAAAAATCCACAAGTCCTAATTTGGGCGATTCACAATGCAGTGCGCCACCAAGAGTTTGCCATAGAGAGTCAATATTTTTAAGTTTATGGTCGACAAAACATGGCCCATTTGGATGATTGTCAGTAGTCAACTTGAGCTAATATGTTATAGATAGGGGCAAAGCGTTCTGCCGCATTTTCAAAAACACCATATTGATATAAAGAAAATAAAAAGGGCAAACAGATCCTAAAATCATTTGCTTACGAAACTACTACTGACCTAAAAAAACGAGACGAAATGAACAAAATTGAGCATTATATTTATTTGAAGGCATATTGGAATTGTCAGCCATTTTTAATTCAAATTTGATTTTACCCTTGTGTTATCCGAGGATTTTGGGCATGTCAATGTTTTCCCCCGTTCACATTTATTTCCATTCTGCACCGGACAATAGAATAATACAAGAAATAACAATATATACGGAAAAAGTGTTCCGGCACACACATGGAGGCATATTCTGGAAGCCGAAGCCTGTATGAAGAGATGTCTTTAAATAATAACTAATTAAAGAAATACTATGTGAGTTGATGAGACATACAAATCAGACATACACAACAGACAAACAGATATACAGAATAACCAATTTGTGTTTGTTTGTCAGACTCGCACTCTAGCTATGAAACCACCCATTTAGAAGTTTGTGTTTGATTTGGATGGTGTAGATATCGACGAATGTGAATTGGGCCTGCACAACTGTAGCGTCAACGCTGTGTGCAACAACACCAAGGGCAGCTACGAGTGTGAATGTAAGCCAGGCTTCAGGGACGACTTTATGGATGGAACGTCGTGTACAGGTAGGCCTATGTGTTCTTGGAAAGTAGTAGAGAAGTTTTCAACATTTGTTGTACAGTAAGCAAACTATAAAAAAATTTATGAATATGATGAAGCACAAAACAGTTTAAAAACAGATGCTGTTTTTATTGGTGTAAAAATGTTTGATAACACAGCGTTTGTGATTTAGCCTTTTCACTGTGCAAATGATGATGCTGAACGTACCACAATCTTAAAGTAAATGTCAAGACAATTGCAAATCATTCATAAGTTACCTTACAAGTACTTTTTACCATAGTCAAGTAAAAATGTAGCGAAGGAATATTGGACAAAGAAAAAGAAGTACTGTTTGTTTAGTTATCGGTTTGAGTAGTTTCACTACTTGTGATGACTGAGGAGAACTTGTGAGAACTTGTGAGAACTCGTGTTTAAATATTTTCAGGTGTTTCAAAGGTTGTAGCTAAGCAATTTAGGCTAGGCTGGTAGATAATATACCAAGGAGAATTGAAACCCAAAGTAATGGCACCAAAATTCTGTTCTTTTTACTTTCTTAAATTTCGATTTAAGTTAATCAAGGCTCAAAAGAGTCTTTGTGGAAATTCAGTCAATACAAACAAATGATGCTAAAAACAATGTATGGAAATTCTCCTGTTTCCAGGGGTTTTTCTCACCTTACTGTGAAGTCAGTATTAAATTAGCTAATTTACAGTCACTACAGTCAGTGGAGGCATACAAAACACCATCATCTACAAGAAGTTGAAAACAAAGTTTGATTTTTCAAATAGTGTTTTTTTTATACATCTCTCAGACCTCGTGGAATGCACAGACAATAGTAGCTATACTTGTGACGAGAAAGCTAAATGTGAAAACACCATCGGCTCGTACCTGTGTGTGTGCATTGCGGGATATGAAGGTGATGGCAAGACATGTCAAGGTAAGGCCTTATGAACTAATTGACTTTTGAATTAATTGTCTTAAATAGACGCAAACAATGTGGATTTTACCAAGTGGATACATCAGGTGGTAATTTCCATTTCATTGCCAATGCAAATGTGAATTAAATTTGGTATAACAAAACTTTCATGGTGAAATCTGTAGGTGTTAAACTGCGTTCAATATTTTTGTGAAAAGGCAGCGTGAAAACTTTCTGTAGCGTCACAAAGTCGTATTTTGCTGAAAGTGTCACTCGAAACACTACTTTCGTCTTCATGTATGTCACTAGATCTGAATGAATGCGCAAGGGACATGGATGATAATTGTCACGCTGAAGCCGATTGTACAAACACTGTGGGATCATACACGTGTGCGTGTGGGGATGGCTGGACTGGCGACGGCACAAATTGCACCAATATAAACGAATGTGCTGCACCGTTACCAGTCTGTGATGAGAACGCTGAGTGTACGGACACTCAAGGTAGCTTTCTATGCCAGTGCAACACTGGTTATGTTGGCAACGGAATGATGTGTGCGGGTAAGTAATGTTATCGCAATTTTGTAGTGTACAAATTGTTTGGTATTGATTGCAGTTAGTGAACCTAGCCAGCAATAGCGATATTTGGAGTGTTTTATTTCCTCGAGGAAATGCAGTGGAAAAGAGTATATGCTCTGTTCAGTGTATTCTGTGCACGGCGAACATATATTCCAGGGCTGTCGATCTGATTTGTCGACTCCCAACATAACACCATCACCCTCACCAACTTAGGTCATGTCCAACACAGATACTGTTGTCCATGACTAAAAGTATGCACTGTTGCCCATCGTGGGACAAAGACAAAGCCATGGCTGCAAAATACCATATTTCAGCACAGCCTAATTTTTTCTGCCATTACCGTTGATTTCCAGATTTGAATGAGTGTACCACTGGTCAGGACGATTGTTTGGCCGTTACTGGTGAGTGCAGCAACACAGTGGGTAGCTTTGACTGCAGCTGTAAGGATGGATATACCGGGGACGGTCGGACAACCTGTACAGGTAAATCAAACATACTCAGTGTGCTGTATACGTGTATTATTAGTGTCCCTTTTAGGTGCACACTGTTAATACTGGGCCTGCGACGGGAACAAAACAGCTAGCTGACTGAAAATGGGAGTTATCCTCTATTTTTTTTTTACCAAAACCTTCTTCGCAGGTATTCATACAATTGTCTCAAAAGGAAAAGAAAATGTTCTGTTGCCAGTGCTTTTGTGTCGAAGGACTGCTTCTTAAATGTGTAGACTTGAGGGAGATGACAAGATTGGAATATGTGCTCAGGAGCATGTGCGACACCAAATTTGCTGACTGTTCCTCCGTGTTGGGAGGTGGCTAGGAAGCGGCAAATAGCCGGCCGTTGCAAACGCAAAAAAAAATGTTGTGTTGGAGGGGAACTGTACCCTGTCTGACTCAAGGAGGCGATGTTCAAATCCATTGGACCTTATCGAAGAATAGTTGGCTCTCTTCATTACAGCAACGCTCACGGTGGTTCATTTGTCAATTGAGGCTGTACGTGCTGACCGGGATACTTTTTGGTGACACCCCGCCCCATTTGCTACATTCCTGGATGCGCTGCCAAATCCCTTGCTCGGCAAACAGCTTGTTGACAAATGAATACGACATTGACACAAATTAAAATGAAAGTATTTTATTTCTATCCAACCATTTTCTTTCTTGTCACAAACTTTGATCCTTGTAGATATCGATGAGTGTCAGGGAAGCAATGATTGTTCTGAAAACGCTAATTGCACCAACACGGTGGGCAGCTATCAGTGTGACTGTGTGACTGGATACACAGGGGACGGACAGACCTGCACAGGTGAGAAATCAACTAATATATACAATTTAGTACCTTGACATTGTAACTAAATCTGCGTAAAAGGCGAAACAACCATTGTAAATTGCTTCCTTAGAACCAATGTCACAGTGCGATTGTTTTGGTTAAGTGTCTCAGCTGTTAATGCCATCAAACACCATCAAACTCAGTCGATAAATTATCTGACATTGAAGAAGTGATGTGAAGAATGTTCCTAATTTTTATCTAAACTTTCCAACTGGATGTGGCAATAATATTACTTTAGTATCAACATTACTATAAAAGCCTTTGTTGCCATTTATTCGCAAGCTGTGTGTAACCATCCCTTTCCATTTTTATGGAGTCCGTTGCTCAACACAAATCTTTTCTTTGGTATAAAGTGCAGGTCGATCTCCAAGTCCAGTAACAGTACAGGGGACTTGCAATGACAGAACGATGGCCCTTTTCACAGTTATCAGCGTTTAACTCCAATACTTGTTGTAAATCTGGTTTCCCCTCCCTTTTGCACAGACATTGACGAATGCACTCTTGAATTAGACAACTGCCAGCAAGAGTGCTTTAACACGGAAGGATCATTTGATTGCAATTGTAGTGCAGGTTTCACCCTTCAAGATGGGGTTTGCCAAGGTAAACTATTTAGCCAGTTTGGCATCCGAAATGTGCATGAAGCGCATCGAGAAATTCATCAAGATTACCTATTACTTATCGTATGACCAGTATTTCCAGTGGGAAAACCTGTTTTGCTGATTTATGTAAATAAATATTAAGAAAATGAAGAAAGTTCAAGTGGTAAACAAACATGACAAAACTTTTTTTCGTAATTGTCTCTTTATTACCAAATATCGTTACCCATGAGTCCATGTACAGCCCGAAAATGGCCCAGCACTGTCCGGTTTTATAGATTCATCAGTGAGTAAATACAACATAGTACAATTCTTTGCCATCACAATGTCTGGGTTTATTTTCTCCCACAGCTGAAATGGTGTGTTCGGGTACAAATTGCACACAGGGTGAGTGCTACAGTACCAACAATGCAGACGTGTGCCTCTGCTACCCAGGATACGCAATCGATGTAATCCCTTAGTCTGTGAAGGTAATATTCTTCAACAGTGTCTTCCTTCCTCAACTTGTTTTAACTTTTTGATCTGTCAAACAGAGTCATATTTCTTTACAAGAATTGAGATATTTCTACGCCAAACCGTTCACTGGCTTTCAGAGAACATTCTTCTAACTTCACGTTTTCTGATTGCATTTCAGATATTGATGAGTGTACAAGCCTGAGTGACCCTCACAGGTGTGGTGCCAACTCCATGTGTGCTAACCTGGCAGGCAGTTACGAGTGTCGTTGTTATCCCGGCTACACTCTCAATAGTGACCAACGGACCTGTTCAGGTATGTCAATTTTACAATGAAACTATGATTCAATTGAGCGTGGCTGCTGAGCAAAAATATTGCTTACCAAAGGTACTATGAATCAACGGGCATTTTTTTTTTTTGGGGGGGGGGGACTGTTGAAGTAAAAGTACTTCTTGTCTGGTAGAATGTGTATAGATTAACAAGCACTGCAGTCCACTGGATTTATACTTGAAATCTGAGCTCTGACAAACGTTCCGGTCATAATTTCATGATATTTAGATGTGAATGAATGCCAAGCCGGTACTCATAACTGCGACGCTATGAGCCAGATGTGCGTCAACGATGAACCCTACTTCACTTGTGACTGCAAGCCTGGCTTCAGCAGCGAGATTTTCAACGGATCCTGCTCTGGTTAGGAAACTTTCCTCCTGGGCGTGTATATCTAGAGGCCTATGGAAAACTTTACAAATTAAGTTCCACTTTGGGGATTGTCTGAACCACCTTAACTTTCATATCTCAGTTTAGGGATTGGGGCTGTTGTGCACTTTACAACAGCTTTATTATCAGCTATCCTGTGAGTGTAAGTAAAACGGGGAAAATGCAGTGCATGTATTCCAAAAGACTCAAAACTAAATGAGATGTCAGAAGTAGGCTCATTTGTTTCTTTGTTCCATGACTCTGAACATAAATATCTAAAAGCAAACATGATTCACAAAATGCACATGAAGATTCTTATTATGAACAGGAGAAGAACAAAGCTGACATCGGTTTGAAGGCCTTTTTCGGACTTTCGTTTGTTGGACAAATTTCGAAACTCAGTTAATTACCTGTATTCAACCACAACCTGTGAAAGCAAATTAGCTGCATCTGCAAATCTGTCAATATTGATATACGGATAATCACTGCAACATGTTGCCTGAAGAAATCCCCAGAGCCGCAACGGAAACCACTCTATTCAAAGAAAACAAAAAAAAAACGTTCGGAAATCGTGCACATGTCCCGCTTCAATTTATTTAAATTTTCTTCAAAAGATGTGATTCATGTTTGTTAATTTTGACAGACATCAATGAATGTTTAAATGACACCTTGAATGATTGCCACATCGACGCTGACTGCCTGAACAATAACGGTTTCTTCACCTGCCAATGCAAAGACGGATTTACTGGCACCGGACAGCTGTGCTTTGGTAATGCACTTTTTATGTTTTGGTATTATTCAAGTTTAATGTGAGTGTTTGTTTGGTGTTTTCCATTCATGTTTTTTTTTTCTTTTCTTTTTTCATGTTACTCTATTGATACACTCATGTATTATGCAGTTAGGTACTTGTAACAACATAAGACCTTTGATGGTCCTTTGTGTGTGTGTGTGTGGGGGGGGGGGGGGGCGGGTCTGAGACATCACATACAAACTGTGGGTTCTTTATTCATCAGTATTAACGCTAGGCTGTAGCATACTTTGAAGTCACACCTGACATGATACATATCATATACGCCAGCAAGTAATTGAAATATGTTCCTGTTTTATTTCTGGTGTTGATTAATTGGAATACACATGTAAGTTTGGCATGTTCTAATTTTCCTGAAAATCTGGGTTAGCTTGCAGACTTTTGTCTTTTCTTTTAAAATTCATCAGAAAATCGTAAAAGCATCGTGGTCGGCTCAATGTGAAGTTGATTGAATTTAACTACACGATCCAATTATCATTTGAATTGAATTTGTTTTCCTCTAGATATTGATGAATGCTCCTTGCCTACCGACGACCCGAACTACGCCAACTGCAGTCGCTTCGCATCGTGCACCAACCTGGCTGGCTCATTCCAATGCAACTGCAACACGGGATACGAAGGGGATGGACAGACTTGCCAGAGTATGTGCAAATAAAAAATAACCTGCGTACAGACTAACAATAGATGAGTGTCAGCATATATTTGTGATTAAGTATTCTTTTGGTTCGCCTTGAATGCTGGGATATATAGCAGATACAATCGATAAGTGGACCGTGTAGCAAAAGTGCCCCTTTAATGGTTTCAAAGAGGAAGTTTGTGTGACCGATGGGAGGGAGCCTTGAATGCATTGCCTACGGCGCGGACACTTTTATAAAGAAATAAGTGAAGATTCGATGGTGATGGGCTCGTACATCATATAGGTTTCCCGGCCAATTTCCTAAAATGTTCATTTACTTCTGAAAATCGGTCATTCCCTTTCGTCCGAATTTGAATGCACGTCTTCAATCTCATTTCAATTCAACAACACTTCAATCGTTTTTGTTGTCGGTGCATTCGGTTTTGAGAAACAAACGGCCAATTACGTTACCTTTGCATTCATTCAAGCAAGCATACCTTTTCGCGCAGAGTTCTGGAATTCAATTTCGTCAACGTGCAAACAAAAGTACGTTTCTCTCATTCAATATAGCAGATTACATCACAGAACATTAAACTCAAGTAAAAGATAATGATCACTGTTTGAAATCGCCCTCTGACAGTGAAAAAGAAGTCTTGTAAATGAATCTGAATGAGCATAAACGAAAGGTGCTGCTCAATCACTTAATTGATTGAACTGAAATGGAATCAAATGCTGTGGTAGCGAACAAAAAACTCGTGTTCAGAGCGATTCTCAAGTTCAGACTTAACTGAATGACCGATTTTCAGAAGTGAATGAGCATTTTAGTAAATTGGCCGGGAAAAAAACTATATAAAGAATTCACAAAACCTGTGTATTTTTCGATGGGGTCGTACATAATACCAAGAATACATAAAACCTGTGTATTGCATGCCATATGCAAATTGACAAGTGCACCAATGCTGTGAACCCCTTTTTCCTGTGATTGGTGAGAAATCATTGTATACTATGCACGGAATCAATATAAGTTATCCCAATTTCTCGTATAGCCATATGGCAGAAGACTGTTTGGTGAACTGAACCTTTGTATTTACTCACATGATACCAAGCATAGTTGAAGTTGGTCATACAGTGTGTTTGAATGTGAGTGTACCTTAATTAATTGAAACAATGTGAAACCATTCCGGACCATTCTCTTAAAGCTTTGCAACCATCCAATTAGATTTGTATTACGACAGATGATGTGAAGCTAGCATAAAGTAGTAAACACAGTATTGATCTTATATTCATAGTTAAAAAGCAATTTTCAAGAAATGTATGAGGGATTTTAAGAAAGGGAAAAAAGAGGGGAGAGTTTATGTTGAGCACTTTAACCCTGAAAGCGTAAAGCAGTTTTGTTTTGCCTCGAGAAATAGATTTCATTTGGAATTTTTTAGGCCTTTTTTTGATGACACATTTTGAGTTAAAACAAAAGTTCAATTTTTTTTTCAATTACTTTACCTTTTGTTATAAAGAAAACATTGGCGTAGGCACTCTTAAGACTTGATGCGTCCAGATGTATTTGGCCGCTGTATAAAATCACGTGTGTTTCACACATTTTCCTTCACCAGATATTAACGAGTGTGAGAGTGGGATCTCCGCGTGCGCTACCAACAGTACCTGCACGGACAACCAAGGCAGTTATCTCTGCACGTGCGACGATGGTTTCCGTGGTGATGGCTTTACTTCGTGCGTCAACATCAATGAGTGTCAGGAGAACCCTGGCGTGTGTCACTCCTTAGCGACGTGCACAGACACCGAGGGAAGCTATCGCTGCGACTGTAACCAGGGTTATCAAGGAAATGGCACATATTGTGAAGGTAAAACAATTATTATTTATGTCATTTCTGACCTGTCTCCACGAAATGAGCTGAGAGTTTGACTTTTTCTTTTAAAGAATTGACATATTGGTAATAAAGGAAACACAAACAACCAGACTTCATTGATGGCTACTGTCACGAGGCAAAGGTTGAACAGAAACAAGACGTACAGGTAAAAGTAAGGATCAAGACATAAAGAAACAGTTGCAATGGGTAAAAATGAAAACGTTGTATAAATGTTTGACTGAATTGAAAGCTAATTTTGATGAGTAAAAGAAGACTTATAGATTTAGGTTAACCTCAAAACCAATAAGTCGACTGGCCCTTCAAAAGTTGGGTTTGTCTGACTGTAATGTTAAATAGAAAAAAAAGAAAATTAATTTCGTGACGACAGGTGGAAACTAACGAAGTTAGCAGAGTTTTGTCAAACAGGTGTCAAAAGTCAGACGCCACTTATATGTCCCTTTATTTCTGCTAGAATGTATAGCATGTACACAACGATATACACCGAATTTGAAAAGCGCCACTGCTTTTGTAAATCAGTTTATAGTGCTATCTTGCTTTCTTACATCAAAAAAAAAATGAAATGTACATTAGTCAAATGTAAGCGTTGAGAATTGATCTTTGGTTTTCTGCAGATTTGAATGAATGCATGACCGGTTCCGATGAGTGTGCAGCCAACATTGCTAAGTGTACGAACAATGTCGGTAGCTACATGTGTTCCTGCGTAGATGGTTATGTCTCTGCAGGCTTCCCAATTGGTAGACAGTGCGATGGTAAACACATTTTCTTTTCTTAGAAAACAAAATGTATGTGGTGTGAACTTGCACAAGCACATTCAAACTTGAGTGAACTGGGTCCTCAAATGTTTCGTGATGTAAATGTGTAAAAAAAAAAAAATCATGGTCATTCAAAATGTTTCAGAGGGTTTTGCAGGATTTTCTAGAAGGTAGATCTAAGCCCGTGTAACTGCAAAATGCTTGATGCCAGTAGCATGTCCACGTCTTGCTCGGTGGAGGAGGGGCGCTCATATTTTTTTGAAAAATTGTTAAAACAGTACTGATACTAAAATGCTGATGAAGGGAACATTTCGCCAGGGTTTACATTTCTCCCCTCCACTAGTGCTCCACCTGTGCACCCCCCTCCCATTACTGGATAAATATCTGCTTGACTCTTCTTAAAAGATGAAGTATAAAGATTGTACCATTGAGTTCCTGTACAGCACAGTTCTGGATTTTACAGAATTTAGGGAAAGTTCCTTTGAAAAACATTCCCTTGGAGAAAGACTGAAACTACATTGTGCGTTCTTTTCGTCAGTCGCGCCTAGAGCTAGAAACCTGCCTACTAGTGTTTTGTGCCTTATTATACATATACTGAATATTCCATGATATGTTTTATTGGCTCCGACTCTGTATAGATATTGATGAGTGTGCGCTGAATCTTGACACCTGCGATACATCGGTGTCGCTATGTAACAACACTATCGGCAGCTACATGTGTGACTGTAAGGAGGGGTATGAAAAGAATGCATTGAGCCAGTGTGAAGGTAATACCTGAATTGTTACAACAGTTCTATGCTGCACATTGTTAGTGATGTACGGACTACGACTGATGAATTTTCACTTGTTGTGGTTTTGGGCGATAAACCTTGCAAAACAACAACCATCTTTCACTATTAAATTTCAAATGTTGATTTTTAGTATAAGGACTAGAAATGTCTGGCCAAGAGTGAATTTCATTGAGGTGGCAATTATCCCGCCTAAACTGACAAATTATATTTTCTACAAATTAATGAAAACATTCAAAATTTACTGTCATTCCCAATTGGGAATCTCGGGGCAGTGCGTAAAATGAGGTATTTGGTTTTGCTTTATGTATAAACTTATCTCAATCTACAAAACTTTGTCCAGTTTGTTCTTCAATTTACCATTTTTATTGTGATATCGTAACACTTACATCCTTAAAAAAAAAAGAGGTTTGAAGGATTTTGCAAGATTGAGGGAAGGATGATCCAAACCACTTACATCAGTAAATAAAGAAAAAAAATGTCATTGGTTTTCTTGCAAAATGTTAATTTTTTTTGTAGGATTCAGGAAGGTTCTTGGCCAAAATGCTTAAGGAGTTTGGGGTTGATGGAATGTTTGTTGACATCTTACCCAATTATTTAGATGTGAATGAATGTGATGACACTCCGTGTACGATGGCCAACTCCATGTGCGCCAATCTGCCAGGGACATATGAGTGCAACTGCATGTTAGGATTCTATCAACAAGGCGCAACATGTCTGGGTAATATTTTGCTATTCCAGATTTGCTGGAAATCGTAACTCTTATTGATGATTTGTTTTTTTTTAAATGGCCATTAAAATAATGATGAAATTATCATACAAATGTTGTACAGGTAAAAAGGGGAAGTTAAGGTGTGAGCATGACTATTATGCTAATGTGGACAAAAACTTCCCAAACGCTATAGTCACAAAAAAAATAAAAAAGGAAAAGAAAAAAGATAGAAGACAGAAGTCGATATACAGCAAGACAATGTTGCAGTGTGCATCACGGTGCACTCGTAGAAGCAAGCATTGTGGCAACTATTGTTTGGAATACCTGTTGTAAAAGCAGTTAAGACATTGTTTTTTGTCATTAATGTGGGGCAGAGTTGTAACGAGTCCAATTTTGTTACTCGAGTCGAGTCGAGTCATTTCAAGGAAGTGATTCGAGTCGAGTCATTACCTCAAAAAGGTCTAGTCGATTTCAGTCAAATTTATGGTAGAGTCAATTCGAGTCACTGGTACTTGTGCATCAATCAAATAAATAATTGAAGAAGGAACACACGGCACTTTTTTTAACGATCCAAAGACTTAAAATATGTTGCATGGTACCAAATAGACTCTTCTGCTGGACGTTTACCGAAAATCTACGTAACAGTTAATAAGAAGTTGAAATTCGGGTCTGGAATATTTTTACGCAGACAACGTAACTAGTTGTTGAAAACGGGACATACATTTAGTCGGAGTATGCATCAAGGGCTTAAGAAATCGCCAGATGCCGATGCTGAAACCAATAATTGGGAAATGCGTTTAAAGCCTGGTTCCGGAGTAGTAGTTTGTGCGCTACAATATAAAACCACGAGGGAGTCAGTTATACGGCGTATATTTGTATGCGATAAGCGGGGAAAAAATTGACAGAAACGCAAAGTACGAAAACAGAAATAACTTCACTTCAAAAATTCGCTCAGGTTTGGGACTCGAGTGATTAGCCTTCGACTCGAGTCGAGTCATTTGCTAACAATGACTCGAGTGAGTCTTGTCAGTTATCGACTCGAGTTATCGACTTGTCGACTCGAGTCGAGTCGTGTCGCCAAAATTGTGAATCGAGTCGGAATCGAGTCGAGTCAATGACTCGAGTCATTGCAACTCTGCTGTGTGGCCAAACTTGTCAATACTTTGTTAGGTCGCCAACATTAAATGTGCTTTTTTTCTCAGCGGCTTATTCAAAGGAGGTATCTGCCGTGTTTGAAATCATCAGTGGCTTGGTTGTGGACAGTGCTGGATTTGATCTGGCAACAGGCTCCGTCACATATCGCCAGGATTTGAAGACTTCGGTACATATTCCTCCATAATATTGATTGCATGATTGGTGGTTACTGATATGAGTGTGGCCGTTGTGCTTTAATTTAAGAAAATGAAACCAAACATGTATAAAGGAATCTTGAATTTATTAAATCAGCACTTCAATGAGATCAACAATGTATATAATTAGGAGCAAACAAATAAATTGATGACATCCCAAGAAAAATGAGTTAACCGTTAATAATGCCCATGAAAAATGGCAAAGGGTTTTTGCTTCAACAAGATCAATGCTCATTGCCCATGCCATAGGCAGGTGGTGGCTTTTGTAAACTATGGACTAAACATTTCCAACTTTTGCAGTGCGTGAAAGTTTTGTTGAACGTCCATCATAAAATAGAAATGGATTCCCATCTTGAATTGCTGGTCCTCTTTATGAATCATGTTGAAATCAGATGGAGGCAGCCTTCGGAGATTCTTCTCTGAGTAGTTCCTTCAGGGATGTCGTCATCACATCCTTGACGCTGAACTCGGACTCAACAACAGCTCTACTGAAGTTGGTCATCAACTTCCAGAGTGGCTCTATGCACTCGGATCTAGACGTCATCATGGCATTGCTTGCCCAGCTGACGGGTAGCAATGGGGGTCAGCTGGCTCCCAACCACCAGCTGATCAGACGGACATTCATCATCGGTGTCCCCAGTAAGTCCTCGAACTCAAGATGAATGCTTCTAAGTCAAGTGCGTTTCAAACTCAAATAATAATGTCTATTCTCACAAAGGAGAATAGCGAGCAGAGGAGACATTCACAGTAAAATAATTCATATTCTGCTGGTTTTTTTTTCCAAACCAGAGTGTGATTCAGCGCCCTGCGAGAACAGTGGTGAGTGTGTTGAAGACAACTTGGCCACGGGAGGATACACGTGCACCTGCCCGACGGGCTACAGCGGACAAAACTGCCAAGTCGGTAAGTGAACTTCTGTACAAAATAGCGTGATTTGTATCTTTCGGTGAGAGACTATTGGGAAAATGGCTCATAATTATGGGATCGGCAATTTGCCACAGAACTCAACGAAATAGGGAAACTTTGTGCATGATTGCCTCTTCTTATATTTTTGGTGATATAGGCTATCATGTGTGTTTGTGTTTTCCCCTCAGCACCTTGTGATGTCAACCCTTGTATGAATAGTGGGAATTGCGCAGTTAACTCTTCATCAGACACTGGCTACACCTGTACATGTGATCAAGGATTCAGCGGCCCTCGGTGTGAAACGTTAGGTAACTTTCTTAATAAAGAAGCTTAGCACTTAAAGAGATACAGTGTCAGGATGTTGGTTGGTGGTTTTTTTAATCAAAAGCAGAGTAGGCATGTGCCAAATGACCAACTGTTGAGGGATTAAAGGAAATATCAGTGCTGTAGTCCAGTCCATCACAAGTCCCTGCCAGTGTATCATTAGTCCTTCAGTCGTAAGTCAAGTCACTAGCTATATTTCAGTGAAATGCAACAAAATAATTCCTTTGTCATTGTTCAACTCGTTACTTGTGACTGACTTCAGGAAAGGACTTGTGATTGACTGGACCACAACACTTGCAAATATACAGATCATTTCATGTAAACTCAAGAATATATATATGACTATGATGTTACTTGGTATGTAAAGGCTTTATGGTAATTACAACACTGTTATTAGATTTCGATATCTCATTTCACGCTTATTGTAAACATACCTTGTTATTTAAGGGCACAGATTTTGTCCTGTAATGCTCTGGTATACGTGCATCTGTGCGCGGTAATGACTCAAACGGGTTGTTTGCAGTGGCTAACTACGGGTAGGGGGAGGCACGGGGGCACGTGCCTCCCAGTGGATGTCCATGCCTCCCGGGTGCCCCCCCCCTCCCTGCCCTCTATCGCAATGCCTCCTCCCATCTCCCCCATCACCCTTTTAGAATCTTGAATTGAACGTAATGATATCATTTGCCTTCATTGCCCCGCCTTGAAAAATGTAATGCACCTCCAGGTGCCCCCCCCCCCCAAGAAAAAGTGTAATCCAAGGTAAGCCACCTGGTTGATTGATGGCTGAAAACAAAATATATTCATGTTTTGCTTTAAGAATTTATCGGTATTTGCTCTTGCTTCTGTTTAAAATTGAACGAGCACGCCAAAATGGATTTTCATCTCTGGTTTATTTTAGCTGTACCCGCCTCCAGGATATGATTCTATTTGATTTTTATTTTTTTTATTTTTTTTATTTTCTCCTAAGCACCTTGTCAAATGGGCAACGACTGCGTAAACGGAGCAACTTGCGTCAACGATCTCAACAACCCTCGGGGATACACCTGCAGCTGTGACGTAGGATTTATGGGAGAAAACTGTGAAATAGGTAACGAGTTGGAGTTGTTATGCTTGTTGGAAAAGAATTGCGCTTTAGTTCAATCTGTTTTGTGTTTTTGAAAATATTGAACGTTCCTATATATCATATGGGTTCAATGACATCAGTGACAGTAAAATAGTACAGAAGTGCAAAAAAACTGTCTTACAAACTGTCTAGCTGATATATTTCAATAATAAAAAAGGAATTGCGTGGGAGGTCCAATCTATGCCTTTGAATAATGACAGCAGTTTAAAAACGGTGTTGTTGTTTTTTTGAAATTCCGAAGGTGGTGAAGGTTTAAGGTATAATTTCAGGTTTCATGATTGAGGAGTTTCTTGCTGTTTTTCAAGGTATGCAATGTGCTATAGTCATATATTTGCAGTCACTCTGGGAAACAGAATTGTAATATGCAACAATCCCTTAAAAATATGTCATGAGACTTGCAACAAGAATAAATAATGACTGCCGAATATGTACGTATTTTCGTTTCAGCTTGTACGCTTTCATGTGCGAATGGCGGAACACTGGATCTTGCAGCATGCACATGTACATGCACCGACAACTGGAGTGGACTGAGCTGTGACGGTCAGTTAAAAACAGTCAAAACAAATAAACGAAATACAGCATTATACTTTTTGGGTTGGGGGGGGGGGAGTAGCAAGGGATATGTGAAGGGCCAGGGACGCAGAGTTTACGGCCATGAATTTGATTTCTGTTTAATGCCGTGTATACAGTTTTCAAAAGGATATCAAACCTGTGACCTGTTTTTATTACAAAGCCTGTATGTCCACCTTATTGGTTCCATTGCTTGGTTGTAATTTTGTTTTAGATATAATTGGAGTTAGCATTGCATTTTGCTTGGGCTTTAACATGGATTTGTGGGGGTAGCGGGTTTAAAACATGATCTTACGGACTTTGGAATTAAAGATTAACATCAGACATGTGGCCGATTTGTTCATGCATTGAAATTTGAGGCACGGGTTTAATAGTCACATTAAAGCCTTATACTGCCCAACGTGATTGCCTCCAAAGCCCCAGCACTGCGTCGTCTCATGGATTCATCAAAAAATAAATACATTGTAGTAGAGTAGGTGTTTATCGGTTCAATGTTATGTGATTGACACCAGATTGTACATTGGACTGCATGAATGGTGGTAATCTGAATCAGCCAACATGTCAGTGTATGTGTGAAAACGCTTGGATGGGAACGACCTGTACTGGTAATTATACCTCCATTTCTGTATTCCATATACCTTTATCATGCTGCCACCATTTCAGTCATGTTCCCTGTATCCAATATTAGTACTGAATGATAATATATTTTGTGCAAAAAGGGAACCAGACTATTTTTCCTTCCAGCCTCTCTTTCGTTAAGTTGATTTGCATGGCTATAAATCACTATGGCCGCATTATGATAACGGTCTATAGGGAACAATGGAAGACAATACGGTCCACAATTCCTGAAGGTCCATAATTATTGACGATCGTGTACAATACATATGAGTTCTTCCAAACAAGTAAAGGTACAAACAAATGAGGGACAATGGGGGTACATGATTGCAGCTTAATACCATACACACTTTGTTCTGTTTGGATGTGTACTTGCCTCCAATGTCATGGTGCAACCAATTTTATTAGGCAAACAAGTTGTGCTAGTTGTAGCAGAAACTGTTGTGCTGACCTTGCAATACCTGGACATAAATTCTGTCCCTAAAGTCATGGTTCATGCGGACTGTTTGCTGTGCCTACATACTTGCAGTGTCCATTAAATAGACAGATGCTCTGTTTGCAGAAAATCATTTGAGCTCACCAAGCATTCTTCGACTGTGTTAAAAAAATTGTTTTAAAGAGCTTACTATAAAGATAGACTTTCTTAAATTTCTGAGACTAATTTCAGTCAGAAAAAAAAATTGGGATAATCTTTGTTCTCATTTTTTGTTATTTTTCAGACTGCGGCTTAACTAGCTGTCCACCAGGAGAGGATCTGTTCAACAGCACTTGTCAATGCTCAGGTATAGGCAAATAAGGACAATGTTGAACGTTGGAGACACTTCCCTCCCCTTTATGGATTCATGTTTGTCATATTCACAAGACAACTTGAATTTGCAGAGTTTGGCTAACAATCCTACATGACCCCACTATGTCGTTATTTTCCAAGTGACAGTGTTTTTGGTGTTTCCTTTTTTAACATTATTCTCAATCTCAATTAAACAAAATGACAAGAACCTGCCGAACTATACCTAATGTGTGCAAGAAATAACACAGTTGCCTTTATGCGCTCTCATTAATTATAAATAGAAATATTTGTATGTAAAGCAATACCATTTCATTTTACTCATTGCTCACTTTTCTTGTTGTATGTATGTCAGCTTGCCCGTTCACCTGTTTCAATAATGGAGTGCAGGAGCAGAATTGCCAGTGTACATGTGACAGTGACCAGAACTGGACAGGGGATGACTGTTCCGGTAAATGAACATCCATTATTGGTTCTATTGTATTAACTTACATGTATACATTTGTCTGAGCAGGAAAGCTCTCCTCTTGCTCTGAAATCACAGTCCGCTGTGCCGTACAACAAATATAGCAATTTTTAAACAAGATATACCAACCTTGGCTATCACTCTCCCAGGAAGGGGAAGGGCGTTTCAGGTTGACACCCCTTTCGTCAGTTTTAACATCTTCCTGTGACGACACACCATTGTTTTGCCTCCTCATTTTTGGACGAAAGGCGCACCGCGCACCACTCGACATCTAATGCAAAGGTGGTTGAATCCACACGAATAATGCGGGAATTTCATGAAATCACAGCAAGACACTTTAAGTTTCGTTCTCTTCCCCGCTTTCCTTCAATTAAAAGTACCGATGAAGTCGATGGAGAAAAATGACCTTTGGAAAAATGGACAGGATTCGAACCAGGGACCTTTTAATACAAAGCTCATCTCGTTAACCACTAGGCTTCTGTGGCAGCTCCACGACTGTCGTTCTTTAAAATACTTTAAATGTAATTAATAGACTAAATACTTACTTTGATATGACGTTATGTTTTTTTGTTTTTCATGAATAAACATAATTTTAACAAATCAACCACGAAAATGTACAAATGCCTTCGTTCAAGCAATAGAGAAGAATTCGTGGAGGATGTTTAGCAGGTTGATACACTTGGTGGCGCGCCGTTCGCATTTTTTTGTTAACAAAATTATCCAAATTGAATGCTCCATGAAATTTGCCAAACAATCGTCAAGATAAACCACACATTTTAACAGAGGAAATGAATCTTCACTGTCCACAAACCAAGCCCTGTAGCCATTCCAACCAAGTAAAGCTTGCATTAATACTTGGCGAAATTATCGCCCTTGTGAGCAGAATTACTATTCGTTGGCATAATGAGGCCTGATGAAATGTTGTCATCTTGATAACAAATTACGTTCAGCATCTTCAAAATGTGTTTATATCAGGGAAAGTAGCTCATTTGCAGTTATGTGGTAACACATCCCAACTTTAACATTTCTTGTCAAATAAAACTCTAACTTATGTTAACTGTTTAAATATCTTCATAGCATTTAAAATCTGTCATTTGTTCTGTTTACAGAATGTCCGTTACAATGCGCGAATGGTGCAGAGCTTAAAAGTCAGACCTGTAAATGTTCATGCACAGGTAACTGGATGGGAACAACCTGCTCTGGTAAGAGTTGTGTCTATTTTTCAAATTACCCTATTGTTGTCTTTCTGTTTCTTATCATTGAATATTTCACAGAAAGCCAATCATCTTTCCTCGTTTAAGAGTTTGGAAATCATGCAAACTCTTGAATGAGGGGCATCTTGATGTCAGTACACGTTGATGTGGGTGTATCGATCTTGTAACACATCAGACGCAGTGATTTTTGTTGGTGTAAATTTGAAGCTGACAAATAGAGAATAATTGGACAATTTATTTGTCGTTACGGCAACGGAAGCTTTGTCTGTGTCAACATGGAAAAAGTTTATGTTATTCAGTGTATAATGTGATGAAGCCGCGACCTGTTTACAATCTCAAAAGTCCTAACAAGATGTTGTCAAGCAAGTGGTAGTAACTTAGCTGTTAAGGCATAGTTCCCTGTTTTATGCCGCAGTTTTCGAGGCTACATTTCTTCTTCAAGAAAGTGTAATGTAGACTCGACAATGTTGTGAACTGAAGTCAGTTTTGTGAACTCAGCAATTGATGTAGGTTTAAAATCGATGAGGTATTGAGGTTTTCAATAAAATAAAGAAAGGGAAAAACAAATTAGTACAACTATGATGTGAAAAATATGAATTTGAACCTTTACAGAGTGCCAATTGAACTGTGCAAATGGAGGAAATCTCAACAGTGGGACATGTCAGTGTACATGTGCAGGTAGCTGGACTGGAACCACCTGTTCTGGTGAGTTTTGCTTTTAATCGTAGAAAATGAGTGTCATTAGAAATGATTGATTTTGCCAATTTTTAAACTAGCTAAATGTTCAAATCATTTTTTGTTGTACTCAAAACAAACGGACAAAAAAGTACGATTGTAATTGTCTTCTCCACCGACGGAATCCTACTGATGGTCCAGTCGGCCAGTTGCCAATTTTCATTTTTGTTGTCATTTTAATTGTTCACAAGCTACGTCTTAAAAAGCGTGAAAATGGAAATTCAACTTAAACAACTGTATCATAAGTATTCTTAAATAATTATTCAATCTTGTGAAAAAGTATGTTCTCAGCTATTGGTAATTTCTTAATTGAACAAAACAAGTGGCTATCCTACTAGCTATATAGTGGAAATGTTAGAACGAGGATTCATGGCTTTACTTAAAATTTAAAAGCATGTTTTAATTTTTGAAAACTTGTGACTTAGAACACAAGCCTCGTTGTTTAGTTTATTTAAAATAGTTAAGATACGTTTTTAAGCTAAAGTATTGTGATTGTTTTCTTTTCAGACTGTCCACTTTCCTGCGCAAATAACGGTACGCTGAATGACGGAGCATGTCAGTGTCAATGCGATAAAAACTGGATGGGAATTACCTGCACTGGTGAGTATGGAGAAGTCTTATATTTATACAATAGAACATTGCTATAACAAAACACCACCATACCAAAATATGGCTAAAAACGAACCTTCTCTCTTGGCTTTTAAATTGTTTGCACATATAAACAGACCATTGTTAGCCTGCAAGTATTATTCGGTTACTCGATCAATCGATTGCTGTGTCGATTATTAATGTACATTTTTGTATTCGATTAATCAAAAACCAAGTAGTGAAAATAAAGCTTTCCGTTAAAACCTAAAATGTAAAACATTCCACGTAGCGCTAAACGATGAAAATTTCGTCACAATTATAATGTTTGTCTAAACAAATCGGAATCGCGTACGTAAGCTCTAAAACATCGAGATCTATGCGATTTTGTTTTTAAATCGTAGCTTTATGCTCAACCCAGATTTTCCGGCCAAAAAAAATGAGGCTGTTCGATTAATCGAAACCGTAAACGAAAAGGGAACGATTAATCGATTGAAAAACATAAAGATAAACTTGCGAGCCTAGAGCATTAGAAGACAAACAAATTGCCCTCTATATCGACCCAATTATGGTTATAATCATTATGAATGGTTATAGGACATCTCGTATCTCGTTCAGACCTGAACGTTGTTGTAGTTAGCTGCAGGTTCTAGTCATATACCTAGGTGTTTTACAGTGTATAAGCATACTCGATATTTATACAACGCCCGAATAAAGCCCTAGCTTTTTATTGAAATGTCCCATCTGCCACCTCTTGAAATAATTCTTACCGTTGCACTCATAAACATTCGTTATTTGTATATTACATGTATAGCACTGTAGATGGGGAATGTTGTACTGTTAAAACAGAAAATTGACCAATGGAGATTGTTTGTTGCAGACTGCAACTTGAGTTGCGAGAATGGCGGAACGCTCAAAACTGCTACTTGCCATTGTTCATGTGCCCAGAGCTGGACTGGGGCTAACTGTTCAGGTAAGGGAACGAAATTAGACATTTAAAATTTACAGTTATCGGGGAGGGCTCTAATATTTTGAGGGGGCTGGCATTCTCAACAAAGCTTCAATACGTCAGTTCATCATAAAAGTGATAATTTCCCATACAATAGTTAGCAGAAGTTGAATTTGGTATTTAAAAACCGGAGATACATTCATATACATCATCCATCATGACCATGGGGGATCAGTTTGGCATAGCTATACTTTCTTGCACCTATCACTGTGACCATATAGTTAGAACCCTATCTTGGCCCGTCACCTACACTGTTATTTCCTTTCCCATGTAATACCATGGGACCTCACTTTAAATGAGTCGAAAGAACCTGATGAGATCTTTAAGACTGTACCAGCGCTCTACCATAAACAGAATGTGCTGTATCCAGCCTGCATTGGCAGTCTCCCAAAATGCAAAGACATTCACTGTAATCCGAAGCCATAAACAGAATGTGTGCAACATTTTTCATGTTGCTAGCATTGGGACTTGAAGCATGATCCTTTTAGGTCCTATGTCACATGCAATACCCATGCACTCCCATGTAGAACTAACTTGTTTGTTTGTATCAGAGTGCCCGCTGTCTGCATCAAGTTGCTCGAATGGAGGTACATTTGATGCAGAATTCTGCCAGTGTCTTTGTCCATCTGATTATGCTGGACCAACTTGTATAGGTAGGATTTTACATTGAGCTGTCTTTGAAACTAAAATATTTTTTTGTGATCACAATAATTCAGCAGTTATGGTTTTGCTTTTTTGTAATTTGTATGATGATTATATTTCCTACGATACTGGTCTCATCTAAAAATATTCTCTTCTGATTCCAAAAATTACACTGAGCGGTTACACTGAGTTGCTACGTGATAATTCTTTTATTCACAAACATTATTGGAGCATTCCATTTTATCGAATGATGCTTAAGTTCCTTATTCAAGCGAATTATAATGCGAGTAGTGAATTCGTTCGGGTAACAAGGACGGATCCAGGGGGGGGGGGGCAAAGGAGGCCATGACCCCCCCCCAAAAAAAAAAAAAACGAAACAATTTTTTTGTTTTTATGTAACATCGCAATAAAGACAGACAATGAGTACACCACCATCTTTTCCTAAAAAAACATTGGTTAAAGTGGTCAGAAATTGCCTCAGATCGCACCACAGAGCACCAAGAATCCAAAAATATTTCGGGGCCCTTAAGCGGGCCCCACGCCGTAATTTTTTTGACCCACTTTTTTGGGGGACCAAATTTTTTTTGGCCCCCCCTAAAATTGTGTTCTGGATCCGCCCTTGTCGGTTAACAGCAAACGACACAATGAAACTTCAGTTGTCGACGTCATTAACTTGCTTTAGTTTCGCTTCAAGATAGTGTGAACGGGCACTTTGGCAGGAAGTGCAGATGCAGTGTCACAGCTGTGGAAATATTCCGGGAAATCTTTCTGTTTTTACTCAGTTTACTCAGGTCACTTCTTTACCTGTTTTTGTGTTTCTTTTTTGTCCCCTTTTCTTTTTTACAATTAATACATGCTAGCCAATCCATGAAGAAAAAAATACATGTTCTCTGCTACAAGAAGTAAAATTTTAAATTGATTACTAAGATATGGTACTGCTACACAACATGTACTGCTATCAACGCAACAATAACTTACAAAACCATGTAGGCCTACTGTCCCATATTTTACCATTTTTTCAGCTGCCAGTCCATGTTTGTTAGACACCGCTCTATGTCCAGACACTGATGGCAAGTTCTGTCAACCGGCTACCAGCGCTGCGGGCTACACATGCAAATGCAATGGGTTTGCAGAATATTTCACTAACAGTGACGGTTCATGTTCAAGTAAGTCGGCATTGGTTCTTCACAATCTTTATTTAAAAGTGACTGGAGCACGACTTCGGTCTGATGCATGCATCAAGGTTCTCTAAATTGAGCTTTCCACTTGATGACCTCACTGTTGGAGCTATTATTTATTTTTATTTTTATTTTATTTCTTTCTGGTAATGAAACCAAGGATTACTCAAAAGTGCCATAGGCACTGTAGCTCGCAAGCCTGAAGAAACCTGTAGAGAGAAGACAGATTTGCACTCAAAAATCATTACTCTGTATGTGGCATCTAAAAAGATACAATACAAGCAGTAGTTTACAGTAAACCATGCAGAGCAAGATATTTTTCATTTGTTTGTGGGGGGAGCGGTTAACCAAAATGTTCCTCCGAATTTCAATTTGCCAGTCGACCCTACTAACAGTTTAAGTTACATTAATAAATACCTTGGAGAGTTGATGATTGGTCGAAACTCGATCACGTGGCCGGGCATTAACGGTGATATAAAGACCGGCTTCAAAGAACAAGCGAATAAATGGCCCCTGAAACAGCAATGATCCAGCCCTATGGAAGGCAATGATTGGCCAAATTTACAGCAGCCATACGGCAGCTTGTAACAATACAGCACTGCCCATGCGCTCAACCACCTTCGCGTGAGACTGACGCGCGCGTACGCAACACAGTTGCTATGGGTGCGCGCGCGTAAGGAAGTTTGGAAACGACATATCGTACAGCGGCAGTGCACTTAACTGATGTTACGACGAAAGCGTAGATCTACGATTTATTTTCTGTAAATACCTCGCCGATCGACATAATTTACCTTTCCTTAACCAGGCATCTTTGTAAGTCTGGACACAAGGAATGTGTAAACGAAATTTCAGCTTCCTCCATAAGGTAAAAATATGAAAACATTGTTGTAATTTGTTTGACTACGGCAGCAGAAGTCGTACGCGTACGCAATGAAGATGTTGCAATTGGCAGCGCAGCCTGGGCCCGGCTGTGGTGTATAAAATAACGCTTATTGAAGAGACAGGGTACCACGCATAAGCTAAAATATGGCCCATGAACATCAACACAAAAAAGTCTGGAAATATCGCCGTAAAAAAGTCACAAAATTGGAGCATTTTAACTGTTTATTTCGTCTCGGTCCATTAACAGCGGTCACCCCAAAACCCGGTCATTATCACGCAGTGAAGACCGGCTCCTCACACTGTTATTCCCTTATTTACACACAGCACACCATGCACAAGCAGACCGTGTACAGAGAGTACGTTCAGTGCAAGGGTCATTCAAAAGTATTGCTGTAACATTACTTCAAGACAGGAAAAAAATCAACCACTGTTATTGTTTTTTTTTTTTCAGAACGCACGTCATTCCGATTTGGCATGGCATTCGACCTGCCTTTCCTTAGTGCCTACCGAAACCCATCATCTGCTTCATGGAGAAAACTTGCCAGGAGGATCACTTCAGCGGTAATATACCATTAATTATAATAATTCCATTCATTTAATTACATGTATGCACCTGGTGAAATGAGCCTAAAACGTGTGTGTTGCACACAAGGATACAAACGAGAGTTCCTCTACAACAGAGCATATCCCTACGCTACGGTCTGGAAATTGCGTAGAGAATGTGCCTTCATCGCGAACCGGATACCCGATGTCGTAAGGATCAAGAACCTGCAAAACTAAACCAAAACTAAAACATGACGAAACCGTAGGTTCACGTGTATTGCGCACCACACGTTCGATAGCCAAAATTAAAAAAAAAAGGAAAATATAAGCACTTTGTCGATATTTTGTACTCATCACCACCGTACTGTCAAGTGCAAAAGGCGTGTGTGTGCGCCTGTGTAAACACCGGCAATGATCGTGGACGTAGGACAAAAGAACTGGGGCGCAAATGATACGTCCACGATCTCCCGAACGTCCACGATCTCAAATCGTGTACAAAACCAACGAGAGTACAAACAAAGGAAAGAGGATTAGGGGCAATAAGGCGTCCACGATTGCCAATGTTTACACACGTGTGGGGGTGTGTGTGTGAGAGAGAGAGTTTGTTTCAGCATTCAATTGGGGACGTTGAACAATAGAGGACAATTGTTTACAAAACATATGGGAGATCTTCCTAAAAAGTACAAACAAAAGAGGGACAATAGGGGTCCTCGATTGTAGGCAAATATACGCTTGTGTGCGTGAGTTTTTTTGGTTTTGTTTGCATTCAATAGGGGATGTTGAACAATAGAGGTCAATAGGTCCACAAATCCCGATATTGGAGATATTGTATAAAAACATATGGGAGGTCTTCCTGTAAAGTTGTTGTACAAACAAAAGAGTGCATAGGGGTCCCGAATTGCAGACATATATACACTTGTCTGCGTGTTCATGAGTTGATCAGCATTCACGAATTAAAAGGCACATTATTTCATCTCGTTTTGGTTACTGAAGTTGTGGCTCGCTTTCAGAAAATTTCTGTTTTTGCAGCGAAGGTTTTCAGGCAATAAAACGAAATATGGAACCGGATTCAGTTTCTCACATGAAATTATGTCGAAAAGTCGGCATACCCAGGTGTTTTCCCATTCCTACAAATTACAGTCAAGATGGGGTCATGTGAAGTGAATCTATCATAACGAAATTTCCACTCTGTTGAAATGTATTTCTGTAAAAGAATAAAAAAGCCAATCTCTTTACCATCTGAACGCTACTTTCTCCTTTTTCCAGATCCTGAACAAGCTGCGGGGAGATAGTTTGACCGACCGTGTGATTGGGGTAACAGTTTTGAGCTTAGAAGAAGGCAGTGTGGTTGCACAGACGGCACTGGCATTCCAAGGGCAACAACCCTCGGTGGATGTCATCAGCAATGTGATAGCAGAGAATGATACACTATACGATGGTGTGGACGACATAGCTCTTGTACCGGACTCTGTCAGTTACACAAACACATGTAAGGCTTTGTAATGTCTTAGCTCCTGTAACTTGCCAGTTACCGGCCAGTACTACTTTCTAAAATCCAAAGAGTGAACATTCACTCCATTCGAGTGAAGATTCACTCCCACAGTCGTAAACTAGGGACTAGACGTTTAGAGTGAACTTCTTTCAGTCGTTAAGATCGAGTTTTCACTCGAGCTTCGACTGATGTGGCTTTTTTTTTCAGACTTTTTCAATCGAAAATGAGAGTGATTTTCCCTCTAAAACGTCTCGTCCCTAATGTCACTCTTTGGAATTTAGAGAGTACCCCAAACTGCCCCAGCCCTTGTATGGTTTATGGATTCATTAATGAGAAATTGCAGTGTGATAACACAATGTTATACAAGTGCTAATGGGTTACAGGAACATTTTGATTGGAGGGCGAATACGATTTTAAACCATTTTTGAGATATTTCACTCCATGATTGAAATACCAGTTACACTCTGAAACAGCGACATCAATATGAAACAAACATAAATAATTTAGAAACACGGGACACTCAAATATTTTAAATGGTTTCAAACTTTGAACAGTGTACAGCAGTGTCAACTTATTTGAAAAGGATATGGACAACTGGTGAACCCAGAAACCTCCTCCTGAATTGAAAATGCAATCCCTGCGACAACCTACGCTCAAAGTGCTCAGTAAAGCAGTGGTCTATTGTAGACTGTGTCAATAGGTCATTAAGTGGATTAATTGCTATGCAGTGGAATCACAGTGAAACTTTTTGTTTAATTTTTTTTTTTGTTATCAGCATTGTTATCAGACTGCACACAAGATGGTTGCATGAATGGCGGAACATGCGAGAGCTCAGGATTCTCCCCTCAGCCAACTTGCAGGTAACTTATGGGGCGGGGCCAGGATTGTGCGAAAGGAGTGGGAGTATATAACCATGACAAGTAGAACATGACAAAGGGCAGAAAGGTGTCTGACTTTTTTTTGTATGGGATGTATCGCCCAGTTGAGTAATTGTAAATTGAATAATGAAAAAAAGTCCCAAACTGATTATAAATGTTGAGTATATATCATCTGGTATTCTTTTTTGTCCCAGGGAAAACTCAATGCTTATATTGCGGTCTTTAAAGTTGCATCAACCTGATACCCATATGTACTTTTATCCCTGGCGAGAGCTTACAACGTGTGTTTCAAATGATGTTTGATACTTGATACGGTGATCGATTTTTCTCCATCTATTCTCCCAAACTTTGGATCAATCTCCCTATCGTCATATACGTGATTCCCAAACTCTGGACACTTTCAAAACTAGATTGAAAACACACCTATTCAAACAATTCAAATGCCACTTTTCTTAAGTTGTTTACGCTATTTCATGTTTTGTTAAAGGGAAGATACAACATTTCCAAACATTAGAAAACGAAATGATAAAACTATCACGAAATACCTTACTGGATTGTTAGGGAATGACAGTTTGAAGCATTCTGTAGAATCGTGGCTCCTGGCGTGCTGGCATTTTCAAGAAAAATTATATTTTCCAACGCAGGTCGGCCGACCAGCGTTGGAGAAAACTTGCTTTTTACAAAAAAAATACTCCTATATAATTAGTCATATTAAGTTATTCCGCATTTTCTTTGCAATCGATTACTACACCTTGCTTGGGTAAAATTAACCCAAGCAATTTGTCAGTACTGTGTTTATATTCTGTATGATATATTGATCTTAAATTATACTAGTTGGTCGAAATAGTGTCAATCAAATTCTGATAGTTACTAACACAGACTACTTGAGCTGATATATTGTTGTGTACAGAGAGTTTAACTGAATAAATCTCACTCATCACATCCTTGATTTAATCATAAAAAAGGATGGAGAAATTCCTGCATTCTTGGTCCCACTTTCTTTACAATATGCACAAAATGCATATCAAGAATGAACGGCTAGTAAGGAATGCTTAATGACACAATTGTGAAATGAATGGTAGATAATCATTGATTTTAGAGGCTTTCTTAGTCCAAACATGTAGAATCCGTGTTCAGAAATGTAGATATAAGCAAAAGTGGGATGCAATCTGTATGTTTCTTGTAGTTGCCCTGCATCGTTCACTGGCGAGCGGTGCGAAACTGCAGTGACCACGTCACCACCAGACTTGACAACAGAGACACCACCAGACTTGACAACAGAGACACCAGCCACAGAAGGAGGTCAGTTTTGCGACACAATAACGAAGAAATAAACCAAACCATAATATGTTTATGCGACCGAATGAAGATTGAAATACTTTTCACACAGTACACAATATATTAAGAGGGTATAAAAATGCTCTTAACATGGTGCAGTCGATGGGAAGAACTGAGCTTGAAATAGCCAAGAAATTGATTTCAGCAGGAATTTAATCTTAGATCTGTAAAACTGTACCATCGCTGAACTATTTTTTGCGTTGGCAGTCTTCCAAGTTATCAATGGAAAATTAATCAGTAGTAATAAGTGGTGTGCAACTTTATTCATGTTGCTAGCATCGCGGCTTGGTCGCAGCATGATCCCTGCAGGTACAGCGATACCTTTTGCAACATTTTTACACCCTTGGTTCACATATTAATCGCACAACAACTTGTTACTGTTTGTTCTCTTATTACAAAGAGTCAGCTCCAAACATTGAGTTTTGTTTCTGGTAAATGGATCTCAGATTATTATGCAATAACAAGTAATGATGCAATTATTATTATTTTTCCCCAAAACCAGGTATATCAGTTTGTGTTCAACTGCTTTCTTTCGTGAATCTGAAGGTTTTGGAAAAAAATTATGTACTCTTTGCGCTGTTGCAGGCGGTGGTGTGTCACCTCTAGCTACAGTTCTCATCATAGTCGGATGTGTTGTTCTCCTGCTGGTGATAGCAGGAATAGTCATCTGGTGCTGCATGAGGCGTCAATACCTTATTAAAAGTCAAATCTACCATCAGTCAAGTAGACGGCTCCAAGCTAATAGGGAACCCTTCGGTTTTGAAGATCGCCGAGATCGCAGCTTGTCCTCTGACGAAAGCTACAATGTAGCTGACTACAGCGAGGAAGAAAGGCGGATGAATCGTCTCGCTCATGTCATGAGCCGGTCACCTTACCTACAGGTGAGACAGGTAGCTGTGTTCTTCTCCAAGACAGGTTTATAAAGAAAGAGCCTGTCAAGTTGCTGGAGTTATAACCCCAGCCTTTTCAGATCTTTTCCAATCCGCCATGAGGTATTGATGTCTTCTGTAGGATTCAGGAAAGTAGAGCTCAGCCAATGTCATTTAACGAGGCTTGATGCCTCTTAAAAGAACGTATCGTGTGCTTAGGGGCACGGTAAAATGGACCCTGTTACAAGATGTTTGTATCTGATAGGCATGGTAACAATCACAATACTGCCTTTGGATGTGTATGATCTAAGTAACATCATGTATTACTTACTTTTTTTTTTATACAACGCACAGACTATGCAGAGTCATTCAGAGTTCATCCGACCATACATGGTGACTGGCAACGAGGCATTGGAACGTTACCGCGAAGAAGAAGCGGTAAGCTTACAGGATCAAAACATTCACATTTTAAGTTTCAGATATTAAATGTTTTACCCTCGGTGTACTTGTTTCTATTCTAACACGACTCTAATTTCAAGACTCGTGTCATGTATTTGGTGTTTTCTTTCACAGCGTGATGGAGGGGACGTTGCAGGCCGCGTGGTGTACAATCCCGCCCTCTACTACTAAACTACGACAATAGCCTGCTCTGTGACAAGTAATACCCATGGGATAAGTAGACTGAACGAGTAAGCGACGGCTTGCAGCTTTACCATGATAACCAGTTCCACAGTTATCCAAGTTCAAGTAGAGAGTTAATCTTCGCACATATCGCATTTACCCAATAAGGTGCCGTGTCTCTCTCCCTTATTCTTAGTTTTAATATATTGTTTTATTCTTGTAGGAGCGGACAAAGCAAACAGCCATTTCCAAAAGTAACATCTTACTTAAGCAATAACTCAGTTGCAACTGGTTTTGGATTCGGTGAGGCTTGTTTGGTTATTTTTTACCCCTGCAATGATGTTAATTTTATACACCAAACTCTACAAGACAGATTCATTTAATTTGGGGCCAAAATGAGCATTCAAGATTAGACATAGCTGTCTTCAGCCATCCACCAACATCAATAATTTTAAGGGGAAAACATGAACTTATTTGCTGTGTTAAGTAATTGTTGTATTTAATCTGTAATAGGTATACGGGGTCCATTTTGTTTAATGTAATCCGATGTCTTTCATTGTGGGACAAAAGGAAAAGCTTAGGCTGTTTTTACGGATTATATTCTGCTGTAAATTTTGATCAGCTTTTTGTTAGAATATCTTGTAATCTATTTTTATTGTATTCTTATCGGTGAGAGAAATGAAAAATCAACGCTCAATAATGTTCAGTCAAATCTTGAACATTCGGAGCATTCGGTGTGTACAATATTACATGTACTGCACATTAGCTGACACACAAGCTGCACACGAACCAGTTTTGAATCGCAGTCAGTTTTATTTTAATAATGCATAGAAATTGGGTAAACGTTTGCGTAAAATGTATTGTAATACTCAGAGTAATGTCATTATTGACAAAAGATATGCTAATTACAGCCTAGGCCTCCATGGGGGGGGGGGGTGTAAGTGGGTATTTAACCCCTCTCCCAATACTTTGTAAAGACTGCCCCTTTCCATTCAAATGTCCATGTTTTCACCAGCGCATACCACCACCCCTTCCCATATTTGTAAAGAGTGGCCTTCTTTTGGTAACAAGTGCCTTTTTTTTTCTAAACAAGTGTCCTTAACAACAACAAAAATCGTGCCCTTTTTGCGCCAACGGCCGTTACGGGTGCCTTGTTTTAATTTTGCGCTTGTATCACCCTGGAAAGCACCATATATTGTCCGTTAGTTTGCATAATCGGCGATTTGGAACAGCGCCCCCATCTCCCCCCCCCCCCCACACACACACACTATTTGATTTTTCATAGTGTCTGGAGGGGAAAAAAAAGGTCTACATTTCAGCACGGATGTGCAAGTACCCTTTTAAAGAAATGTTCCCCCCCCCCCCCAAATAAAAAATGGAAACTTCGTTGACATCCTGTCAGGCTACCGAGGTCAAATAAAATACATTTAACAAATTTAAAACATTTCATCCGAAACTTTACAGCATCATTTCATATATGCCAGGCTGTCAAAAAAACATGAAAAAAAAAATGATTTTATATGAAACCTACATATATTTTAGCAGCATTTATGACTAAGTGGAGGCCTAATTAAATGGAAAAAAAAATATACACATATACATTTTGGTCTTCCTTAATTTAATCGGATTTTATTATTGTAATATCCATATGTTTTATGGTTGAAAATGTAGTTTTCTATCAATTTGAAATAACATTTGGGGTTTTCAAGGAATTAAAAGTATTTGTTTAAGTTTGTAGTTTCAATTCGTTTACGTATTCAACTGGAAAATGAATGTATTCACCACAACACTGGATTGTTTCGGCTACTTGTAGCTCAATGCATGTATGTCACTTGCAGTGAAGTATTTTGTAATACGGATATTTCCCTACAAATGAACGCATTTAATGAAAAGGTCAACATATTTTGTTGTAATGTGTACAGAAACAGCTGTATTTAAAATTTGCATATCAATGTCATGATGATGTCATGTCAGTCTGTCACAAATCAAAGAGAACGATTGTATGTGAATCTTATTTTAGCAGCGTTGTATGACTTATTGAAAGCATAAATAAATGAAATATATATTTTGTGTCTCCCAGAATTTCATCTATAGTTTATTTTGGTATTTACACAATTTGTGAAAGTATAGTTTGGTATCAATTTCAAATATCAATTGGGGTTTTGATGGAATTAAGGGTATGTTTTATTCCGTAATTTCAATTCATTTACGTATTCAAATAAAGGTCAGCAAGGGAAAATTGTTTGATGTTTTCATGATTGTTATTATGATAACAACATTATTCAATATGTTAAATGGTATAATATATCCATAGTTTATGCAATATAGCCTTTCGAGCAAGGGTCTGTGATATGCGAGCAGAATCGGCGATTAATTATGCAAAAAAAGACTGCGCCTTGACCTTTCAGCGTGCGCTTTCTATATCTGGTCTTCGGTTATATACCCGTTGTTGCATCACATATTTCTATAAGTGTAACCTACACACGACATCTATTATTCTGTTCTGTTAACAAAGAGCCATATTTGGGCAACGAAACTAATAACATCCCCATTTTTGTCATTAAATAACACACTACTGCTCTTGTTTTTATACAACGTCAAGACCCGGAGTGAAACGTATGCGCTTACTGCACTGACCAAGCGAACCCAGACTTTGGCAAATTGAGCGCCAACAAATGTGTAATTTCTGTAACAAAACTTGTAGCTGGACGATAGAGGGCGTCATCGCATAGTTCTGCGACTTAACTGATTTCGTTGCAACAACCCCACTAAGGTGAGGAATGCGGAAGTAAACAATGCAGTGACCTCAGCGACGACCGTTCATTCATAAATCTGAACGCTACAGCGGTTTGCGATCAGAGTGAGCATAACCGGTAACCAAGGACAATATCGCTGAAGCACTCATTTGTGTAAACATGCACCTTACCTTCAATCGTGAAACCCCCTATAATTTCCCTCCTTTGTCAGTTTAGTTATTTGAAGTTGTGCTCGTGCAAACTGCCAGTTCAGTGAGTTCCACCAAACCTCAAGTTCATGAGTTCAGAAAAGCAAGGCACACAAGGCACACGTATTGTTCTAGGAGGACTGAATGTCTAGTCTAGATTTCATGGTGACTGTCACTTGTTTTTGTTGTCACTCTTTGTTGTTTTGTATCTAGTCTAATTAATCGAACTAAAAAACAACAAGTTAATCGAATAAAACACAACACTAATTTCCATCTGAAAACATCCTGTACGTTTTGCCAGATTAAGTTAAATTCACACCACCGGATGAAATAAAATGACCTTATTTTTATTTTATTCACCATACTTTGTAATAAAAGTAGGAAAATGCCGTTGTAGATCGTTGTTTGCTTTCCATGTCCATGCAATCATCGGTAAAAAGGGTCAGTTAAAGTTGGGATTTTTTTTTTCAAATGTTCTCCAGTTTCCCCAACATGCCACTTATCACAGCATTTGAATGAGATATTTAAAAAAAAGAAATAGTTTTACAGGATTCACGAATTACTGCGAATAGGTGGGTTTTATTTTTGTAGGTTGCGAGCGTACGTACGTACATGTACGCACCTCGCGCCGTCAAAAACGAAGTCACCGTGCACGGGCGGCCAATGTTTGGCCGTCCACTGGAGGTACCGGCCCGGCTTGCGCCATGCGGAAAATCACGCTGCACTAGATCGTTCAGCCGCCAAAAAAAGTGTATAAAAGTCGGCGGATAAATCCTTCTTTCTGAGCAGTGTCTTTCATTTGTCCAGGAAAACTGGTCCAGCTGAGAGTTTTACCCCTCCCACCCACTTTCAGATTCATCATGAATGTACAACCGATATGAGTGCACGTTTTGGTCGTAGAGGGCGAACTCGCAATTCTCAACATGCATCGGAAGGGTTCTGTGTACTGCTTACTAACATCTGCGGCTTGTCTGGCCATCATCCTGGTGAAGCAAGTAATCTGGATATGCTCCAATTTTATGCACCGTGCCATAACCCAACTTACAATGTCGTTACTGAAACCCCTATTGATGATTCAACTACAGGTAAGTTAATTGCCATCCCGGGGTATCAACAATATTCCGCTGTGGTCGTAATCGATATGGTGGAGTTGTCATTGTGTGGGCTCATAAGGATGGCGCAGATGCCATCCGCTTAGAAGATGAGGAACCGGACGTCTTGGAGCTCATCTGCCTGTCTGTTAACATGAAGTATGGCAAGATGCTCCTTGGTGCCCTCCATCGTCCTGAATCTTTGCCCAGAGCGGATGTCAGCTTGATTGACTACCTTGATTCTCGTCTCACTGCCCTACATATGAAGATACTGACCCTTGACGACTTCATTGTTGGCAACCAGATTGTTTCCCCGTCATCTGCCGACACTGTTGGTCTACGGACGCAGGCTATGCATGGTCTACACCAGATTGTAGATAAACCAACACGACTTTACCCCATTAACACCCTGGATTTCATCCTCACAGACCCCCCCCCCCCCCGCAGTCAGATGTAAGTGTGAGATTCTCTCTCCCTGTGGAACTCCTGATCACCAAACAGTCATTGCTTCAGTTTCATTGCCTGCTTAGAGACACTAGCCTGTTACTCGTTCCTCGAGGCACTACCAGAGGGCCGATGGAGATCGCCTGAACGACGACATCAAGAAAGCCGACTGGAATGCAGCCCACATGCATGCAGACCCTGAGACTGCCTGCACCAATGTTACTGCACTCATCATGAAATCTATGAAGTAAATGATTTCCCATTCGTCCTAAAATGTCAAGCCTCCAGTTTCGAGAACCTCGTGTTCAAAACCAATAAGAGCTGTTGCGAAAAAGTTCAAAAAGTACAAGCCAAGGATAAGGGAAGAGGAACACAAGAAAATCCTCGATTTACACCATAAACAAACGTGTGTGTCTAGGTGATCTTGTCATCCTTAACTACTAAGGACCTAAAAACAATGGGGGATTTGTGATAACAATAACCCCGAGGACATGAGCCAAGTCCTGGGGAGGTTTTCGTGTACAAACCGTATTCGAAATATTGAGAACAAGTGATGTAAAAACAAACAATAGAAACACAAAACTGAAACAATAAGAGACCCTTATAAGTAGAGGATAACACGAATACACGGGTTGACAGGCACTGTGTGGACCTCTTAACAAAATATGTCAACACAGTGCAGGTAGTGAAGACGTTATATGAACTTGCCCACGTCCACACAAGGTTCCTCCTCTGTGAGAAAACAAAAACGATTTAGAGGCATTCTGGGTTAGGGTTATCATCGCCAAATGAAGATGAATGCTTTTAAGGAAATCATGATTAACCTTTGGGTTGAAAGAGTTTTCACGGTGCGAGTTAAGTATTTTTTTCCTACACGAAAACAAAGGAAAGTAGGTAAGGTGTTATGGGTATGCATGAGTATGTAAAGACAGGCAATGGTGGACCTAGATCAAATAGATGACAGCATTCAAATCAAGGACGTCCTCGATAAAAAAAAAAAACGTGTTCAAAACCAGCGGGTATTGTTGTTAGAGTATTAACAAAGATTTGATGAAAAGGAACAATATAAAATCCTCGATTCACAACATTAACAAACGTGTGTTTACGTACATTGCAGTCGCTGTGTTGACCTGTGAACAAAAGGTATCGGCACAGTGCAAGCCGCTTTTTTCCCCTTTTTTTTCATTTTGCGTGTCTTAAAACCTCGTAAATATCCGAAAGATTGACCGCTTGCAACTTTAGATAACTATTAATACCTATTCCACCGTTTGTCACGACACATAGAACTCTGAACTGTACAACAAATATTAGCCAAGTCCTACTACTGTACAAAAAAAATAAAAAAAATAATATAGTGATAATGATAAAAACGCGTTTGGAAGAGTCATTGTTACTGGCAAAATACTGCATGGGCCATGAACCCCGCGCATGGCATGTCTTATACAAGTCGTCATTGTTCGAGAATAGTCAATTATCACTTTGCTTGTGTTGGCGTACTCCTGTACGTTAACTCTTCTTAGTTGGAAAATGAAAACCTGTACTGCCAGCAGCGGCATTTGCTGCAGGCATTACTTTCCCAGAAGTTCCAGACACCCATGAAACTAAAGCTTAATCATCTTTCAATGTCCGTTCAATTTGTTTGGGGGTAATCCGATGCCTTGGTGGGAGGGACATTTCCACTCAAAGAAAATCATTCCCCAAAGTGGTGATTTCCTCTAAATGACAGCAACCCAGACCGAACAGTTTCAGGGGGTGTTAAATAAGCTTTTTGATAACTGGGTAGGTTGCTTTCAGAATAAGTCCTTCAAAATCGCTATTATTGAAGTGGCTCCAAAGGTCAGCGAAAAGTTATTGTGGAAGAAAACGTGAATTCTGTATTGAAACATGACTATACACGGGGTTTGTTGAATCAGTGCTACATGAAAACCCAACTTGAACTCCAACCGCATGGACTCCATCCCCGTTCACAGATAAATTACCGCTGCGCGAAGCAGACACTAGTCTAACAGTGCATTTGTAATCCACACACTGATGCGAATCCAAATTTACCAGAATCCTGTTTTTATTCAAAAAATCAGAGCATATACCTGATTCTAAAAGTGGTGGGCAGCCGCGTGAAAAGGAATAGTAAAGTAGCACTTTTAACGACTGAATAGAATGAAAATTTGCCTACGCTTTCGTAGCAAAAAGTACTTCATCAGATGCACTAAAGAGGTGAATCATCACACAAGGTTTACATAGGGGAACATGTACAGTAAAACAGAGAGTGGTGATCAATCAATTATCAATGGTGATGATTAAAAATGTACTGTCAGAGTTAAACAAAGCCACGATCCCTATTAAGGCCTAGTTGAATTCCATCTGTTTTGAGTAGAGCTACTCTAAACTGTATCTAAAGTGAGGCCTGATTAATTGATACGTGTTTGTATACCTTGTTCTCTGATATCAAATTTGTGTCCATTGATATGTTGTCTTAGTGTCTGTCCAGTTTGTCCAATGATGTTCCAAAGACCCCCCACAACATCCCCAGAACCGGGCGACAACACGAATATAAGTAGGCCCACGTGAGGTAAAGCACATATTTGCTCACTACTCACGTCACGTAGCCGAGTGGGTTTGTACGTGACTAACGGTCTCAACGCAAACAAACCCAGCCATTATCGCCTGAATCCTTTGGAGCCGGATCGTTTGTGATAAATGGTGGAGCTACTATTGATAATGACCTGTACTTAAACTAGTCAAGTGATCACACACAGGGTGAATAAAGAAAAAAGCGGAATCCAATTAAAAAACTATATATGTTTTACCTTTAATAAAAAAAACTGGAGAGCCAATTTCAGAAACTACTTCTAGATAAAAAAAAAATGCTTAAATTTCTCAATTCGCTCAAAGAATATCACAATTCACCCACAATGGCTCTAAAACCTGTCTCGGAAAAAAAACAATTTATTGCGTGTTCTCAACAACAAAGAAAATGACAAATAAACTTGTTTCAACAACTGTTAACAACTGCAGTAAATAATATATTTATAAACAACCCTGCTGAACAAAAAAATGTGATTTATAAAATCCACTTTTTTTTTTCAAAAGAAGGGATTTTGTTGAATATTTTAAACTTTTAAACTCAGGCTTTATCGCTGGCGGTGTTTGAAGACAATTGTGATGACGATTCTTGAAATCCCATTTTTGGACGATCTAACGGATTGTAAAAGTTAACTGTGTAAATCCATGCCATTGGAATGGATAAAAACTTGCGTGTGTGTTTCTGTTTGTGGGGCTGTGTAATTTTTTTTTTTTTTTGGCAACAAAAACAAATCTGAAGGGGATGATCCTATGACCCATCCTGGAAAAAAATGACAGAAAATATCTCCCCATTCTTGTACGGCAGACACAATAACAAGTTGTATTTTACGCATTTCGTAATGTTGAGAACACTTGCCGTGAAAAAAAATACACATGAGTCTTGAGGCCTACATGGTGGCTCAATAACGATGCAAAAACGCGATTCACAGATAAGGGCCTGTATGGCGAGGATTTTGCTTCTCTATAAATACAGGAGCTATATTACCAAACTTGAACATGAGCTGTGAGTGTTTCATGAGTGGATCATGATTCATTTATTTATAAGGTATTGCGTGTTGGCTGAGTCCTTTACGTGCCGTCCTTTACGTGTCATCACTTCTGTATGCTTTTCTTTTCGAAAGACCTGGGCACGGTCTGTGAATTCAGTTTTTATGAAGTATCATCAAGTGCAAATGGGATATGGAGAAAAATGGTCTGTTGATGTACCAGGCCTTTCGAGTTGTAAGGGAAAAAGAAACCGTTAAAAGGATCCGGAATCACATGCTCTGCACATGCGTGACAATCACTTCGGAGCTGTCGATCACAGACGGGGGAGGGGTCTTGGGATCTAAGCCCCAAATCATGTCATATCGCCTCGGTGACATTATCAGTCCGCGGCCTATTGATCTTGGAGTCAAGTGCTACCTGTACGTAAGCCAACCGGATAATTGACTGTAATACAGCGGGATTTTTGGGCGAATTTCAAGGCAGGGCGATCGCCGGCCAACCCAGGTTAGCAAGATGCGTCGACGACGGAGTTCGGAGGCGCTCTTCGTGGCCTTTTTGCTTTTCGTCGTAACCATCCAAGCGTCAGTGGGTAAGTTCTGAAGACAGCATGTACTATCGTTAGACTTTGAATTGTGTTTCTTTTCGAACAACAATCGTTTTCTTTTCAGATGAAGGGTTGGAATAAAACCACACCGGCACCCACCCGTGCAACCCGCCCACCGCGCTGTGCGCCATACTCCCGTCATGACAAGTCAAGGTCGTGGTCCTCCACCTGCCGCTGCAACTCACTCACAATGTCCCTCATATTTTGTTGGTAATAATTTCCAAACTAATTTAAGCCCAATGTAACATTTTATATCAGGTCATTTTTACGAGGGGGGGGGGGGTTCGGAAAAACATACATGTTTTCCCACAAAAATCCTGGTACATTCGCTAGCATATTGCCAATTTATCTTCTTTTTTTTCCGAGGCTATAAGGTTCCAGACCAGTAAATAAACTTCCATAGACCCCAATGGTAAATGCTCCTACTTCAGAAATTCAGGAAAAATACTCACAACTCTCGAAGGTGTTCAAGACACACATCAAATTAAAGCTTATCGCATCATCTTTCATATTCTTTTCAATTTTGGGGGGGTTAACTGATGACTTTTAGGAGAAATTTCCATCCGAACATGATCACCCCTGAAAAAAGTCCTGAAGCCCATCGCCATTTTGAAAAACGATGCCTACACTCCATTGCAAGATAGAGCACTTTAAGGGCCCCAATCTCATCCAAATTGAACGGAACTACAAGCTCACAGTTCTTTGCACGGCTTCCACCCATATTGTTTACAAACCCTCAAGTTCATGTCCCACAGCATGCTCAAATACTGACGATTTTGAGGGCATGCAAATCGTAATTTGGCCGACGTAGGCAATTTCAGACCGATTTACTGGTCTGCAACCATAAGGTTTTCACTTTTGAATAATACATCAACCGACGAAAAAAGATTTTGCCGTGTTTTAATTATTGAATGACTGCCTTAATATTTTGCATTATTGTCTGCCAGGCAATAATTCTGTTCGCGCGGGTAAGGTGGTTCCCGCCCCGCAATCAATATCGATAATGTACGGACCGGGAACCAATCCGCTCGCACAGTGGATGTCTTTATGGCAAAAAAAAAATCATCAGAGGGTTGCAGACGTCCCAAAAAAGGGGAAGGGTGGGGGGAATTATTAATAAAATAATAAGATTGAACGTTTTTATTAATTGCATTTTTTTATGCTTTTCTGCTATCAAAAAAGCAGACAGAACGTATTTGCTGAAATGCATTGTTCTACTTGTCTGCTTTTCTGCTACCAGAAAAGACTTTACTTTTTGCCCTTCACTGCCGGTTCAAAAAGGGACATCTGCTTTTCTGCTACCAGAAAAGTACGTGGCCTCGGGTAGAAGGAGATTTGCTACGCAGGTTTTTACTGATATTGTGTGCAGTTCAACTCGTTGACTGATTATACGTTTTGAAGTAAGTATTGGCTGTTTGCAAATTTACCTATACTCACTAACCGATAATGTGACAAAATTTGACCAATAGTGTAGTAAAATTGTATGTATCACGTGTCGACGGATGATGTGGTTACAACAACACAAAACTGTATCCGATAACGTATCCCTACAGACCGGATACTTTATCAACCGATAACGTATTAAAAGAATCAACCGAAAATGTATCAGTATGGGGAAAAGGTGGAAATGTTACGGCTTTTAAGTCGAATAAATGTCTTAATACGATACGTACGTACGTAATAATAACTCTCAGGAAAATGTATCATTAGTAAGGGTAAAATGTTTTCGATTTGGGGAGGTTGGGAAATGTTCGGGTTTGGGGAGGTTCTACTCCCAAAGAGTCCTAGACCCAAGATGTCATACACATACATTTTCTTTTAAATGTATATTTTCTATGTTCCCGCTGATATAAACATATAAAAGAGTTAGAATGAAACGTGGGCAATTGTCTCCATTTGGCGAAGTTACAGCTATAAGGTAAGTTATAGAATAAGTTTTCCGTCCTCAAAGTTCCATGCTATAATTTCCCGTTGTGTGAATCGTTTGATCGATATGAAATTTAAAAAAAAACCGATAACGTATCAACAACAGATAGTGTCACAAAAAATAACCAATACCGTATCACTAACCGATAATATAACAAAAATTGAACGATAGTGTAGTTATGTAAAAAAAAAAATATACTTAACTATCAGTCAATGGTGGTACGTTATGCATTTTGTACTAAAGAAAATTATTTGGGCATTTTATATTTACAGAGAGGCAATTGCGGGGGAAAACAGAGTATGACATAATTTACAAAATACAAGTAAAGGTGGACTGACGTAATGATCAATGAGGGAAAGACCATATGAGGTCACAAGGTCGAATCATAATCTTGAAGTGTTAGTGTGGGTTGTGCCTGGAAAACAGTAAATGCTGCAATTGTTTTATTTGCATATGTTTAATACCACATCGAGTGGCATGTGTATAGCAACCTTGTCCCCTGCACTTACTTTATTTCCAACCTCGTTTCCAATAGTAAGTCCTAGATAGGGAACTTTTTTCCTGTATCCTGATTCGATATCGCAATTTGCTAATAATGGATATATTTCGTGTAGTTGTTCCTATTGTTTTCAAAGTGCGTTACGTGTTTTTACGATCATTGCAATTATGAAGTCCACGCTTTTTCAATAATACTCATTTTTTCCACTTTGCTCATATATGAAATGTGATACTGCATAGTGTCGGGCCACATTGTAACATTTTAACTTAAAAGAAAAATCGTGTTTTCATAACTCACTGCGCGACGAATTGATGCTGTTTTTACACCAGACACCGCGTACAAAAACAAACGCTAATGTAACGCACATGCAGGCACCAGACTATTCCTCATTTGCATACGTGGTCAAAAATCTTGCACCTAAAAATAATCCAATACCAGAGTGAGGGAGCAGGTAGTGGTGGGCGTGTACTGCTCGACACCCCAGGGACGAGGTTGTGTGTACAGCAAATTGCTATACGTACCTTATATAGATTCATGAACAAATTGGAGCGCGTCATTGGCCGATTCCGACGCGCTTCGGAAAAGTTAAAATGATATGCACCCAGGTGGCGTCATCCCGGTGAGTATCCAGCTCCCTGCCGTACGGTAGTTTTTTTTTTGGTAGCACCAAAACAACAATTTTAACAATTCTTTGGGATTAACGTGGCAATCATCTTTAAATAAATCACTGAAAGGCACCCGTTGTTCGAGCCTCTATGTTTTTTGTTTTGTTTTTATAGACATCAATTGCATTCAGAAGTTATGACTGTTTCGGGTACTGAAAAAAATCGATTTGCATCGATAATCGATACTTGTTATATTTATAAACTCCACGTTTACCAGAAGAAAATTGTCTGGCTGTGTGAAGCAGGCTAATTCATTGTTTTGCTGTTTGTTCAGCCACTCCTTAAGGTAGTCCAAATTCCATGAGCCCGCACCACAATTTAGGCAAGTTCAAAGTCAGGTACCGGCACCTGAAGTGTTCTACTCAGGATCTGACTACAATCAATCACATTAACAATCCAACGTGTACAAGTCCGTTGTCATGCTTGTTTATTGCTCGGTACCACACACATACAAGTCTCTATGTCACGTGATGACCTTTACCCGGGTATTCAATTACTTTTGTTATCAGTTAGACAACGCATCAACTTCAAAATAGCAGTTTTCATGCACAAAACACTTTACAACACATGCCGCAGTACGTAATGGGATCACTTAACCTTAATGCACCCAGCCGGAGTGGCCGCCGCTCCAGTAACAACCTAAGAGTTCCTTGCACTTTCAAAAATGCATGGGACAGGGCTTTTTCGGTCTCTGGTCCTCGATGCTGAAATTCCTAAACACACAGCATCCTTAATATCACTTCTCTTGACATCTTAAAGGATAGATCAAAAACTGATCTGTTCTCCCCACAAAATCTGTAATTTGTCTTCTGGAGTTGTCCTTAGTTGCGCAAAAATGCGCGCTATAAATCGTGTTATCATTATGCTTATTCCTACAAATGTACTATTAGGGAGACACGTTAGCGTAGAAAATTCGGTAGTAGGGAGACACGGGCTTAATAGGGGGACACCTAGGTGTCTCCCTATTGGCGCAGCCCCCCTTTAGAGACAACATTTTGCTTTCGAAATTGGGTTATATTTGTTGCTGGTGGTCTTATTAGTAAAAATACCGAAATTCGTGGAAAAAGGACCAGGGAATATCGGTTTAGGGCACATTTAAGTCGGAAGATTTGTGTGCACAAGTCTATGAGAAAGTCTCCCTATTACCCCATTACCGGTAGTTATTATTATTAATATTATTATTAGTCTCCGCTCAAGATACAATACCCATCCCCACAGAATTCTACGCCCCTTTCATTGTTTGTATATATTTTGTTCGCATTTTTCATTTTCCCACTTCTGGAGGAGTGCCTTAGGGTGGATCGGGTGGTGGTGGGGGGGGGGCATAGGGGGCCAGCCCCCCCCCCCAAAAAAAATAAAAAAATAAAAACGAACCCAATGGTGATTTTGTGTTTATCTACCTCGCAATAAAGGCAGGCAATCAGTACACCACTTTCATTTCCAGAAAAAAAAAATGGTTAAAGTGGTCAGAAAAAACACAGCATGTAGAATCCCAAAATAATTTCTGGGCCTTTAAGCGGTCCTCGAACCCAAAGCCGTGATATTTTGTGACCCACATTTTTTGCCCCCCCCCCCTAAAAAAATGTGTTCTGGATCCGCCCTTGTGAGTGCCCCTCTCTCCCAACCCTCGCGACGTTAACGTAGTTTAAGATTAATAAATACTGCAGAACCAGATGAAACGTTAATAAATACGGGTTTACAAACAATTTGCATATTATTTACCCGCCGTCAAATACCATATCTCCATTTTCACCCCAAATTAACAAAATTAGTTAAGCGGGATCTGAAAAGTACGTGCATTAATTTTCAGTAATGAGCAAATTACTGATCACACTGAATGTTAATTTTTGGGAAATGATTATGATCTTTTTAGCGTTTCAGAGTAAGATTACAAAGTTTGCTATCGCAGCTGCCCCGTTTTCTCACTGATCTCACGAAGTGGCAACAACCTTTGAATATGGAATAAAGTTCAATCCGACAAAATCGCTGTTGCAGTATATCCTCGTTTTTTTTTCAAACTTTTCGACCACTTTGCAGTAATATAATTCAGAACCTTTTTGCACGCTCCTTTTGCTGATGCTTTACTCTTTGGAATTTTATCATCATTTGTTTGTGGTTAAGCAATGCAACCTGATTGCACTTCATGAGAACATAAAATGCATTGGTGGCTTACTTTTTGTCCCATTACTTTGCATGCACCTTTTTTCCCCATTCTGTGGGAAATTACAAGCTGATTCGCGTACAGTAGACCAAAGTACTATTCATGGTAACATGACAGTAAGTCCTGATATAGGCTCAAACCTCCAGCTCTTTTGAGGCTAAGCACCAGCGTTGTAGGTTTGCTTTAATGCAGACGTTGTACCGCTTCTTAGGGCTTTCGAGGTTTCTTTGGCCGGTGAGAGGACTCCATAGATAAGCTAACGTGATATGCATGACTCATTCATGTCAATCTCATGATCAGTCCATTGAAGCTGTGCTTTTAATGAGCCACAAACAAAACTAGAAATGTGTTTGTGGACAAACACAAGCTGTTTCGGATATTTAAAATACTCTGTGCACGTGATGAACAATTAGTGACATCACTACAAATGACATCTATAACAGCACGTGTCAAGTTACAACCAAATCGAACATTATAATTCATAGACCTATAAAAGAATAAAATGCGTCACTTCAATTTCCATCTATAACACATCCCTGTAAATGTGCATACCAAATTTTAACCCAAACAGACTTGTACTTCCGAAGTTATAGCGTTTGAAAAAAATGCACATTTTATGTGACGTCACGTGACACATGATGATGTTATCGTTACGAATTCATTGGAGACCATCTTCGGCAGCTGGACTTAGTGTCTGACAAGTGTAGAGTCAATCAAACATATAGAACTGCGAAAATGTATTGTCTGAAGAAAAACGTGTACAAAACCAATGGGAAAAAGGGCATCTGTATTGTGACGTAACCTGACACCTCATGACGTCACGATCCCAAATTTCTTCTAGGACCATTCGTGGGTGGTCATCTAAGTCTGTGTTAAGTATAAAGTCAATCAGATTTACGAAAGTGCCAAAGTGGAGTGTTTTCAAACCTTTTCAGACCCTATGGGGAAATATACATATTTAATGTGACGTAACCTGACACATGATAATGTAATGATCACAAATTTCTTCTAGAACCTTTTGTGTGTGGTGATCTAAGTATATTCCACGTCTGAAGTCGATCAGATTTACGAAAGTTCCCAAAGTGGGGTGTTTTAAAACGTGTACAAACCCTATAGGGAAAAATACATCTTTAACATGACGTAGCCTGACACCTGATGACATCACGATCGCGAATTTCTTCTGGGACCATCTGTGGGTGGTGATCTTTAAAGTATGCACTAAGTCTGAAATCGATCGGATTTAAAAAAAAAAAGTGCCAAATTAGACTGGTGGAAGAAACGTGTACAAAACCTATAGAGAAAATGTTTGAAAAAGGAGAAAAAAAATCTTAACGAAAACAAGAACTGTTTCGGTGTGTCACCGAAACAGCTAAAAATCTTAACGAAAACAAGAGCTGTTTCGGTTTACAACAGCTAATAAGGAGACAATTGTTATCAATCTGTTTTGGGCACATTGGAAACAATTTATTCTAAGGCTACCCGGCCGGAGCAGCACACTTTATAATATAAACCCATTTCATGGAACATTAAAACAATTCAAACTTATTTCATGGAATGAAGTGCCCATCTGTTTCCATGACTCACGAGGGAGCTTGGAAACAGGATGTGCGGGACCTCCCATGTAGGGACCATTGACCAACACTTTCCATGAGTTATGGTCAGAATATCAAAAATCAAATTTGATTGTTTTCCATTAGGATAATGGTTTCGACGTGTAAATTCAGACCAGTCCAGCACTTGCAAATTAAGTTGGTCACTTAATCCAACCAACGAATGCATGCAATACTTATGACATTGACGGATGTGTTTTTTTTGTTTCTGTGTAGAGTTCATGTTTCACATCCATAGAGCACAATTTTGCGTTCAACAACTAGTTCACCTTTAACCTTGTTTGTATTTTGATGTTGGGATGGTTCAGCAAATGTGCGCAAAGTGCCCCACCGGCATTTTTGATTCTGGTCGATATGTCATTGTCTAGGGAGCTAATAGATAGTATTACACTGCCAAAGTATTTGAAGGAGTCAACCGTTTTCACCTGTGTGTTGTCAATTTGAACACATGGGGTGGTGCTGCTGAACCTGCGGTTGACAAGACTACTGTGTCCTATCTCTATATCATGCCGATAGTGAGGCCAAAAGATTGTGCTGCTTTAGCAAATTTTGTTTAATGAACTGGAGGTCAGACTCAGTATGAGTTCAACAACCAATGTAGTATTAATTACCATTTCATTGTATATTTCTTGCAATCACAATAACGGACCACGTGATTATCTGACCTATGCAAAGTTTTTTTAAGGCTTAAACAACCATGTCATTAACAGCCATGTCATCGGCATACTACAGATTTGCTACAGTCATTAAGATTTAAGTTGTAATAATAAAAACCTAAAAGCACTCTATGAGGTAAGTGTGTTCTTGTCCTATTGTAAAGCCAACGACATCAGTCAACTCTTGCTTGTGTCCTCACATGAGGTATATAAGCCACTAACAAAACACTAACCTGCCCTCTTGCTTGTATACTCGCGTAAGTAAAGAGCCAATAATCAAACACTAACATGCACCCTTGTTTGTGTCCTCGCATAAGTAAAGAACCACTAATCAAACACTATCATGTCATTTTGCTTGCTTAACCCTAAAGCGGCCGGGTTATTTTAACCATCTCTCAGCAGGGGGAGGAGGTGAATTCCGCCACCCCCCCCTCCCCAAAGATCTCGGCCATAGAGTGACGAAAAGATTTTGAAACTCAGTACATGCACATAGCAACTCATCATAAACATATCCAAGAAATAGGTCAAAGGGTTTTGGAATTATGGCTAATTAATATTTCATATGTACGAATGGTGCATTCTGCTATTTGTACACGACAATATGGGAAAATTCAGTTTTCACAGCGCGTAGCGAGTGGTTCGATTTGTATGTTTTTGGTATCAAAAAATGCGCATGGCTCGAGACTAAAACGTCATACCAGCTCGGGTCGCAAAAAGAATTGTTTTACAAGGCTATCGCGGAAATAGTCGAGGGGGCCCTTTTAGGGTTAATCGCGTGAGTAAAGAGGCACTTATCAAACACTAACAAGTTATCAAACACAATAACACGCCCTCTTGCTTGTGTGTTCTTATGAGCAAAGAACCACTAACCAAACACCAACATGTCCTCTGCTTGCTTAATCGCGTGAGTGAAGAGCCACTATGTAACACTAACATGTCTTATTGCTTGTGTCCTCGCGTAAGTAGAGAGCCACTTATCAAACACAATAACACGCCCTCTTGCTTGTGTGCTCTAGTGAGTAAAGAACCACTAATATGCACTATCATGCCCCATTACCTGTGCCTTCGCGTGAGTAAAGAGTAATACACGACTAACATGGCCTCTTGTTCGATAACGCTTATGAGTAAAGAACCACTCATCAAACTATGGCGTGCACTCTTGATTGTGCCACAGTGAGAGTAAAGAGCAAAAAATGAAACACAAACATGTCATCTGACTTGTTCCCTCGCATGATTGTCAAAATACTACTATAGTAGCAGGATAACTGACTACTTTTCTGTAATTATTCCATCAAAGCTTGACTAAAAGGTAAAGGATCTTGAAATGAACATGTTATCAGTTTTAATAACAAATATAGGAATGATGACACAACAGACACTACTGTTTTGTTTTATTTGTGTTTCGATTGAAAGGCATATGTATCCAAAAACCACACTCTGAGGTTAAATAATGCGTTTAGATTTCATTGATGAGGCATGTTTCATCGCTCAGACCTGAAAGACCTGTTGTAAACCAAGTCAAACTTAAATTTCCCTAATTATTTTTTGAAGTATATATGCAATTATAGGTTTTGATTGTGGTTCTTTCACATAATCAACACTTATGAAACCACTGAACTCCAATCATAACCTTATCCGTTCAATTGTATGGTCCTTATATAAATATTTTGTTGTCTGAGCGAAGTATTGTCTAGAATTCTTTCCCATAGCTCCAGTTGTACATATAGACAAAAGGGTGATTATTTTCAGGCAAGTTAGTACTCAAAGTACTTGTACATGTAAATCACAGAAGGGGTATGTGATATACATGTACAAGCACGACTTAATGGTCAAGGACCATTCCCTCAACTACTATCATTGATGGATCTCCCACAATACAAACCCATGCAGGAACAACCACCCCTCCAGTAGATGGATCTCCTACACCACCAGACGCCACTTTGCCACAAGCCATCCCTCCAGGAACAGCAACCACTGCAGGAACAACCACACCTCAAGTAGATGGATCTCCTACACCACCATACACGACTCTGGCACAAGCCATCCCTCCAGGAACATCCACCGCTGCAGGATCAACCACCCCTCCAGTAGATGGATCTCATACACCACCATACACGACTCTGGCACAAGCCATCCCTCCAGGAACATCCACTACTGCAGGATCAACCACCCCTCCAGTAGATGGATCTTCTACACCACCATACACGACTCTGGCACAAGCCATCCCTCCAGGAACATCCACCGCTGCAGGATCAACCACCCCTCCAGTAGATGGATCTCCTACACCACCGGACACGACTCTGGCACAAGCCACCCCTCCAATAACATCCACCACTGCAGGTACAATCACCCCAACCAAAGGTGATGACATTGATGTTTCTATCATTAAATTTATCAATTTTAATAAATCCCTGAAAGTTTTATTCTATTTTATTTTCGCTAGTTCGTTTCATAATTCTTAATACATTTTAATCGTTCGTGCTAAGGATCGTTTGTGCTGTTGGATTTATTTCTCCTTGCTAGGCGAAAATCTCATCGTGAGCGGCGAACCATCTTTCTTGCGCGGTGGGCTTGAGTAACGTGCTGAGCTTAACCGATTAACTAACCAATGAAAGCACATTGTTCGCGTTAGTCGGTCTGGTGAAAAAAATGGGGACAAACACCAGCAGGCTTTTTAAGACTTTGCACAAAAATATTTAAAACCGCGTGTACCGAGTACTTAACTCACTTTCGCCGCACACGGGGAGAGGGTTCGCCTTGTGAGGCAAAGGGAAAAAAATCACCGCCCACGGTGGGCTACGTGCTGAAAAAAACGGCCTCGACAGACATTTTGCCCAGCACGTAGCTCTCGTGTGCGGCCGGCCGGGCAATAAAATGCTGAACATAAAACCAAACGAGGCGATCTTTAATATACAACAGATTTCTTTCACTAGGTTTGTTTGTTTTGATAAAAAAATAACCCATTTTAAAAGCCGACTAAACAATATTGTTAAAGTAGTGTTTTGATTGATTTCCATACACGGTACCACGGTACTAAAAATTTTGCTTCGATGTAACCGGTAAGATTTAATTTGGAATTTTCCTCACGTTATCAAAACTAGAAATTCAGCATTCTGAACACACGTTAAACCACGGTTTACTTCAATTTTGTTAGTTGAAATGACAGTAAATGATTGAGATCATCAATCCATGAAAGTTGGGTTCCGAATCCAGTTGAAAAATCCACTGGACTCGGGTGAATTATATTTTATATTGAAAATTTGAATTTCATCTGTTTGTTTTGAATGTAGCAAGCATTTTGTATTGGATATTACTAGAGCAGAATATGAATATGCGGAGCTTAACTTGTCTTTAGACTAAAAGTTCATGCTGAATGCCGATGTTGATGTAAAGGTAATAATTGACCAGTCTTCTGTTTGATCACCACTGTAGAAATGGGCACCTCTCAAAAACCAACACCCACTCCAGAGCCTGCCACCACTCCAGTACAAACTACCACTTCAGAACCAACCACCACTGGAGGACCAACAACCACTTCAGGGCAAACCACCAATCCAGAACCAACCACTAATTCAGGACCAACCACCACCCCTGAACCAACCACCACTCCGGAACCAACAACCACTTCAGAACCAACTACCACTCCAGAACCAACCACCACTCCGGAACAAACCACCACCCCGGAACCAACTACCAGTCCAAAACCAACAACCACTCCAGAACAAACCACCACTCCAGAACCAACCACCACTCCAGAACCAACCACTACTTCTGGACCCATCACCACTTCAGAACCAACAACCACCCCAGAACAAACCACCACCCCAGAACCAACCTCCACTCCAGAACAAACCACCACTCCAGAACCAACCACAACCCCAGAACCAACCACCACTCCAGAGTCAACCACCACACCAGAACAAACCACAACTCCAGAACCAACCACCACCCCTGAACCAACCACCACTTCAGAACCAACGACCACTTCAGAACCAACTACCACTCCAGAACCAACCACCACTCCGGAACAAACCACCACCCCTGAAACAACCACCACTCCAGAACCAACGACCACTTCAGAACCAACTACCACTCCGGAACAAACCACCACCCCGGAACCAACTACCAGTTCAAAACCAACAACCACTCCGGAACAAACCACCACCCCGGAACCAACTACCAGTCCAAAACCAACAACCACTCCAGAACAAACCACCACTCCAGAACCAACCACCACTCCAGAACCAACCACTACTTCTGGACCCATCACTACTTCAGAACCAACAACCACTCCGGAACAAACCACAACCCCGGAACCAACTACCAGTCCAAAACCAACAACCACTCCAGAACGAACCACCACCCCAGAACCAACCACCACACCAGAACCAACCATCACACCAAAACAAACCACATCCCCAGAGCCAACCACCACTCCAGAACCAACCACTACTTCTGGACCCATCACCACTTCAGAACCAACAACCACCCCAGAACAAACCACCACCCCAGAACCAACCTCCACTCCAGAACAAACCACCACTCCAGAACCAACCACAACCCCAGAACCAACCACCACTCCAGAGTCAACCACCACCCCAGAACCAACCTCCACTCCAGAACAAACCACCACTCCAAAACCAACAACCACTCCAGAACCAACCACCACCCCTGAACCAACCACCACTTCAGAACCAACGACCACTTCAGAACCAACTACCACTCCAGAACCAACCATCACTCCGGAACAAACCACCACCCCTGAACCAACCATCACTGCAGAACCAACGACAACACCAGAACGAACCACCACCCCAGAACCAACAACCACTCTAGAACCAACAACATCATCAGAACCAACCACCACTGCAGAACAAACCACCACTCCAGAACAAACCACCACCCAAGAACCAACGAGCACTCCGGAACCAAACACCCCAGAACAAACCACCACCCCAGAACCAACCTCCACTCCAGAACAAACCACCACTCCAGAACCAACCACAACCCCAGAACCAACCACCACTCCAGAGTCAACCACCACACCAGAACAAACTACAACTCCAGAACCAACCACCACCCCTGAACCAACCACCACTTCAGAACCAACGACCACTTCAGAACCAACTACCACTCCAGAACCAACCACCACTCCGGAACAAACCACCACCCCTGAACCAACCACCACTCCAGAACCAACGACCACTTCAGAACCAACTACCACTCCGGAACAAACCACCACCCCGGAACCAACTACCAGTCCAAAACCAACAACCACTCCGGAACAAACCACCACCCCGGAACCAACTACCAGTCCAAAACCAACAACCACTCCAGAACAAACCACCACTCCAGAACCAACCACCACTCCAGAACCAACCACTACTTCTGGACCCATCACTACTTCAGAACCAACAACCACCCCAGAACAAACCACCACCCCAGAACCAACCTCCACTCCAAAACAAACCACCACTCAAGAACCAACCACAACCCCAGAACCAACCACCACTCCAGAGTCAACCACCACACCAGAACAAACCACAACTCCAGAACCAACCACCACCCCTGAACCAACCACCACTCCAGAACCAACGACCACTTCAGAACCAACTACCACTCCAGAACCAACCACCACTCCGGAACAAACCACCACCCCTGAACCAACCACCACTCCAAAACCAACAACCACTTCAGAACCAACTACCACTCCAGAACCAACCACCACTCCGGAACAAACCACCACCCCGGAACCAACTACCAGTCCAAAACCAACAACCACTCCAGAACAAACCACCACTCCAGAACCAACCACCACTCCAGAACCAACCACTACTTCTGGACCCATCACCACTTCAGAACCAACAACCACCCCAGAACAAACCACCACCCCAGAACCAACCTCCACTCCAGAACAAACCACCACTCCAGAACCAACCACAACCTCAGAACCAACCACCACTCCAGAGTCAACCACCACACCAGAACCAACCACAACTCCAGAACCAACCACCACCCCTGAACCAACCACCACTCCAGAACCAACGACCACTTCAGAACCAACTACCACTCCAGAACAAACCACCACTCCGGAACAAACCACCACCCCTGAACAAACCACCACTCCAGAACCAACGACCACTTCAGAACCAACTACCACTCCAGAACCAACCACCACCCCGGAACCAACTACCAGTCCAAAACCAACGACCACTTCAGAACCAACAACCACTCCGGAACAAACCACCACCCCGGAACCAACTACCAGTCCAAAACCAACAACCACTCCGGAACAAACCACCACCCCGGAACCAACTACCAGTCCAAAACCAACAACCACTCCAGAACAAACCACCACTCCAGAACCAACCACCACTCCAGAACCAACCACTACTTCTGGACCCATCACCACTTCAGAACCAACAACCACCCCAGAACAAACCACCACCCCAGAACCAACCTCCACTCCAGAACAAACCACCACTCAAGAACCAACCACAACCCCAGAACCAACCACCACTCCAGAGTCAACCACCACACCAGAACAAACCACAACTCCAGAACCAACAACCACCCCTGAACCAACCACCACTCCAGAACCAACGACCACTTCAGAACCAACTACCACTCCAGAACCAACCACCACTCCGGAACAAACCACCACCCCTCAACCAACCACCACTCCAGAACCAACGACCACTTCAGAACCAACTACCACTCCAGAATCAACCACCACTCCGGAACAAACCACCACCCCTGAACCAACCACCACTCCAGAACCAACGACCACTTCAGAACCAACTACCACTCCGGAACAAACCACCACCCCGGAACCAACTACCAGTCCAAAACCAACAACCACTCCGGAACAAACCACCACCCCGGAACCAACTACCAGTCCAAAACCAACAACCACTCCAGAACAAACCACCACCCCAGAACCAACCTCCACTCCAAAACAAACCACCACTCAAGAACCAACCACAACCCCAGAACCAACCACCACTCCAGAGTCAACCACCACACCAGAACAAACCACAACTCCAGAACCAACCACCACCCCTGAACCAACCACCACTCCAGAACCAACGACCACTTCAGAACCAACTACCACTCCAGAACCAACCACCACTCCGGAACAAACCACCACCCCTGAACCAACCACCACTCCAGAACCAACAACCACTTCAGAACCAACTACCACTCCAGAACCAACCACCACTCCGGAACAAACCACCACCCCGAAACCAACTTCCAGTCCAAAACCAACAACCACTCCAGAACAAACCACCACTCCAGAACCAACCACCACTCCAGAACCAACCACTACTTCTGGACCCATCACCACTTCAGAACCAACAACCACCCCAGAACAAACCACCACCCCAGAACCAACCTCCACTCCAGAACAAACCACCACTCCAGAACCAACCACAACCTCAGAACCAACCACCACTCCAGAGTCAACCACCACACCAGAACCAACCACAACTCCAGAACCAACCACCACCCCTGAACCAACCACCACTCCAGAACCAACGACCACTTCAGAACCAACTACCACTCCAGAACAAACCACCACTCCGGAACAAACCACCACCCCTGAACAAACCACCACTCCAGAACCAACGACCACTTCAGAACCAACTACCACTCCAGAACCAACCACCACCCCGGAACCAACTACCAGTCCAAAACCAACGACCACTTCAGAACCAACAACCACTCCGGAACAAACCACCACCCCGGAACCAACTACCAGTCCAAAACCAACAACCACTCCGGAACAAACCACCACCCCGGAACCAACTACCAGTCCAAAACCAACAACCACTCCAGAACAAACCACCACTCCAGAACCAACCACCACTCCAGAACCAACCACTACTTCTGGACCCATCACCACTTCAGAACCAACAACCACCCCAGAACAAACCACCACCCCAGAACCAACCTCCACTCCAGAACAAACCACCACTCAAGAACCAACCACAACCCCAGAACCAACCACCACTCCAGAGTCAACCACCACACCAGAACAAACCACAACTCCAGAACCAACAACCACCCCTGAACCAACCACCACTCCAGAACCAACGACCACTTCAGAACCAACTACCACTCCAGAACCAACCACCACTCCGGAACAAACCACCACCCCTCAACCAACCACCACTCCAGAACCAACGACCACTTCAGAACCAACTACCACTCCAGAATCAACCACCACTCCGGAACAAACCACCACCCCGGAACCAACTACCAGTCCAAAACCAACAACCACTCCAGAACAAACCACCACTCCAGAACCAACCACCACTCCAGAACCAACCACTACTTCTGGACCCATCACCACTTCAGAACCAACAACCACGCCAGAACAAACCACCACCCCAGAACCAACCTCCACTCCAGAACAAACCACCACTCAAGAACCAACCACAACCCCAGAACCAACCACCACTCCAGAGTCAACCACCACACCAGAACAAACCACAACTCCAGAACCAACCACCACCCCTGAACCAACCACCACTCCAGAACCAACGACCACTTCAGAATCAACTACCACTCCAGAACCAACCACCACTCCGGAACAAACCACCACCCCTGAACCAACCACCACTCCAGAACCAACAACCACTTCAGAACCAACTACCACTCCAGAACCAACCACCACTCCGGAACAAACCACAACCCCGGAACCAACTACCAGTCCAAAACCAACGACCACTTCAGAACCAACTACCACTCCGGAACAAACCAGCACCCCGGAACCAACTACCAGTCCAAAACCAACAACCACTTCAGAACCAACTACCACTCCGGAACAAACCACCACCCCGGAACCAACTACCAGTCCAAAACCAACAACCACTCCAGAACAAACCACCACTCCAGAACCAACCACCACTCCAGAACCAACCACTACTTCTGGACCCATCACCACTTCAGAACCAACAACCACCCCAGAACAAACCACCACCCCAGAACCAACCTCCACTCCAGAACAAACCACAACTCAAGAACCAACCACAACCCCAGAACCAACCACCACTCCAGAACCAACCACCACTCCGGAACAAACCACCACCCCGGAACCAACTACCAGTCCAAAACCAACGACCACTTCAGAACCAACTACCACTCCAGAACCAACAACCACTTCAGAACCAACTACCACTCCAGAACCAACCACCACTCCGGAACAAACCACAACCCTGGAACCAACTACCAGTCCAAAACCAACGACCACTTCAGAACCAACTACCACTCCGGAACAAACCAGCACCCCGGAACCAACTACCAGTCCAAAACCAACAACCACTCCGCAACAAACCACCACCCCGGAACCAACTACCAGTCCAAAACCAACAACCACTCCAGAACAAACCACCACTCCAGAACCAACCACCACTCCAGAACCAACCACTACTTCTGGACCCATCACCACTTCAGAACCAACAACCACCCCAGAACAAACCACCACCCCAGAACCAACCTCCACTCCAGAACAAACCACAACTCAAGAACCAACGACCACTTCAGAACCAACTACCACTCCAGAACCAACCACCACTCCGGAACAAACCACCACCCCGGAACCAACTACCAGTCCAAAACCAACAACCACTCCAGAACAAACCACCACTCCAGAACCAACCACCACTCCAGAACCAACCACTACTTCTGGACCCATCACCACTTCAGAACCAACAACCACCCCAGAACAAACCACCACCCCAGAACCAACCTCCACTCCAGAACAAACCACCACTCAAGAACCAACCACAACCCCAGAACCAACCACCACTCCAGAGTCAACCACCACACCAGAACAAACCACAACTCCAGAACCAACCACCACCCCTGAACCAACCACCACTCCAGAACCAACGACCACTTCAGAACCAACTACCACTCCAGAACCAACCACCACTCCGGAACAAACCACCACCCCTGAACCAACCACCACTCCAGAACCAACGACCACTTCAGAACCAACTACCACTCCAGAACCAACCACCACTCCGGAACAAACCACCACCCCGGAACCAACTACCAGTCCAAAACCAACAACCACTCCAGAACAAACCACCACTCCAGAACCAACCACCACTCCAGAACCAACCACTACTTCTGGACCCATCACCACTTCAGAACCAACAACCACCCCAGAGCAAACCACAACTCCAGAACAAACCACCACCCCTGAACCAACCACCACTCAAGAACCAACCACCACTCCAGAACCAACCACTTCTTCTGGACCCATCACCACTTCAGAACCAACCACCACACCAGAACAAACCACAACTCCAGAACAAACCACCACCCCTGAACCAACCACCACTCCAGAACCAACGACCACTTCAGAACCAACTACCACTCCAGAACCAACCACCACTCCGGAACAAACCACCACCCCTGAACCAACCACCACTCCAGAACCAACGACCACTTCAGAACCAACTACCACTCCAGAACCAACCACCACTCCGGAACAAACCACCACCCCGGAACCAACTACCAGTCCAAAACCAACAACCACTCCAGAACAAACCACCACTCCAGAACCAACCACCACTCCAGAACCAACCACTACTTCTGGACCCATCACCACTTCAGAACCAACAACCACCCCAGAACAAACCACCACCCCAGAACCAACCTCCACTCCAGAACAAACCACCACTCAAGAACCAACCACAACCCCAGAACCAACCACCACTCCAGAGTCAACCACCACACCAGAACAAACCACAACTCCAGAACCAACCACCACCCCTGAACCAACCACCACTCCAGAACCAACGACCACTTCAGAACCAACTACCACTCCAGAACCAACCACCACTCCGGAACAAACCACCACCCCTGAACCAACCACCACTCCAGAACCAACGACCACTTCAGAACCAACTACCACTCCAGAACCAACCACCACTCCGGAACAAACCACCACCCAGGAAACAACCACCAGTCCAAAACCAACAACCACTCCAGAACAAACCACCACTCCAGAACCAACCACCACTCCAGAACCAACCACTACTTCTGGACCCATCACCACTTCAGAACCAACAACCACCCCAGAACAAACCACAACTCCAGAACAAACCACCACCCCTGAACCAACCACCACTCCAGAACCAACCACTACTTCTGGACCCATCACCACTTCAGAACCAACCACCACACCAGAACAAACCACAACTCCAGAACAAACCACCACCCCTGAACCAACCACCACTCCAGAACCAACGACCACTTCAGAACCAACTACCACTCCAGAACCAACCACCACTCCGGAACAAACCACCACCCCTGAACCAACCACCACTCCAGAACCAACGACCACTTCAGAACCAACTACCACTCCAGAACCAACCACCACTCCGGAACAAACCACCACCCCGGAACCAACTACCAGTCCAAAACCAACAACCACTCCAGAACAAACCACCACTCCAGAACCAACCACCACTCCAGAACCAACCACTACTTCTGGACCCATCACCACTTCAGAACCAACAACCACCCCAGAACAAACCACCACCCCAGAACCAACCTCCACTCCAGAACAAACCACCACTCAAGAACCAACCACAACCCCAGAACCAACCACCACTCCAGAGTCAACCACCACACCAGAACAAACCACAACTCCAGAACCAACCACCACCCCTGAACCAACCACCACTCCAGAACCAACGACCACTTCAGAACCAACTACCACTCCAGAACCAACCACCACTCCGGAACAAACCACCACCCCTGAACCAACCACCACTCCAGAACCAACGACCACTTCAGAACCAACTACCACTCCAGAACCAACCACCACTCCGGAACAAACCACCACCCCGGAACCAACCACCAGTCCAAAACCAACAACCACTCCAGAACAAACCACCACTCCAGAACCAACCACCACTCCAGAACCAACCACTACTTCTGGACCTATCACCACTTCAGAACCAACAACCACCCCAGAACAAACCACCACCCCAGAACCAACCTCCACTCCAGAACCAACCACCACTCCAGAACAAACCCCTACCCCAGAACCAACCCCCACTCAGGAACCAACCACTACTCCAGAACCAACCACCACCCAAGTACCAACCTCCACCCAAGTAACAACACAATGTGGTAAATATTGCCTTTTATACTGATGTATTATGTCATTTTTTAAAAAGGCTCACACCGGGTCAATTTGGAAGTTGTGTTTTAGGGTAACTGTGTGAAAGATGATTAAAATCTACACTTAACAAAATCATTTTACATTTTAACTGAAATTTTACGCATAAAAATTGGCTGACAATGCAGATTTGTTATTTTTATTTGACCATTTTTATGCCCTCGGCATCCAGTTCATTCAGTAATTACATAGAAAGTCTGGATACTTTTTTTGTAAGATTTCTTCATTACTAACAATTCTACACAATGGATGTCCGTTACTTCCAAGCTGCTAACATTTTGCCTGCTGTTTATAAACATTGAAACTTTTTTTGGGCACACTTGATGTTTTGGGCAAATCACCAGGTATACATTTAACGTGTTATTCCCATATCTCCCTTTTAACTCTTATTGGTGTGGGACAAAGCCATATTTTTTACATACTCACTGCAGTTGGGTTGCCAATATTGACTGTGAACATTATTGGAAACTCTACATACACATTTCTGATCAGATTTGAGCTTCCTCTTCTCTAGCGGTTCTAAAAACCTGACGTTAAGACAAATTCATGCATATAAAGTGATACAGTTTGGACACGATGGAGGGTCATGTCCCTGTAACCATGGAATTACCTATTCATACTGAATTTTTACTTTGCTTTCATAGCACCACCAAATGTGAATGTGCCGACTGTTGGTCCGCAGTGTCTAGCTGTTGGTGTAACCACACTTTCTGTGACTTGGACTAATGTAACCGCCACCAATGCTGTAGGTGGGAGCATCATTTGTACCGATTCTGGAGACGGAACTGGAGTGACGACCTCTGGTGGCACCTTTGGAGCAGGATCACACACAATCACGTGCAGTGTAACTCTTTCTGAGTATTGCTATGGCTCCAATAGCTTCACCTTTCTCGTATTAGGTACTTACGCTTTTTAATAATGGGAAAAACATGTTTTGAAAAATGATTCTTAAAAGTGTTAATACCAAGTCTTTATCTGATTTCGTGGGTGAATAGACGTGAGCTTGAAAAAACATACTGACTAAATATATGAAGGAAACTGAGTATTTCATCAAAACAGTATACAGTAAATATCTTGCATCAGACCTGTGAGTCAAATTCGTGTATACATATCTTTTTGTCCCCTCCAAAGAAACACCCAAATATATTATGTTCAACACACAACATTCAAAGTAACCAGTTTCTTTTTCGTTTTTTACTTTTATTGATTCCAACTTTGACAACTCACATGTCAGTATACTAAGGGAATAAGGAATGGACTCAACCACATCATGAATCTCTAATTTATATAATGTTAAATAAGGCAGCTGTGTATTTCAAATTCATTTGAATATATGTGACCGGATCCCTTAAAATGTGTCCAAAGCACATCTTTTCACTTATTCATTTTCAACATTTGATGGAGGATAATGAACACTTTATCGTGCTACATATAACTCAAAAGTAACTTTGTCATCTTCTGAATATTGGTTGTGAATCTTGAAACTGATTGATACTGATCAATTGTCTTTTACACAGCGACACCAATTGTGTATGTGCCAACAGTGAGTTCAAAGTGTGCAGATGTTGGTGCATCTACGGCCTCTGTAACGTGGCCAGTCGTAACTGCCACCAATGCTGCGGGAGGGAGCATCTCTTGCAGTGATTCTGGAGATGGAGCCGGTGTGACAACCACCGGTGGAACATTTGGAGTAGGATCGCATACGGTCACGTGCACTGTAACTAATTCTGGCAACTGCACAGGCTCCAATAGTTTCACGTTTGTTGTTGCAGGTATTGAGCATGACTAGAATAATTAAGCCGCCAAAGTTTGTGAAAATTGATCCCGTTAATCATACGTTTCAACTTTTGGCAGAATTGGTCAGGACATTGGGATTCTGCCACAATTAGGCGATAGCTTAGTTGGTTAAGCAACAGTTAAATTTTATGGAAGTTTGAGTCCACCTTCAGTAATTGCATATACATTCAACCTAGTATGCATTGGATTTGCTCCCAAACCTTTTCCCCTTTTTTAATTGACTTTTTGTGTGCGCTCAATTTCAAAACAAAACAAGCCAATATCCTTCCTGAATGATACTTGTTCGCCAAACCCAGGTCAGCAGAATTACTAGCAAAATGCTGCTAGCATCCTGTATTTTGGTGTGATTTCAGGCTACATGGCGCTTGTAGATTGATGGCTGCTTACTGGGCAAAGACATTGACAGGTTGGCAGACTGTCAAGATAGGGCTTAGTTGAGTATTCTAATAGTATTCAGAAGACCCCAGATTCGTGTCCCAATGTAGTATTTTCCTACATTCTTCATGCATCAAATTTTGAAAATCAATCGACATTGGTCATTTGATATTGTGTTTGACACAGCTTCTCCATCTGTGACTGTGCCCAGCGTGGGTCCGCAATGTACCGATGAAGGCTCTGCTACAGTAACTGTGACTTGGGCCACTGTGACTGCCACCAATGCTGCGGGTGCAAGCATCACATGTGTTGCTTCTGGAGGCGGAACTGGAGTGACGACCTCTGGTGGAACCTTTGGAGTAGGATCGCATAAAATCACATGCAGTGTTACCAATTCCGATGGATGCCCAGGTTCAAAAAGCTTCACATTTGTTGTATCAGGTATGAAACATACTATTCTGTAGTGGTGTATTATTTTTTTTATGTAACAAACTAACAGTTGGAAGACTTGGAAGATTTGACATTTGACAGTATATAACCGTGAAAGGAGAAAACTTTGAAACAAATATAACTCTGAAACAAAGTGACAGTTCATGGATGATTTTGCATCTGACAGGATATAGCTTTGAAACAAATGTGGACATCCTGTTTCATTTTTTAAATCACAGTTTAACACTTTTGTACACATCCTTGTAACACGAAGAAATCTTTCAAGATTTGAACATTTGCTTCAGTTATGATGGCAGTAAACAGTGTGCTACCAAAATCATGCTAATTTACATCTGCTCTATCATCTCACTCTGACGTAATATATATATATATATATTCACTTACAGTAAATTGAATTGACGTTTGTCGTTAAAGATTGCATCTCACCTTCTGTGTATGTTTTTTTGTTCCAATAGCTTCACCATCAATTTCAGTGCCCGTGGTCCCTGTTAGTTGCTCCAGTCCAAATCAGGTGACAACTACAGTGTCATGGAGTCCAGTAACTGGCACCAACACCAACGGTCAAACCATTAAATGTACATCAGGTGGATTGCCCGTGTTTCTAGTTGGAGGTAACTTCCCGGTAGGAAGTCACACCGTTAACTGCACAGTGACCAATAGCGGTGGTTGCATGGCATCAAACAGCTTCGCAGTTGTTGTTGTAGGTGAGATTTGCATCTACGTTATCTTAGTCTGGTGGGAAAAGGGGTATCTCATCCTGCTCTTCAATCTAAGCAAAGCGTACGAAAACAGTCAAGGCGAATCCTTGCAGTAGAAAACGTGTCCTTAGCTGAGAATATTGGGTGCAGCTAGCCCAGGGAAGCGCATGGTCAGTGCTGAGGCAACACAGGGAGTAGCAGGAAGGGCGGTTTGGGATGAAACTGAAACATAATGGGTAAACTTCGTCGACATCTGCATAACGAGAACTTTCGATGTATACTTTCTATCCACAGAATCTCCATCGCTAACAGTACCAGACGTTGACGACCAATGCACTGATTTTGGTGTGGCTACTGCCTCTGTAAGCTGGCCTGCAGTATCTGGCACCAACCTGGGTGGACAAGCCATCTCATGTAGTGAAGGAGGTATTGCTGTGCCTCTCAGTGGCGGTATCGCCTTTAGGGTGGGCGCTCACACCGTGATCTGTCAGGTCGACAATAATAGTTGTTCTGTTTCGCAAACCTTCTCGTTCACTGTCCGACGTAAGTAAAAAAAAAACACAATAAAGTTAGTGTAGGTTTCAGTGTATTTCAACTCATCTTTTCAATCCCCCTTATGGGGTCAGGGCATAAGTACCCTCTACCCTCCTGTGTCCAAGAGTAACTGGAACACAGCGCCATCCACTTATCTGCTTTTGATTGATTTAGCCAGTAGCCCAATTGTCCATGTTTGTGTGTGTTTACTTATGGTCTGTGTCATTACTCATTCCAGATTGAATTGGTGTTTTTTGTTTTCCCTTTTCTACCCCCATAGAATCATCGATTCTTAACCTGCCAGCTGTCGCCGATCGTTGTGCGGTCTCTTGGTGGGTGTATGCCCAGGTTTCATGGCCCCGAGTGACCGCCACGCACAGCGACAACAACCAAATCGTCTGTATAGCGTGGGGAATCTCTATGCCGCTCACAGGGGGTTGGTGGTACCTGCAGGACCATACACACGTCCACACCTGCGTTGTCACCAATAATGCTGGTTGCGCAGCGGTGGGAGCCTTCGATTTCTATGTGTTTGGTAAGGAATAGTACAATGTTCAAGGATACAGTCAAAACCTGGGAAGGGTAACTTAACTAGGTGTCTCACATTTTAATTCAGAGCTTGTTTGTACCTGATACGTGGACCCACGGCTTGCACGGGTTAACATCAATGCTTCTTAGTGGCACCCGTGATTTAAAGACTGTCACACATTGGAAGACCGAGACTCGATTTGCTTTTTGAATGGGATACATTCATCTAAGAAAATTTTGAGACAGTGTTGGAATGTGTACACTAATTGCTAGGCTATTTTATTGATCACATATAGTTCGGTGGCCTAAACTTGTTAATACAGCGTCTCTATTAATTCAACCATGCTAGGACTTAATGTATAGGTGTGTCTAAAGTGTATTAACCGCTAAGTTCATAGCGTGTCAAAACGGTGATCTGGAGGTCACAAGTTCAAACCGTACCCCAATCGATTTCTTTGTTCAGCTATAAACTCTTGTTAATGTACCCATAGGGAGACATTCTTTTCGTCCTTCTAATATCTCCCTAATGCACATGTCACGACTCCTATTTCGAGGCGAAATGGTAGTGTCGCAGATGGGCTAGATTGATTGCTTGTGTTCCAAAACATAAATATACTAACATTCTTAGGGTTGGATAAGAAAAAATAGAGGTTAGGGGTCATTAAAATTGGACACAAGTGTGTGTTCAACCCCATGGAAATGTCTCCCTAAGTTACAATTTCCTGTAAAGTAAAACATTAATATTATTCACCTTCTGAGTTTGATCCCTCTGTGGGTTATTTAAATATGTCACAATATTTTTCCACCTGTGGGTTTATTTGAGTATTTGAAACATGAGTAAACCTCGAGATTCATACGTTCAGTCAATACTGCCTTTGTCTCCACAGCAAAGCCCCGCATAACGGTGCCATTGGTTACTAACCAGTGTACCCTGCCTGGACAGAATGATGTCGTAGTTTCGTGGCCTGCAGTGACAGGCGGATACTTGGATGGCGAATCCATCATTTGTACCGATCAGAAAGGAAATGATGTGCCTCTCAGCGGAGGCATCTCGTTTGGTGTTGGATATCACACAGTGACCTGCGGTGTTAAGGTTGAAATCTGCAGCACATCAGAGAGCTTCTCGTTCAGTGTCTATGGTAAGAAATATATGAGTGTTGGTACCCCCATTAATGTGAATAAAGAGAAAATTGTTTCTGTTCAAAGCACCTTTTCGTCCAATTACATGGCGATATCTAACACCCAGCAGACCAAAGATGTGCTGTCCCTTTGACAGAAATTTTGGACAATTGGATAGACTTATTTCAGTTTACCATGCATTGTGGAGATGATTTTCTACCATTTTTGACGCTGGAATGCACATATTATATGTCTAGCATTTGTTGTTCCACAGAATAATCAGTGATATGCTCAGAGCGTTTCAAACTGCATGGGCCACTCAAATTTGAGATTTATGCATTTTTCACGCAACATGAACCTTGTCACATTACACGTCTACGAGATGTGTTCCATTCATGAAATCCTTGACACTAGTCGGACAATAACGAATACTGTTGGTGTGTACAATTGGAGTGCAACGATACACATTTGTTAATTGTCTTGCCTTTTCTCAAAAAACAGAGGCCAATTTTGTTTCTTTCGGAACCGCAGTCGGGGATAGGCGTCTTTCACAAGAACAACAACCAGTAAGTAACAAATAAGTTAAATCTGGATATCTGATTTGTATCAACTTTGGAACCTCATCGTAATTGTTCATCCTAGGGTATTACCCACTAGTCACTATACCACACAACAGGCTTTATTAACGGGTCTGCAATATTGATTCAACAGCAGTGTGAATTCTTTCTTTTTGGAACTTGAAATTAGAAAAGAAAGCAATGACTCAAACTTGATTACAAACTAATACCGGTCAGTTCTGATAAGTAATTAAACATGTGTGATTAATTATACCGTAATGTTTTAAGCCACATTTAAACATAAATGAAAAAAAAAGGCTTTGAACACATAGTCTGGCACATCACTTTTAACAGCGTACAATTTATAAATGTGTTCAGGGAACCCGATCAATAATGGCTTCCTCGTGATCGAATAAGATGTGTTCCCTATAACTCTTCATGTACCCTTTGCACCCTGTACCACCCAAAACTACCCTATCACTGTTTATGTTTATGGATTTACCATAAAATAAATACAGTGTATTAAAAGTACTTACTCATGAACCAGTTTAGTTTCTGCACGCACTCCCGTAAAAAAAGGGAAAGGTGTGAAGACTAATGTTTTGTAAAACCACTACATAATTGTTGAATCCCTGTGTAAAATTGCGGATAACCTGTTTCAGTTGGGAACAGGAACTATTTTGATAATACTGGTATACACAGTGGCCTTACACCAAATTACTTTTTTTTTTAATGTAGAGACTATTTGATAAACATTTGAAATGCAGGGAAGTACTTCCCTCTTAAGTTAATTACAAACCTTAGTAGCTAATATTTAGTGTATGTTTAGTTTTGCTATGTACACGGCTGTCTGTTGCACGTCGACGGGTTGGTTGAAGAATCCGTATGATATTTTTTGGATAATCTTTTTGTTTAACTAAATTTTCTTTATTATTTAAATCATATTGCTTGCTCACTGACTTTAAACAATCAACCTTTTTTGTCTAAACAGCCATCACTGTCGTCTAACAAAGATTTGATCTCAAGAACCATCACCCCACCAAATTTCTTTCCTTACTGCAATGAGCTGCATGAGAAAATTTATGTAAGTATGACAGAAGAAAAACATGAAGAAAATGTATATTTTTCGAACGGAAATCTGCATTATCTGCAATACCTTATATCTTTTTTAAATCACACGCAGTAGCACTGTACTACTATGCAAACCACATGCATATTCTATTTGCCAAAAATTCTTTTTATGTACAATTATACTGCAAGGGCGAGTCCATAGGGAAGGGGCAACGGGGGCCATGGCCCCGCCAAAAACGAACCCATTATTTTGTTTTCTTTTAGGTGACGTCGCAATAAAGCATACACCACTATTTTTTCCTCAAAAAGATTTTGTTAAAGTGATCAGAAATTGCCTCAGATCGCACCACAGAGCATCTAGAATCAAACATTTTTGGGGGCCCTTCAGTGGGCCCCAAACCCCGCGCTGCAATGTTCGGGAACCCACTTTTTGGGGGACCAATTTTTTGGGGGTCCCAAAAAACTGTGTTCTGGATCCGCCCTTGTTTTACTGAGCATTGCTCTAACAAACACTGACTGGAATTTATTGTGGTGGACCCCCATTCTTGTATACCGACGTTCTGCTGTACGTGTTGTTACAAATAAAATGTTTAAATAAAAGGTATTGAAAACAAACTTTGCCCCTAAATTGAAGTTAGCTGGCTTTGTGAAATGGACAAGGGATTTTGTTAACACAAAAACGTGTGCTCAGCAGTGCCACGAATTGGAACCATGTCCAAATCTTATGTTTGAACTATAATTCACGGTGCTGACAAATCTTTTACTGCCTGTTTTTACAGTTCGCAGATAATGGTGTCATTGTCTTCTCCAATGCCCGAAGTCTGTACAAACGAGGTTACCCAGGCACCAGAAAATCTTTCTTCACGGGCCCAACAAAAATGGTAGCTCCTTTTTGGGCGGACGTCAACAGCAGAAGGTTTTCTCAGACAAGGAATGTCTTCTTTCAGGTGAGTTTGTTGCAGTTTTGTGCTATCATGTCTTTTAGGACAGTAAACCCCGCCATACTTCATACATTTCGTCATGCAAAAAATCATACTGCGTAGTTTTGAAATCAACCGAGCAAATAAGTAAGTTTTGAGCCAGTCAAACAAAGCTACTATTGACCCAGATTAATCAAAACAAAGCTCAGCAGTCCTTATACTCTGACTAGTCTCTCGTTTTCATAGAATGACTGGCAAAAAAAGTATTTTAAATATCCTCTTTACCCAGTTAATCAAAACGAGTTTGCATTAGCCTGAGCTGTCTTTGAGTATAAACCAGCCGCGAAAAAAATTTAACTTGCACAATTGGAATTTAAAGAATTAACTCAATATTTTCAATCCCTTTAAGTCCATATGCATTAGGATATCAAACAGATAAATGAGAAATCAGATTGAGAGCAGTTTATGTTCATTGTAATGCACAAGAAAGGCAAGTCTTCGATCTCCTCGCCCGCTGGGGGGATGGGGCCACTTCGCTGCCTGCCGCCTGCTTCACAGGCTTTGCATGCTTCGTGATCACGTACTTGATTATGCCAAAGATCATATATCTAACAGATTTGCATACACCCTTTGCGCTTTATAGAGAGGTAGTGGTGATTAAGAATTTGATTAAGACTTATTTTGTGGTATCTGGACCTGACCCTAAATCCACCCACCCCCCCGCAAAAAAAAGATATGAAAGTATTAGGTTTACTCAGTTGAAACTAACTTAACCCTAAAAGGGCCGGGTTATTTTGACCATCTCTCAGCCGGGGGGGTGGGGGGGATTCCGCCCCCCCCTCAAGATCTCGGCCATCGAGTGACGAACAATTTTGAAACTCGGTACATGCATAGATCAACTCTTCATAAATATACCCAAGAAATTTCATGACTATAGGTCAAAGGGTTTTAGAATTATGGCTAATTAATTATTCATATGTATGAATGGTAATTCTGGTCTGTGTACCCGACGTATACGGGAAAATTCAGTTTTCACGGCGCGTAGCGCCGGAAAAATTTTCGTTGCGCAAAACCTCTAGTCCGATTTTTATATTTTTGGTGTCTAAAGATGCGCAAGGCTCGAGGCTAAAAAGTCATTACAGCTCGGGTCGCGAAAAAAAATTGTTTAAAGGCTATCGCGGAAAAAGCCGAGGGGAGGGGCGGATTCCGCCCCCGGCCCTTTTAGGGTTAAACTAATGTGGACCTTTTTGGGGGCGGGGTTGGGGGCGTGGTGGCGTGGGGGCAAACACGTCCAGTCCATCCCCCCATTCATCCCCGCATGAATAATACATCCAAGTTACTGATAATTATGAATTGTAAGAACTGTCACTTAATCGACTCCTTGCATAAGCAGTGACAGGTATATGGACACACTGCCACTTTCACACTGATTGTCAAGAGTATGAAACAATGTCATTTTATGCACATACCTATTTATCACCCTCCTGGTTCTCATTGTAATTGTCATCGCTCTAGTCTCAGGTCTTCGAACCAACAACTTCTGGCTGTGCTGAGATCTTAACGATCCTGGGAAGAGCTGATCTTTTCGTATACAGCTGCCCCAAGTCTGTGGAATAGTCTCCCCATTAACCTCCGATCTAGCCCATCTCATCAGCTCATTTACAATGACTCTCAAAACACACTGCTATATTTAGCCTACAGCACCACGGCATAAGTTCTCCTGCCTTTTTCCAGGTATATGAAGGCAGTGGCTCAACCATGTTATCTACCTTGAGTAGCATCGTGTCGGCCCGGTATGGCAGCTTCAATGCAGCCTGGGCTCTTGTCATCACATGGCGCTATGTAGAAGCCCTCTCACCCGATAAAGTAAGTATTTTGTAACAGGGCTGTTTGATTTAAATCATGTCTCTCTATAAGATCGGATGCAAAAGCGAATCGTTAATAAAACGCTGGTGAAGAGTTGGGTTCATCATCACAATCGCTTCACCAATGTATGTCTGTAGCCAACTTCAGTCTGCTCAACTCTGTGTAATACTGTTGCCTGCCTACATTCTGTAACCTCGTACACATTTTAATTCTGCCAGTGCAACGTTTTGTCGAACATCATGCTCAAACAGTACACAATTTGTTTGACAAATACCTACGTATTAAATAGCAGCATACAATTTGTTTACAAATGAACAGTTTATCTATCAAAGCATGCATCACCATGCATTTTGCTCTACACTGTTTTGTTTAATGGACAACAAGTACAATACTAAATATTATTTGAAAATAATTATATTTAAACCAGGGTGTTGACGTTGAATAAAGCTTTTGAATTTTGTAGGTAAGTGAAGTCAAATCGTGCTGAACTGATTTCTCAGTCTTTTGGGATTAACAATGCATTTCTTTATTTTGTTGTGTTTTTTTTTCTGTTCAGAGTACCAACTCTTTCCAAGCTGTGCTTGTGACAGATTACATTCATGGCTATGTTATCTTCAACTATGAGCGCTGCGGCATGAACTGGAACGAAAACCTCCTGCCAAATGACAACGTCATCCAGGGCTTCACCTGCGGACAATATGGCAACAAATTCTACCTGAACGTACCAAGCTACTTACGTTTCCGCCCTGGAAGTGTTATGGGAAATACCGGGATGTACGGGCGCTGGGTCCAGAGACTTGACAGCCTACCGGACAATTTTGTGAATCCCCGCTTGTTCTGTCGTAACTGGTACAGTGGGCAGGTTACTTTAGGTTACTACTGGTATTGGACTGCGCACACTTGTCCATGCAGTTGGTGGCAGGCACGTTGGGACCCAAGATGGATATCCATCGCTTACAGTTATTTCCTCCCAAATTCAGGAAGCAGCTCATCAGTTGGTGAGTACAGGCTATCCACTAGCTCCCACCCCCACCCCGATAGTACATGTCTGAATGAACAGTGACCAGTTCATGAACAGCGGTTAACTCGACGCTTCATTTTACAATGTACCTTTACATTTGACTTGTGTGGTTCTTTTGTAAAGCAAACAACAATTAACACAAACCCAACATTTCTAAAACTATTTGGATTTTTTCTATGATTATTCGTCAAAAAACTGGATGCTGAAATATGAGGGCTCTCAAACTTGATGAAATGCAGACGCGTTATACCAAAAGCTATTTCTTAAATTCTCACAATACATTTTAACGTTCAATTTCTGAAAGCCAAAATGGTTCACTCAAGTAAGATTGGAGACTTTGCATGGTGGGGATACTAGTTTTGCGGAAACATCATGTCGGAATTATTTCTCAAATTAAGAGATTGGTTCTGAAAAAACAACAGAGGTGTGAACTCGACGTCCCAGGCATGAATGCTCTGGCCAGAGGTATAAACTCGACGTTCCGGTCTGTATGCTCTGGCCGTCTTCAGGAGAACGGTCAAAGCATACTGACCGGAACTGCAAGTTTATATGACCGTCTTTGAAGACGGGTCAGAAAATTCTGACGAGTCTTCACCTCAGGTCTTATTTCAGAACAATTCTCTTAGTTTAAAAAAATATTCCAATGGTGTTTCCGGCAAACCTTTCTTTTATTGGTAAATTAAACTTCTATTTTTGAAGAGAAAATTCAATATTTTACCCTCTATTGTTTACGTGTAACCCCTTTCACACTGATTTCCTATTCTCTTTGTGTGTTTTTTTTAACTGAATGTAATTTTTATGCAGCTGCTGTTTGCTATGTTCGTGCTTGGCAGTTTCCTTATACCCCGGGTCCGGTATGTTGCTACAGCACATGGACATGGAGTCTTCTCCGGGGCGTCAGGAATGCTGTAGTTGCTTCTGTCTTTGAGTATTATCCAGTCAGTCCCTGGTTTTATTCACCTAGTCTGTTCAACCAGCGGTATGGTAAGCACCTAATAGGCAGACACCTAATTGAATGCACCCAACAACTTGCAACATTACATTTTAGACCAGCTAAAGGCCAATAAACCTGCGACATAATCACAACTTACTTTCTTTACATGCATGGGTAGCAGCATGCTGGGGTCAAGACCCACCTTTAGCTCCCATGAAAAGTAAACAGTAAACAAAGAGAAATGTCATCATGTCTTACGTCTGATTAAATTTGACACACCAATAAATCATGTGTTAAACGAGCATGTTATTCCGCTCATGTGAAAAAAAATAAGAATAACTGAAATCGGACAATGCTATGCACGTTTTACTAAAATAACCCATTTTTATAGCTGTCCATAGAATGCTCAATGCTTTGAAGCTATTCAGCTTAGTGAATACACAGAGATCACACACACTACAGGCATTCAAATACAAACTAGAGGTTCGCGTTTGTTGTTACAAACGCAGAGTGGTCGGGCAGGCAATTTGTTCATTAAACACTGCCGAGTTGAGTTATGAATATGTTTATGTAAGAACGAGGATCACGAAATTAAATCCTTTCCAGTACAATCAAATATTTTGTTTCAAAAAATTAACGGTGTGATAAATTTTAGTGAACATTCTATGTACACATACAAGCTTTTTCTGGCTTAATGACGTCATTATTCAAAAAACGGGAAGTGAATACTGTTTAGTTCGGAGGGGATAAATGTTCGTTGTGACGTTAACGTATGAAAATATGGAAAATATAACTGTATGCATTCCTAACACCAAACTCCGGTTTGATGACGTCACAGTATTTGGAAGCAAAAGGTAAACATTGAAAGGGATATCGTTATTTGGGCTACGAAGATATACGACATGAATCACATAATATAATTAAATTTAAAATATTATCGTTTTTAAATTCTCATAGAAGTAACTTCCGGTCTCATGACGTCATGAATTTGAAACCTTTCCGGTCAATAATTCTCCGCGGGTTTTCTCCTAGACGGTTTATGATATGAACCTGTAACTTTCAATATACATCGACTCTCATCCCAAGTGGTGCATATTACTCTTACGTCAATACCTTGATAAACATTTTTTTTTGATTTTGAAGTCAAAGTCGTGTGACCTTTTCTTCTGGGGCTACCGGAAGGTCAAAGTTAGGTGAATTCAAAATGAAGACGTTAGCTTGGAATCAAAACAAAGCAAAATTTCTTCCGAACGGTTTATGGTATGATCATAAAACATAGTGTGAATTTGAACCATGTTATGAAGATGTTATAAATTTTTTTACATCATCATGACGTCATCAGGTAACAAATTACAAGTGATTTACGGGCAAATTTTCACGAAATAGTTTGCGATATATCTTTTGAACTATATAGAGCTTCTATTCATTTTTTTCGTGAGGTTGCACACTATGCCTTGAGAAACATTTCTTGTCCCCACAAAAAACCGCATGTTACCGGAAGTGCAATAAAAACCGAATACAACTCAAAAGCAGAAGCATTTTACTACACACATACAAAATAGGAAAGTGTTAAGTGAGGAATGTCAGACACATAAAACAGTGTGACGACGTCATCTTTCGAAATCTATAATCTTTGTTACGTCATCTTGACGTCATCAGGTATCAAATTACAAGCGATTTAAGGGCAAATTCTGACAAAATAGTTTGCGCTATATATTTTTAACTAAATAGAGTATCGTGTTCGTTCTTCCATGAGGTTGTACACTATGCCGTGGGAACCATTTTTGTCGCTGGAAACAAAACCGCTTGACCTTCACTTCCGGTGTTACCGGAAATGCAATAAAATCCGAATATAACTCAAAAGCAGAAGCATTTTACTACACCGTTTAAGATACATTTTTGTAAAAAAAAAAATAGTTGATTGTACTGGAAAGGATTTAATTTCGTGATCCTTTGTTCTATATATGCGTATATTCCTAACTTTTCTGGGCAGTGTATAATGAAAAGGCTGTCCGCCCGACCACTCTGCGTTTGTAACTCAACACACGCGAATCTCTAGTTTTGTCTGTTTCCCTTGCAAGTTTTATTCGTTCATCCCCAAAGACATGTGCACAAAATTGTTCAAACTTACATGTGCCCTAACCCAATATTTCCTTGTCCTTTTACAACGAATTTCGGTAAGTTTACTAATTAGACCACGAGCAACAAATATAATCTAATTGCGACTGCAAAATTGTGCCTCTAAAGGGGGGCTGTGACATTAGGGAGACATGAAAATGTCTCCCTAATGACCGATGTCTCCCATCGTGCGAAGAAATTAATATAACGTGTCTCCTTAATGGCACCATTACGCGCAGCATTATTACCCTGCACACTGGGCCAATGAAACGTTCCAAAGACCATCTCAGCTCCCTGGGGAGTATACAGCTCGATGCTGACATTTCGGCGCAAAGCAGCAAAATAAACCACAATAACCATCTTTGCCCTCACATTTACCCAGTTACTCATATAGTCCGTGACCTAAGGGAGAGGGGGGGGGTCCCAGGCACCCCCCCCCCCGAACCCACCGCCACCGATATTTTTTTTTTTATCATTGGCATATCCCCAGTAGGAAAAAAATGTTAACAATGGAAATTTAGGGATGCTTTCTCTCAGGAGGCCAATTATTGGAATTTTCCATGATTGAGCTTAGAAGGCAATTTCTTAGTAATAGGGTTGGAAGGGGACGAAACAAAATGCCATAACCTGAGCAGACCTTGGCCGATCTTAATCAAACTCAGCACATTTATTCTTCATGAATAGGTCTTTCAAAATATAACTTTGGTTGCCATGGAACCCAACTATAGAGGGCGCTGCGGTCAAACAAAATATATATACATGTTTATTTTTAAAATTTCCCGAAAAGTTGCTGATCGTCTTGAAAGCCACCAAATCATAAAACAGAAGTTAAGTTTTGATTGTCCAACTTCTGATACAAGCATGGCATTTGGCACACATGTCATTAGAAAGATGTTTTGCTATCGGGCCATCGCAGATTTGTCCTTTGTAAAAATATCGGTAGAATAACAAGTTATGGCAATTTTGAAAATTTTGAAAACTGAATCTTATTCTACCTACATTTTTCAAAGCACAAATCTGGGAAATACAAATTTGCCCTAGTCTAGAGCCAAATATCTGTATTAATACATACTCTGACTGTGTGCCAAATTCCATGCACGATTTATCGAAGGCACAATTCCCCAAAAATTTCCCCTATCTCCCAAACTAAAATACGAAAACGAACGTACAAGGAAAACTGGACAAACAAATAAAACAAAACAAAACAAAACAAAACAAAACAAAACAAAACAAAACGAAACAAAGAAGAAGAAAAAACGCCAGATGGCGCACTGAAGACAAATACAAAGTGAGTGACTTTAAAATGAGGAAATCATTCTGCGTGTTTTGTACACAGATCAGGAAGTACTGCCTCGGTATTACTGCTGTCAGGCTTCTACACTCTGCTACCTCTACAATTACTACAGACCGGCCATGGGTTGCTATAGTTACCGACCACCATGGTGGTGTAAGTTTGCATTATTTAGAACTCTGAGCAAGTCATTTTTGTTTTAAATTTTACAGAAATTTGTCTTTCAGATCTCGGCTGTCCAGTCGTAGATATCCATGCTTACTTAGATCGGGGGGGGGGGGGGGGCATGGCACACCCCCCTCCCCCAAATAAAAAATAAGTGACGTCACTATAATATAAAGGCAGGTACTGCGTACATCACCATCTTTTCCTTACAAAAAAAATGGTCAAAGTCGTCAAAAATTGCCTCAGATTTTTTTTGGGCCCCCCTAGAAAATTAAAATTGTGTTCTTCATCCGATCTTGTGCTTACTACATCTGCTAAGTTTCCATTCACTGAAACAAAGCTAGTTTTTGTTATTTTTCAATCTGTTGGTCCATGCATGATAACTTTTTCATGCAAATGGAAAAGTTTGTTGATAAGTACATTTTTACAAGCTTAGGCACGCAAACTAATCTAACATGCTGAAATAATGGTTGGTCCAATTTACTTTGTGTAATAGTGTCAGTAATAAGAGAAACCTTTGATACCTTTGTATGATTTCATATCGACAACAAGTGAACAAGTGGAAAACCAGGCACTGAATAAAATTTATTTTATTAATTTTGTTTTCTTTTGCAAATTCTCAAAGTCTGGTTCTGGGGAGACCCTCACATCAAAACCCTGGACGGAGTTGAGTACACCTTCAATGGCCTTGGTGAATACACAGTAGCACTCATGGAAGATGAGAACGGAGCACAAATCTTTGAACTACAAGGCCGGACGCAGCGAGCTACCAATGTAGAAACTGGTCAACTAACGGATGCAACATTCTATTCTGGGTTTGCTGCGGAGTATTCCGGAGAGGGACGGGTTTGTAACACTTTACTTTCATCAAAAATATTTTGCAAAAATATTTTGAGCTGCACCCGATTATTAAACTTAAGTAATTGGCAGCTGTAGCTAATTAAGTGTTCATTTGACATACATTTTTAGCACGTTTCTATGAGCTTGTTAATACTCATGAATCTGCACGCTATGAGTTCAGTATTCCGCTGACCCCCCCCCCCAAAAAAAAACAACAACAATGAAAACAATATTTTAAAGTTTATTTTGTAGATTTGGAAAGGATTACTATACATCCGTTGCCCTATTGTCTATCCAACAGTATATGATTTTCTTGAAATCTTAAAATGTTGAGGAATTTTTTAATATGGAAACTTGCTAATATTCTTGAAGAGAAACATTGTGATCTAAGACATTGCATTTTTTGCCCTTCAATATACCCTTTGTCGTTGGTCCGTATTGCACTAAAACTAACAGAAATCTCACATTTTCTGCACGTATCTTGCACTGGATCAAGCACTTTCGAAATATTTTAAGTCGGAAGGAAATAATGTCCTAGCTTTCTGAACCTGTCAGATTTGATGAGAAGTGTTTTTTTTTTTTATTTTCTCCCAGGTTGAGGTAAAATTAAACAAAAGGCAGGAAGCCGACGACCTGATAACAACTGTCAATGGAGATGTTGTCACGCCTACAACAGCAGGTACATGAGCAGTGGGTGCAGTTTAAATGTTACCTGGTAGCCCCGCCCCCTAAATTAGTAGTAGAGGTATAATTACAACATCTGTGCTGATCGGCCCATACTTAACCCAGTGATTCTTCATTGAACACAACCTCCTATGAGTCCCCTGTTGAGCCTTTTAGATTACATCATACCTCTACCATACCTTTCAGATGTGTATTTAGAATGCACCAAGCAACTCTTTTCCCTGTTCTTTTTAGTTTTCGGAAGTTTTAATCAATAAGTGGCATTTTACCTAGTAATGGGGAAATAATTAAAAACCAAGAATTTCTCATTATCATCCATTCTCTTTAGGATTGCTAATTGGCAATGTGACTGTCAAAAGGGATGCTTCAACTAACAAAGTGGTCACCATGTTCCCTGGCGATATTCAGTTTACAGTAGGAGTAAACAACAGCATTGGAGACATTACTGTCCAGTTAGGGCAAACGTATCAAGGACAAACCAAAGGATTACTGGGTGAGTAAAACTCAAATTATTCATAAGCAAACAGTACAAAATTGATTGCCTTAACAGACAACATTCAAAAACTTCATTTTGACTTCAGTCCAATGTACACAAGTCTTTCTCAAGTCCTCACAAGTTCTCACAAGTGCACTACAAGTCAACGAAAGTCCGATACAGTCCAGCGTCAAGTCAAGCATTCAAATGAACTGTGACGGGGACTTTCCCGTGTTATTGTTCTTTACAATATTGTGATTTACTCGTGAAAGACTCAACTACAGTACTAGGCGTTATTGTCTGATAAAAGTGGGTGCGAAATTGATCTCCATGTATACTGTCCCATAGGGCCTACTTAAGTTAGATCCATATGACACAAAAGAGTACTGCAGGAGTAGCCCAATCGGGCTACAAGGAAGTAGGCACCCGTCGAGGCACATAATAGCAACCAATAAAGCAACCTATTCGATTTCCTGAACTTTGGAGGGGCTGTCCTTCACAAAACGTGTGTAATTAAAGGTCATGCAGGCTCTCAGTCTGTGTAGCATGAATGATTGATTAAATGTCTGCTGTACAGGCGTTTGGGATGGCGACCAAAGCAATGATGCAACCAGACGTGATGGTACTATACAACCAGCCACCGGTGACAACGGAGAGATGATTGAAAGAGACTTCTATAATTTTGGTGAAACCTGTAAGTCTATCAACGTACTGTTTTTGACTGTTGTGAAATCTTTTTGCCTGTTTTTTGTTTTAGATTTTGTCATAATTTAGCATTCAGTCGGGATACCCCTGAAATGTGTACACTTCCTTTTCCAGTCGAGTCCGTAAATAGATCTGGAAGATGTTGGAGGGTATTCGCAAAGACACTCCAATGAATACCTACACAATCGGGTACAAGTCAGAAATACATTTCACATGTCTGGAACCAAGGTCAAAGTGATTTAATTGCAGAATATGATCCTATACATTAACACGATCCTATCCGAAACTCTTTATGAAGCTGTTGAATATTGACAGACAAATTAGATATTTCTTTGCTACAATAGAACCTCAGTTTTCTTAGATAACATGCACATTTCTCCTTTGGCTTCACACAGGGCGTATCACTGAACAAGGTTCTCTATTCTACTATGTGGGTGACGAAACTTGGGCACTATCAAATGACCACTCCTTCCTGCCAAGTTTCTATGAAGATCTTGTCGCAGCTGCCACTCCGGAAAAGCTTCAAAAGGCTCAGGAGTTATGCGGGGACAACAAGATGTGTTTGTTTGACACACTGGCGACGGAAGATGAAAGCATCGGACAGTCTACAGTGATGCTGAATGAAATAAACTCTGAAACCGAAAGTGCAGCAAGTGAGTAAAGCTGTCGCTCATGACTAGTCCTTCAGTAGTGACGAAGGCAGGGTTGGGCACGGATTCGTGTTGATACCATCAACATCATACGCTGGTATGATGCTCATGCATCATCAGCGTACAGGGAACGTACAGGTGCTCACCATCGCACTGACAATCGTGCATGCAAATGATCATTTGCAGTTGAGCATCACTACAATGGGCATCACGGGGTCCACAAAAAAGCCCTAATTTTTGTTTGGTGGTCATTGGTTAAATCCCTTTTCTGCCTGCCACACTTGACCTGTAGGATTGCACAAACCTTTGGGTTCAGATTTTACGGCGATTGTTTTGGCCATAAATCCAGTATATCGGTGTTTGATAGAGTGGCATTCTATTGTAATGCAATAAAATGCACTTATTTTTTAACAATTTGCAGCAAACTATCCACCAAACATAACCGCTTCGGATACCATCAGGGTATCGGTGGGTGTGGAATTCGCAGAACAACTGGAAGCCATGGATCCTGATGGAGACGATGTTGTATTTTCATTGGTGGAGCCAATTGAAGGTGCATCCATCACCGAAGAGGGTAAAACAAATAACCTTTACGAAGTAGCTTAGGCTCTCTTCCGTCAGCATTATTTTCATGAGAGCAGTGTACGCGTTGCCATCAAATTAATCTTTGAGAAAAAAACATTAGCTTAATTGCGTTTGACTTGAACCCACGACATCTATATATTCAGGTGGCTAACAAGCCCCCTCCCCCTCTCTCCACCTCTCTTCAACTCCAACCCCACTTCTGACTAGTGTGATGACCCCAAATTTCACAAAGTTCCAAGAAAAAAATCCTTGTTGCACATCTTGAATCCTAGCCAAAGGCATTCGATCGTTTCATGCGTTGAGTCCTGAGCCTTATCTATCGATCAACTCTTGAAAAGTTTCCGGACTATTAGCCCAATTAACACAAGTCATGAAAATCCTGGATCTACCACTGCTAGCCTACTTTCATAAGACTTTATGTTCTATGCTTTTGAAAAATTCAACTGTTGTGTTTTATTTTAATATACAACCCCCCCCCTTCTGTTCCATTTTGGGCTCCTGCAACCCCCCGGCTAAAAGTGGCTCTTATTATTGATCCTCCCTGCGGTCAGTATCCCTTACCTTACCCATTATGATAGGTGGCAGAAACGAACCCACCCAGTCCAAAATGTTGGGCACTAAATACTTTGGACACCACATAATTATAAGAGGCCTACAGCTAATTACGATTTTTCAAGTTTCAGAAGCCACTATATTTTTTCCACTTCCATATTATCTTACAGGTGGTCTCTTCACATGGACGCCAGCGGACCAGTCAAAGGTCATGGTTGCGTTCCTAGCAACAGATGGCAAAGCTAATACCACACACGAACCAACCGTACAGCTCTGTGACTGCATGAACGGTGGCACGTGCCTGTGGGATGAGTTTGTGATTGGCACGGATGTTGTCGAAGACAGTTTTGGTGTGAGTGCTTATTGTTTTGGGTTTTTTTATGGCGGGTCGGTTATTTTGTTTGCTGGCCCAACCGGGCTAGACTATTGCCCACTGACCGATCGAATTTTCGACTAACTACCGACTGACTGACTTACCTTTTTATACTTTTTACACAGTCATTATCTTCCGAAGCTGCAGTAAAACTTCTGGCCACAGCTTCACCAGGCTATATCTGTCCTATGTATGATGTATGATGAAGTCGACATGAGTCCGTGTATAGAAGCTGTGTAGTATTTTTTGCGCTTGTGTAACAATGATTCTCATGATCTATTGATTAGTCTTAATTAGGCCTAAAATGCAGCTAATTGAAAGTTGAACTTTTTGTAAGAAAAGTGTCCTGTTCGATGACAGAGGATTTCCTAATTCGAAAGACACTACCTATAAGCTCTGTGAATGTATGTAGCAATGCAATCGACGAGATTGTTGTTCTGCACATTTATTTGTGCAGTATGTTGGTTTACATTATGTGTGCAGTATGTTGGTTTACATTGTCATTCATTTCCTTTCAAGGTGGTGCTTTGCGAGTGTGAGCCTGGCTGGAGTGGTGAGTTCTGTGAAGTGGATTACGACGCCTGTGAGGACGGCCCCTGTTTCATAGGCGTGGCTTGTTTCGATGAAGCGCCACCGTCGTTGAACAGCACCTGTGGGCCCTGCCCTGAAGGACTTGAGGGTGACGGCAGGTTCTGTCAGGGTAAGTAAAGAGTTCTTGGTTTGAGCATTTAATTTGAAACCACTAGCTCCTTTACTGGCTAAGACCAACTTGCTCGTGGACCACTTCACCTGTGACATGCCCATGGGCGACCCTCAGCACCACAAGAGATGTACTTCCAATGCAGGCCAGAACTTTGAGAGTGACCGCAATTAACAGCCCAATCTAAATCAAGATTTTTGCAAATGGAGTCACAAATGGAGTCACATCATCAACATATCATCATGTCGCCCGCAGGCGGGATCCCCTGCGGCGTTTCCAATCCTCTCTATCCTTTATACAAGCAGCCAACTCTGTTGTGGTCTCAGTCCCGGCATCTCTCCTCAGAACCCCGACATAGCTCGTCCTCTGTCTTCCCCTCCGCTTCACCCCATGAGTCGGTTCCCACAGCACCAGACGGCTTGCTGGTAGCTCAGGGTGTCTGCAGCAGTGCCCTGCCATGCCCATCCGCCTGTATGCGATCTTCTGTGAGATCCTAGGTAGCATGCCGTAAAGGGTGTTATTAGAAACGTGGTTTCTCCAGTCGATGTTGAGCACCCTCCCCAACATTCTGGTGTAACAACCGTCGAGGGACTTCTGAAGGGTCGTTGTTAAGGTCCAGCACTCACATCCATATAGCATGATGGACTCCACCGTGGCCTGGAAGAAACTGATCTTGACATCCCTTGACATGTTAGAGCTCCATATGGTTTTCATCCCATGTAGAGCCTTCCAGGCAAGGGCTTTCCTAATGCGGATGTCGTGCTCAGAGGAGTCGACCCATGATCCTAGATACTTGAAATCGGAAACTATATACGGAAACCCCTATAAGGGCCTTGGAATATACTTGAAGGGGAGTAGTCAGCCATCTCCAACACCCTCCCCCAAAGGAAATAACATGGTTAGCCACCTCAATTCCCCGCCCTTACAATTCCCTGTTGTGATAGATTACATCAATAAAGTACCCAATGATTCTGTTTTCATTAGTTAATGAAGTTTGATAGTGACTACTGTATTAATGATATGGAACTCACGTTAACTGTTGATGACGTATCGTGTTGTCCTGAAGACTCTATGTTGATTTCTTGCAGATATCGACGAGTGTGAGCTATACAAAGACGAGCCAGCCAGCAGCGGTGGACGTGGCTGCGATCAGATCTGCAACAACACCCTCATGGACTACAACTGCAGCTGTGAATGTGGCTACTCCTTGTACATTGACAACAGGCGATGCATTGGTATGCAGTGCTCTTTGTATGGACTAAAATACAAAGAAAAACCTGCAGAATCACAGATATACCTGTTGAAAAAAAATTGGTTGCGAAAGTGAGAGGGCACAATACATAAGAAGTTTTCTCTTTAAATATCTGGATAAGGTGAAGAAAAGGTTATCCGCAATAGGCCAACTGTGACAGATACTATTTTAGCTTTCCTCGAACCTCCCTCAGATGCAGTTATCAATTACATTGTGAGACTCGGACAGTGATATTTAGGGTCATTGGCTACACATTCTGCCATCGCCTTCCAAAAAATCTACAACTACTAATTCAGGCGATTCATAATGCATTGCGCCACCAAAAGTTTGCCATGGAGAGTCAATATTTTTTAAATTGATGGTCGACAAAACATGGCCCATTTGAATGATTGTCAGAAGTCAACTTGAGCTTATGTTATAGATGGGGGCATAGCGTTCTGCCGCATTACCAACAACACCATATTGATATTAAGAAAATAAAAGGGCAAACAGACCCTAAAATCATTCGCTTACGAAACTACTACTGACCGGAAAAAAACTACCTGTTAATGTCCCGCGCTGCGAATTTATCGACCATCGCCCACAATGCACTTGGTAAAATGAACTCTCCATGACAAACTCTTGGTGGCGCACTGTATTTTGAAACGCCGAAATTGATTATATTTAACAAAGATGAAATGAGCAAAATTCAGCATTTTATGTATTTGAAGGCTTATTCGAATTGTCAGCCTTTTTTAATTCAAAATTTACCCTTGTGTTATCTGAGGATTGTCGGCATGTCAGTGTTTTTCCCCCAGTTCACATTCAATTCCATTCTGCACGAGACAATAGAATAATACAAAGTGTTCCGGCACACACATGGAGGCATATTCTGGAAGCCGAAGCCTATATAAAGAGATGTCTTTAAATACTAACTAATTAAAGAAATACTATGTGAGTTGATGAGACATGCAAATCAGACAGACACAACAGACAAACAGATAATGAATAACCAGTTTTTGTGTGTCAGACTTGCACTTTAGCTATAAAACCACCCGTTTAGAATGTTTGTGTTTGATTTGGATGGTATAGATATTGACGAATGTGAATTGGACCTGCACAACTGTAGTGTCAACGCCGTGTGCAACAACACCCAGGGCAGCTACGAGTGTGACTGTAAACCAGGCTTCAGGGACGACTTCATGGATGGAACGTCGTGTACAGGTAGGCCTATTCGTTTTTAGAAAGCAGTAGAGAAGTTTTCAACATTTGTTGTACAGTAAGCAAAATCTATGAGTATTTATGAATATGATAAAGCACAAAACAGTTTAGAAACAGATGTTGTTTTATTGGTTAAAAATGTTTGATAACACGGCGTTTGTGGTTTTGCCTTTCCACTGTGCAAATTATGATGCTGAACATACCACAATCAACAACATAGTCAACTGGTGAGAACTGGTGAGAACTTGTGAGAACTCGTGAATATTTATTTTCAGGTGTTTCAAAGGTTGTAGCTAAGCAATTTAGCCTAGGCAGGTACATGATATACCAAGGAGAATGCAAACTCAAAGTAATGACACCCAAATTTTGTTCTTTTTACATTAATAAAATTTGATTTAAGTCAGTCATGGCTCGAAATTTTGTTCAAATACAGTCAATATACAAACAAATAATGCTAAAATGTTGAGTAGAAATTCTCCTGTTTTCAATGTTTTTCTCACCTTACTGTGAAGTCAGTATTAAATTAGCTTAATTTACAATCACTAGTGGAGGCATAAAAAAACAACATTATCTACAAGAAGTTGAAATCAAAGTAAGATTTTTCAAATTGTGTGGGTTTTTGTGATACATCCCTTAGACCTCGTGGAATGCACAGACAATAGTAGCTACACTTGCGACGAGAAAGCTAAGTGTGAAAACACCATCGGCTCGTACCTGTGTGTGTGCATTGCGGGATATGAAGGTGATGGCAAGACATGTCAAGGTAAGGCCTTATGTACTAATTGACTTTGGAATTAATTGCCTTATATAGACGCAAACAATGTGGATTTTACCAAATGGATGAATCAGGAGGTAATGTCCATGTTATCGCCAATGCAAATGCGATTTAATTTTGGTATAATAAAACTTTATTCTCGAAATCTGGAGGTGTTAAACTGCGTTCAATATTTGTGTTAAAAGGCAGCGTGGAAACTTGCTGTTACGTGTCACTCGAAATACTACTTTCGTCTGTTTGTCACCAGATCTGAATGAATGCGCAAGAGACATGGATGATAATTGTCACGCTGAAGCCGATTGTACAAACACCGTGGGGTCATACACGTGTGCGTGTCGGGATGGCTGGACTGGCGATGGCACCAACTGCACCAATATAGACGAATGTGCCGCACCGTTACCAGTCTGTGATGAGAACGCTGAGTGTACGGACACTCAAGGCAGCTTTCTATGCCAGTGCAACGCTGGTTATGTTGGCAACGGAATGATGTGTGCGGGTAAGTAATGTTATTGCAATTTTTTAGTGTACAACAAGCTTGGTATTGATTGCAGTTAGTGAACCTAGCCAGCCAGGGCGATATTTGGAGTGCAGTGTTTTATTTCCTGAAGGTAATGGAGTGGAAAAGAGTATGCTCTGTTCAGTGCATATTTTCCAGGGCTGTCGATCTGATTTGTCGACTTCCAACATAACACGATCACCCTCACCAACTTAGGCCATGTCCTAACACAGTTACTGTTGTCCATGATTGACTAAAAGTATTCACTGTTGCAAACCATAGGACAAAGATAGAGCCACGGCTGCAAAATACCATATTTCAGCACAGCGTAATGTTTCTGCCATTACCGTTGATTTCCAGATTTGAATGAGTGTACCACTGGTCAGGACGATTGTTTGGCCGTTACTGGTGAGTGCAGCAACACAGTGGGTAGCTTTGACTGCAGGTGTAAGGATGGATACACCGGGGACGGTCGGACAAACTGTACAGGTAAATCAAACATACTGAGTGTGCTGTATATGTGTATTATTAGTGTCCCTTTTAGATGCACACTGTTAACGGGAACTAAACAGCGGACTGAAAATGGGAGTTATCCTCTATTTTTTACCAAAACCTTCTTCGCAGGTATTCATACAATTGTCTAAAACGAAAACAAAGATTAATTGTTCTGTTGCCAGTGCTTTTGTGTCGAAGGACTGCTTCTTAAATGTGTAGACTAGAGGTAGTTGACAAGATTGGAATATGTGCTCAGGGGCATAGTAAGACTAATTCGATTGGGTGTGCGATACCAAATTTGCTGACTGTTCCTCCGTGTTGGAAGGTGGCTAGGAAGCGGTAAATAGCCAGCCGTTGCAAACGCAAAAAAAATGTTGTGTTGGAGGGGAACTGTACTCTGTCTGACTCCAGGAGACGATGTTCAAATCCCTTGGACCTTATCGAAGAATAGTTGGCTCTCGTCACTACAGCAACGCTCACGGTGGTTCATTTGTCAATTGAGGCTGTAGGTGCTGACTGGGATACTTTTTGGTGGCACCCCGCCCCATTTGCTACATTCCTTGATGCACTGCCAAATCCCTTGCTCGGCAAACACGTTGTTGACAAAAGAATACGACATTGACACAAATTAAAATGAAAGTATTTTATTTCTATCCAACCATTTTCTTTCTTGTCACAAACTTTGATCCTTGTAGATATCGATGAGTGTCAGGGAAGCAATGATTGTTCTGAAAACGCTAATTGCACCAACACGGTTGGCAGCTATCAGTGTGACTGTGTGACTGGATACGCAGGGGATGGACAGACCTGCACAGGTGAGATATCAACTAATCTTCACAATTTAGCACCCTGACATTATAAAATCTTTGTAAAAGAAAATAAAACAATTGTAAATATTCTTTCTTAGAACCAATGTCACAGTGCGATTGTTTTGGTTTAGTGTCTCAGCTGTTAAAGCAATCAAAAGCCATCAGACTCAGTCAATAAATTATCCGACACTGAAGTAGTGAGGCGAAGAATGTTCCTTATTTTTGTCTAAACTTTTCCACCGGATGTGGCAATAACATTATTTTAGTATCAATATTACTATAAAAGCCTGTGTTGCCATTTAATCGCAAGCTGTGTGTAACCATCCCTTTCCATTTTTTATGAAGTCCATTGCTCAACACAAATCTCTTCTTTGGTATAAAGTGCAGGTCGATCTCCAAGTCCAGTAACAGTACAGGGGACTTGCAATGACAAAACAATGGCCCTTTTCACAGTTATCAGCGTTTAACTCCAATACTTGTGCTATTTGTTGTAAATCTGGTTTCCACTCCCTTTTGCACAGACATTGACGAATGCACTCTTGAATTAGACAACTGCCAGCAAGAGTGCTCTAACACGGAAGGATCATTTGCTTGCAATTGTAGTGCAGGTTTCACCCTTCAATATGGAGTTTGCCAAGGTAAACTATTTAGCCAGTTTGGCATCCGAAATGTGCATAAAGCGCATCGAGAAATCCAAAAGATTACCTATTAATTATCACATGACCAGTATTTCCAGTGGGAAAACCTGTTTTGCTGATTTATGTTAATAAATATTAACAAAATGAAGAAAGCTCAAGTGGTTAGCAAACATGACAAAACTTTGTATTCGTAATTGTCTCTTTACTACCAAATATCGTAACCCATGAGTCCATGTACAGCCCGAAACTGCCCCAGCACTGTCCGGTTTTATAGATTCATCAGTGAGTAAATACAACGTAGTACAATTCTTTGCCATCACAATGTATGTGGTTTTTTTTTCTCCCACAGCTGAAATGCTGTGTTCGGGTACAAATTGCACACAGGGTGAGTGCTACAGAACCAACAAAGCAGACGTGTGCCTCTGCTACCCAGGATACGCAATCGATGTTAATCCCTTAGTCTGTGAAGGTAATATTCTTCAAAAGTGTCTTCCTTCCTCAACTTGTTTTAACTTTTTGATCTGTGAAACAGAGTCATATTTCTTTACAAGAATTGAAATATTTCTACGCCATACCGTTCAATGGCTTTAAGAGAACATTCTTCTAACTTCACATTTTCTGACTGCATTTCAGATATTGATGAGTGCACAAGCCCGAGTGACCCTCACATGTGTGGTGCCAAATCGATGTGTGTTAACATGGACGGCAGGTACGAGTGTCGTTGCTATCCCGGCTACACTCTCAACAGTGACCAACGGACCTGTTCAGGTATGTCAATTTTACAATGAAACTAATATTCAATTTTGCGTGGCTGCTGAGCAGAAATATTGCCGACCAAAAGTACTATGAATCAACCGACCGTTTTTTTTTCCTTTTTTTTTTGGTGGGGGGCACTGTTGATGTAAAAGTACTTCTTGTCTGGTAGAATGTATATAGATTAATCAGCACTGTAGTCTACCTAATTTCTACTTGAAATCTGAACTCTGACAAGCCATCACGGCATTATTTCATGACATTTAGATGTGAATGAATGCCAAGCTGGTACTCATAAGTGCGACGCTATGAGCCAGATGTGCGTCAACGATGAACCCTACTTCACTTGTGACTGCAAGCCTGGCTTCAGCAGCGAGAGTTTCAACGGATCCTGCTCAGGTTAGGACCCTTTCCTCATGGGTGTGCGTACCTGGGGGCCTTTGGAAACTTTACAAATTTCATGTTCCATGACTCTGAACATAAATATCTAAAAGCAAACATGATTCACAAAATGAACATGAAGATTATTATCGTGAACAGGATTAGAATAAAGCTGAAATCGGTTTGAATTACCTCACTCTCAATTACAATTTTGTTAACATTTCAAGGCCTTTTGGACTTTCATTCGTTGGACAAATTTCGAAAGTCTGTTAAGGACTTATATGTTTTCAACCGCAACCTGTGAACACAAATTAGCTGCATGTTCAAATCTGTCAATATTGATATATGGATAATCACTGCAACGTGTTGCCGGCAGAAATCCCCAGAGGCGCAACCACTTTATCCAAAGAAACCTTGTCATTGCCAAAAAAATCTTTCGGAAATCGTGCACATGTCCCGCTTCAGTTCATTTTAATTTTCCTTTAAAGATGTGATTCATGTTTGTTAATTTTGACAGACATCAACGAATGTTTGAACGACACCTTGAATGATTGCCACAGCGACGCTGACTGCCTGAACAATAACGGTTCCTTCACCTGCCAATGCAAGGACGGATTTACTGGCACCGGACAGCTATGCTTTGGTAATGCACTTTTTTATGTTTTGGTATTATTCACGTTTACTGTGAGTGTTTGTTTGGTGCTTCCCGTTGTTACAACTCGTGTATTATGCAGTTAGGTACTTGTAACAACATACGACACTTTATGGTCCCTTTTTTGAGGGGGGTGGGTCCACAAACTACACAAACAAACTGTGGGTGCTTTATTCATCAGTATTAGCGCTGGGTTGTAGCATGCTTTGAAGTCACACCTGACATGATACATCATATATGCCAGCAAGTAAATGAAATATGTTCCTGTTTTATTTGTGGTGTTGATTCATTGGAATACACATGTAAGTTTGGCATGTTCTAATTTTTCTGAAGATCTGGGCTAGCTTTCAGACTTTTGTCTTTTCTTTTAAAATTCATTAGAAATCGTAAAAGCATCATGATCGGCTCAATGTGAAGTTGATTCATTCACTTCACGATTCAATGAACATTTGAATTGATTTGGTTTTCCTCCAGATATTGACGAATGTTCCTTGCCCACAAACGACCCGAAGTATGCCAACTGCAGTCTCTCCGCATCGTGCACCAACCTGGCGGGCTCATTCCAATGCAATTGCAACACGGGATACGAAGGGGATGGGCAAACTTGCGAAAGTACGTGCAAACATGATAACCTGCTTATAGACTAACTATAGATGAGTGCCAGGATATGCTTGTGATTAAGTATTCTTTTGGTTCACCTTGAATGCTGGGATGTTGGGATATACAGGGTGGATAAAAAAAAACCGAAATAGTATTGCTAATTGGAACAGAAGTTCATGGTGAAATCTCTTTTGTCCCCACCTGCCTTGATTGGCAACCATAGCCTTTCACTCTGTGACAAATGACACAACAACAAAAAACACGATTGAAAAGTGGCGCAATTCTCTAAATGGACCTTTTCATAATATTGGTCACTGTTCAGTCACCATGAATGTAATGACATGATCAGGGTGTCATTTTAAACAGATGATTTTAACCCTAACAGAGGATATCTCCTTGTGATTCACATGTGCCCTACATCTGTTTCAATTAGCAATAATATCTCGGTTTCGTGTTTTTTTTATCCACCCTGTATTGCAAATACAATCGATAAGTGGACCATGTAGCACAAGTGCCCCTGTAATGGTTGCAAAGAGCAAGTTGGGAGGGACCGATGGGAAAGAACCTTGAATGCATTGCCTAGAGCGTCTGACACTTTAATAAAAAATACGTGAAGATTCGATGAGGTCGTACATAATATTAAGAATACATAAACCCTGTGTATTGCATGCCATGTGCAAATTGACAAGTGCACCAATGCTGTAAATCCCTTCCACTGCAGCTCCTGTGAGTGGTGAGGAACCACTGTGTACTATACCCGGAGTCTATATAAGTTATCCCAATTTCTCGTTTAGCCATATGGCAGAAGATTACTTGGTGAACTGAACCTGTGTATTTACTCACGTGATACCAAGCACAGTTGAACTTGGTCATATAGTGTGTTTGAGTGTGAGTGTAGCTTAATTAATGGAAACAATGTGAAACCATTCCAGACCTCTTAAAGTTTTACAACCAAATCCAATTAGATTTGTATTACGACAGATGATGCGAAGCTAGCATAAAGTAGTATACACAGTATTGATCTTATATTCATAGTTAAAAAGCAATTTTCCAGCAATGTATGAGGGATTTTAAGAAAGGGAAACAAGAGGGGAGGGTTTATGTTGAGCACTTTAACCCTGAAGGCGTAAAGCAGTTTTGTTTTGCCTCGTGAAATAGATTTTATTTGGAATTTGTGAGGCCATTTTTTGATGGCACTTTATGAGCTAAAACAAAAGTTCAATTTTTTTTCAAGCACTTTATCTTTTGTTACAAAGAAAACATTGGGGTAGGCACTCTTAAGACTTGATGCGTCCAGATGTATTTTGCCGCTGTATAAAATCACGTGTGTTTCACACATTTTCCTTCACCAGATATCAACGAGTGTGAGAGTGGGATCTCCGCGTGCGCTACCAACAGCACCTGCACGGACAACGAAGGCAGTTATCTCTGCACGTGCGACGATGGTTTCCGTGGTGATGGCTTCACCTCGTGCGTCAACATCAATGAGTGTCAGGAGAACCCTGGCGTGTGTCACTCCTTAGCGACGTGCACAGATACTGAGGGGAGCTATCGCTGCGACTGTAACCAGGGTTATCAAGGAAATGGCACATATTGTGAAGGTAAAACAACTTAATACCTTTATGTTACGTCATATCTGACCTGTCTCCACGAAATGAGCTTAGAGTTTGACTTTTTTTTAAGAATTGACATATTGGTCTTTCGGCATACTGCTTAACAAGCAATATCGGAAACATAAACAACCAAGTTAATTAAGTTTTTTGAGGCAACTACCACAATTATGGATATTATCATGAGGCTAAGGTTGAATGGAAACAAGAAGGATCAAAACATGGAGAATCAGTTGTAATGGGTAAATATAAAAACGTTTTATGAATGTTTGACTGAATTGAAAGCTAAATTTGAGATCAAGTAGAAGAGGACATATAGAGTAAGGTTAACCTCAAAACCAATAAGTCGACCGGCCCTTCAAAAGTTGGATTTATCTGACTCTATTGTTAAATAGCAAAAGGGGAACTTCATTTCGTTACGACAGGTGGAAACTAACGAAGTTAGCAGAGTTTTGTCAAACAGGTGTCAAAAGTCAGACTCCTCTTATATGTCCCTCTATTTCTGCTAGAATGTATAGCATGTACACAACGATATACACCAAATTTGAAAAACGCCACTGCTTTTGTAAATCAGTTTAAAGTGCTATCTTGCTTTCTTATATCAAAAAAAATGAAATGTACACTAGTCAAATGTGAGCTTTGAGAATTGTTCTTTGGTTGTCTGCAGATTTGAATGAATGCATGACCGGTACCGATGAGTGTGCAGCCAACATTGCTGAGTGTACGAACAATGTCGGTAGCTACATGTGTTCCTGCGTAGATGGTTATGTCTCTGCAGGCTTCCCAACTGGTAGACAGTGCGATGGTAAACACATTTCAATTTCTTTGGAAACAAAGTGTATGCGTTGTAAACTTGCACAAGCACATTCCAACTTGAGGGAACTGGGTCCTGAAATGTTTCGTGATGTAAATGTGTAAAAAAAAAAATCATGTTCATTCAAAATCTAACAATGTTTCAGAGGGTTTTGCAGGATTTTTTTAGAAGGTAGATCCTATCCCCTGTAACTGCAAAATGGCTTCATGTCAGTAGCATGTCCACGTCTTGCTCGATGGAGGAGGGGCGCTCATATTTATTTTTGAAAAATTGTTTAAACAGTACTGATAGTAAAATGCTGATGAAGGGAACATTTCGCCACGGTTTACATTTCTCCCCTCCCCTAGTGCTCCTCCTGTGCCCCCCCCCCCCCCCCCCCATTACTGGATAGATATATGCTTGATGCTTCTTTGAAAGATGAAGTATAAAGATTGTACCATTGAGTTCCTGTACACAGTTCTGGATTTTACAGAATTTAGGCAAAGTTCCTTTGCAGAAAATTCCCTGGGCGAAAGAGTGGTACTAGCTCTAGTGTGTGTCCTATCAGTCAATTGAGGCTAGAGCTTAAAGACCTGCCTCCTAGTGTTTTGTGCATTATCGGACAGATACTAAATATTCCATGATATGTTTGATTGGTTCCGATTCTTTATAGATGTTGATGAGTGTGCGCTGAATCTTGACAACTGCGATACATCGGTGTCTCTGTGTAACAACACTATCGGCAGCTACATGTGTGACTGTAAGGAGGGGTATGAAAAGAATGCATTGGGCCAGTGTGAAGGTAATTGAATGTTTACAACAGTTCTGTGCTGCACATTTAGTGATGTACGGACGACTGATGAATTTTCACTTGTTGTGGTTTTGGTCAATAAACCTTGCAAAACAGCAACCATCTTTCACTCTTAAATTTCAAATGTTGATTTTTAGTATAAGGACTAGAAATGTCTGGCCAAGCGTGAATTTCATTGAGGTGGCGATCATCCCGCCTAACCTGACAAATTATATTTGCTACAAATTAATGAAAACTTTGAAAATTTACTGTCATTCCCCATTGGGAATCTTAGGACAGTGCGTAAAATGAGGTGTTTGGTTTTGCTTTATGTATAAACTTATCTCAATCTACAAAACTTTGTCCGGGTTGTTCTTCAATTTACCATTTTGTATTGTAATATCGTAACACTTACATCCTTAAAAGAAAAGAGGTTTGAAGGATTTTTGCAGGATTGAGGGAAGGAAGATCCAAACCACTTACATTAGTAAATAAAGAAAAAAAAATGTAATTGATTTTCTTGCAAAATGTTTTTTGTTGTTGTAGGATTCAGGAAGCTTCTTGGCCAAAATGCGTAAGGAGTTTGGGGTTGATGGAATGTTTGTTGACATCTTACCCAATTATTTAGATGTGAATGAATGTGATGACACTCCGTGTACGATGGCCGACTCCATGTGCGCCAATCTGCCAGGGACATATGAGTGCAACTGCATGTTAGGATTCTATCAACAATCCTCATCATGTCTGGGTAATATTTTGCTATTCCAGATTTGCTGGAAATCGTAACTCTTATTTATGATTTTTTTAATGGCCATTAAAATAATGATGAAATTATCATAAAAATGTTGCACAGGTAAAAAGGGGAAGTTAAGATGTGAGCATGACTATTATGCTAATGTGGACGAAAATGTCCCAAACGCTATGGTCGCAAAAAAAAAAAGAAATAGGAAAAGAAAAATGATAGAAACCAGAAGTCGACAATGCTGGAGTGTGAATAACTGTGCACGCATATGGATACCCCAGTTATGGCATTGGCATTGTGGCAGCTATTGCTTGGAATGCCCGTTGTTGGAGCAGTTAGCAGAAGGTTTCGGTCATTACTGTTGGCCAGAGTTTTAACGAGACACTACATTTTGTGACTCGAGTCGAGTCATTTCAAGGAAGAGATTCGAACTGAGTCGAGTCATTAAGTGAAAAAGGTCGAGTCGACTTTTCAGTTGAAATTGTTGAAGTTGAAATTCGGGTCTGGAATATTTTTTTTATCATCTATATGATATTTATAAATATATGTAACTAGTTTTTGAAAACAGGATATACATTTAGTCAGAGTATGCATCAAGGGCTTAAGAAATAGCCCGAAGCTGATGCTGACACCAAGAATTGGGAAATGCGTTTAAAGTCTGGTTCCGGGATGGTAGTTTGTGCGCTATATTGTAAAACCGCAAAGAAATCTGTTAAACAGCGTATACTTGTACGCGATAAGCAGCAAAAAATTGACAGTAACGCGAAGTTTGGAACATAAATAACTTCACCGGTAGTCACTGCAAAATTTCGCACAGGTTTTGGACTAGAGTGATATAGCCTTCGACTCGAGTCAAGTCATTTGCTCACAGTGACTACAAGTCGATTCGAGTCGCCAAAATTGTGATTTGAGTCGGAATCGAGTCTAGTCATTGACTCCAGTCATTACAACTCTGCAGTGGTGCTCATGCTCATAGGTAAGTGGCCAACCTTGTCAACAGTTAAAGGGTCGCCTAATTTAAATGTGCCTATTGTTTTCTCAGCGGCTTATTCAAAAGAGGCATCTGCCGTGTTTGAAGTCATTAGCGGCTTGGCTGTGGACAGTGCTGGATTTGATCTGGCAACAGGCTCCGTCACCTACCGCCAAGATTTGAAGAATTCGGTTCGTAGATTTTTCCTCAAATTCATTCCCCATTATTTATAAAATAACTGATATGGATGTGGTGTGTTTGAATGAACAAAAATGGAAAATGGAAAACGGAGCCAAACATTTACAAGGGAAACTTCTATTAGATCAGCACTCCAATGAGTTCAACAATGACATACACTTCTTTATAGTTTTTAGTTGAGGATGTCCCAGGACGTTTGCTTTAACCATTTTCAATACCCATGAAAAGTGGCAACTGGTTATTGCTTCAACAAGATTGATGCTCATTGCCTATGCCTTGGGCAGATGGTGGCTTTTGTAAAATATTGACTAAACATTTCCAATTTGCAACGTTTTGGCAGTGCATGAAAGTTTTGTTGAACGTTCATCATAAAAAAAATGAATTGCTGGTTCTCTTTATGACTCATGTTGAACTCAGATGGAGGAAGCCTTCAACGATTCTTCTTTGAGTAGTTCCTTTAGGGATGTCGTCATCACAAACTTGACTCTGAACTCGGACTCAACAGCAGCTCTCCTGAAGTTGGTCATCAACTTCCAAAGTGGCTCTACGCACTCGGATCTAGAGATCATCATGGCATTGCTTGGCCAGCTGACGGGTAGCAATGGGGGTCAGCTGGCTCCCAACCACCAGCTGATCAGACGGACATTCATCATCGGCGACCCTAGTAAGTACTTACACTCGAGATATAAACCAACCTCTATTATAACAAGTACGTCCTCGCATAAGATGAATGATTCTGAGTCAAGTGCGTTTCAAACTAAAATAATAATCTTTATTCTAACAAAAAAGAATAGCGAGCAGAGGAGACATTCACAGTTAAATAATTCATATTCGGCTGTTTTTTTTCCGAACCAGAGTGTGATTCAGCGCCCTGCGAGAACAGTGGTGAGTGTGTTGAAGACAACTTAGCCACGGGAGGATACACGTGCAGCTGCCCACTGGGCTACAGCGGACAAAACTGCCAAGTCGGTAGGTGAACGTCTGTACAAAGTAGTGTGATTTTTATCTTGCGGGGAGAGACTAAGGGGGACATTAGCTCCCATGGGATTGGCAATTTGTGAAAGAACCCAACAAAATATGTGGGCATGATTGCCACTTCTTATTTTTTTTCATTTCTCAGCACCATGTGACGTCAACCCTTGTATGAATAGTGGGAATTGTGCAGGTAACTCTTCATCAGACACTGGCTACACCTGTACATGTGGTCAAGGATTCAGCGGCCCGCGGTGTGAAACGATAGGTAACTTTCTTAATAAAGAAACTCAGCACTTAAAAAGATACACTGTCAGTGTCAGGATGTTAGTTGGTGTTTTTTTGTAATCAAAAGCAGAGTAGGCATGGGCCAAATGACCTACTGTTGAGGGATTAAAGGAAATATCAGTGTTGTAGTCCAGCCTATGCAATTCCATGCCAGTGTATCATAAGTCCTTCAGTCGCAAGTCAAGTCACTAGCTTTATTTCAATGAAATGCAACAAAGTCACTCCTTTGTCATTGTTCATCCCGTTGTTTGTGACTGACTTCATGAAAGGACTCGTGATTGACAGGACCACAACACTTGGAAATATACAGATCATTTCATGTAAACTCAGTGATATATAGTGTTACTTGGTATGGAAATGCTTTATGATGATTACAAAACTGTTATTAGATTTCGATATCTATATCTCATTTCATATTTATTGATGTAAACATACCTTGTTATTAAGGGCACAGTTTTGTTTCCTGTAATGCTCTGGTATACGTGCATCTATATCTCTGCACGGTAATGACTCAAACGCATTGTTTTCAGTGGCTAACTTAGTGGATGTCCATGCCTTCCGGGTCCCCCCCCCCAATTGCCCCCTCCCACAACGCCCCCGCCATCTCCCCATGCCCCATGTACAATCTTGAATTGAACATAATTATATCATTTGCCTTCGCCCCCCCCCCCCCCCCCCCCCCCACACACACACACACAGAAGTTTAACCCGAGGTAAGCCATTGGTTGACTGATGGCTGAAAAAAATATTCACGTTTTGAGATTATTTTCAGCTTTGCTTTAAGATTTCCTTGGTACTTGCTTTTTTGCTTCTGTTTAACATTTAACGGGCACGCCAAAATGGATTTTATCTCTGGTTTATTTAAGCGTGTAATAAAATAAGAATATTTCTATTCCTCTAGGATATGATTCGAACTGATTTTTTTTATTATCATTCTCCTAAGCCCCTTGTCAAATAGGCAACGACTGCGTAAACGGAGCAACATGTATCGACGATCTCAACAACTCTCGCGGATACACCTGCAGCTGCGACGAAGGATATAAGGGAGAAAACTGTGAAATAGGTAACGGGTTGGAATTGTTATGCTTGTTGGAAAAGAATTACGCTTTAGTTCAATCTGTCTTGTGTTTTTGATAATATTGAACTTTTTTAATTTTTCATATGGGTTCAATGATATCAGTGTAAAATAGTACAGAAGTGGCAGACAAACTGTCTTATAAACTGTCTAGCTGATATAATTATATATTTATAATAACAAAAAGAATTGTAAAACAAAACAAATGTGTGGAAGGTCCAATCTATGCTCTTGAATAATGAAAAGCAGTTTGAACACGTTTGTTTGGAAATTCCAAAGGTGGTGAAGGTTTAAGATATAGTTTCAGGTTTCGGGATTGAGTTTCTTGCTCTTGTTCAAGCCATGCAGTGTGCTATAGTCATATATTTGCAGTCCCTCTGGGTAATAGATAGGTAATATGAAACAGACCCTTAACAAAATATGTCATGAGACTTGAGACAGCAATATATAATGACTGCCAAATATGTACGTGTTTTTGTTTCAGTTTGTACGCTTTCATGTGCAAATGGCGGAACACTGGATCTTGCAGCATGCACATGTACATGCACCGACAACTGGAGTGGACTGAGCTGTGACGGTCAGTTAAAAAAAAGAAGTCACAAAAAACCAGTATTACCAGGGTTTTGTTTAGTAGCAAGGGTTATGTGAATGGATTCAGAGTTTATAGCCATTAATTGGATTTCGGTTTTAGTGTCATGGGTACAGTTTTGAAAAAGGCATCGAACCCATTTACTTGTTTTTATTACAAAGCCTGTGTGCTCTTAATTTGTGGCAAGCTCCAATTGAATGTTTCCATTTCTACATTGTATTTTTGTTTTGGATATAATTTAAGTTAGCAATGCATTTTGCTGGGGCTTTAACATTTTTTTGGGGGGGGGGGTTGAGGGGGGAGGTAGAACATGATCTTTCGGACTTTGGAATAAAAGATCAACATCAGACATGTGGCCGATCTTTTTATGCATTGAAATTTGAGCCACGGCTTCAATAGTCACATTTAAGCTTCATACTGCCCAACGTGTTTGCTTCCAAGCCCCAGCACTTCGACGTCTCATGGATTCAGCAAAAAATAAATACAATGTAATACAGATGATCATTGGTTTAATGTTATTTGATTGATACTAGATTGCGCATTGGACTGCATGAATGGCGGTAATCTGGATCAAACGACATGTCAGTGTATGTGTGATAACGATTGGATGGGAACGACCTGTACTGGTAAATATATTGATAATTATACCTTCATTTCTGCATTTAATATACCTTTATCATGCTGCCACCATTTCAGTTATGTTCCTTGTATCCAATTACAGAACTGAATGATAATATATTTTTTTGCATAAAGGAACCAGACTATTTTCCTTCCAGCCTCTCTTCTGTTAAATTGATTTGAATGGCGAACAAAATTATGATGGCCGCATTATGATAACGGTCTATAGGGAACAATGGAAGACAATAGGGTCCACAATTCCTGAAGGTCCACAATAATTGACGACGTGTACGAAACATATGAGGTCTTCCAAACGAGTAAAGGTACAAACAAATAAGGGACAATGGGGGTACATGATTGCAGCTAAATACACACGTTGTTCAGTTTTGATGTGTACTTGCCGCCAATTTCATGGCGCAACAAAGATTATCAAGCAAACAAGTTGTGCTAGTTGTAGAAGGAACTGTTTTGCTGGCCTTGGAAAACTAATTGGAGACAAATTATGTCCCTAAAGTCATGGTGCATGCGGACTGTTGTTGTGCCTACATACTTGCAGTGTCCATGAAATAGACAGATGCTCTGTATGCAGAAAATCTTGTCATTTTAGCTCATCTAGCATTCTTCGCCTGTGTTGAAAAAAGATTTAATGAGCTAACTATGAAGATAAAGTTTCTGAAAAATCTGAAAATAATTTAGGTTAGAATTTTTTGTTGGATAATCTCTGTTCTCGCTTTCTTTTATTTTTTTTCAGATTGCGGCCTAAATAGCTGTCCACCAGGAGAAAATCTGTTCAACAGTACTTGTCAATGCTCAGGTATAGGACAAATAAGGACAATGGTGGATGTGGGAGACACCCTCCTCCCCTTTATGCTTTTATGTTTCTCATAATGACAAGTCAGCTTGAATTTGCAGAGTTTGGCTTAATAGCGTACATGACCCCACTATGCCGTCATTTTCCAAGTGACAGTGTTTTTTGTGTTTTCTTTTTTAACATTGTTCTCAATATCAGTTAAAAAAAATGGCGGGAACGTGCCGAACTATACCTTATGTATGCAAGAAAAGACAAAGTTGCATTTATGCACTCTCATTAATTATAAATAGAAATATTTGTATATAAAGCAATACCATTTCATTTTACTCATTGCTCACTTTTCTTGTTGTATGTATGGCAGCTTGCTCGTCCACCTGTTTCAATAATGGAGTGCAGGATCAGAATTGCCAGTGTACATGTGACAGTGACCAGAACTGGACAGGGGATGACTGTTCCGGTAAATGAACACCCATTATTGCTTCTATTGTATTAACTTACATGTGTAATTTTGTCTGAGTGGGGAAGCTTTTCTTTTGCTCTGAAATTGCAAATACAGCAATACAAACAAATACAGCAATTTTGAAACAAAATATATCAACCTTGGCTATCACTCTCCAAGGAAGGGGAAGGGCATTTCAGGTTGACACGCCTTCCACAGTTTTAACACCCTCCTGTGACGTCACACCATTGTTTTGCTTCCTTATTATTTTGGACGAATGGAGCACGACGAACCACTCGACATCTAACGCAAAGGTGGTTGAATCCACATACGAATAATGCAGGAATTTCATGAAATCACAGCAAGACAATTTAAGTTTCGTTCTCCTCCCCCTTTCAATAAAAACAACCGATGAAGTCGAAGGAGAAAAATTACCTTTGGAAAAATGGACATTTCAGGATTCGAACTAGGAACCTTTCAATACATAGCTCATCTCGTTAACCACTTCTGTGGCAGCTCCACGACTGCCGTTCTTTCAAATACTTAAAATGTAATTAATTGACTAAATACTTACATTGATATGACGTTATATTTTTTTCTCATGAATAAATATAATTTTCCCATTTTAACAAATCAACAATGAAGGTGTACAAAGGCCTTCCATTCAAGCAATAATGAAGAATTCGTCAAGGATGTTAAGTAGGTTAAGACACTTGGTGGCGCGCCGTTTGCAAATTTTTGTTAATTTTTTTTTTCAAAAATGAATGCTCTTTCAGATTTTCCAAGCGTCAAGATAAGCCAAACCTTTTAACAGAGGAAAGTAATCTTCACTGTCAACGAACCAAGTCTGGTAGCCATTCCAACCAAGTTAATTTTGCATCAATACTTGGTGAAATTTTCGCCCTTGTTAGCAGAATTACTATTCGTTGGCATAATGAGGCCTGATGAAATGTTGTCATCTTGATAACAAATTACGTTCAGCATTTTCAAAATTTGTTTATATCAGGGAAAGTAGCTCATTTGCAGTTATTTTGCAACACATCCCAACTTTAACATTTCGTGTCAAATAACATTTTAATTTATGTTAACTGTTTAAATATCTTCATAGCATTTAAAATCTGTCATCTGTTCTGTTTACAGAATGTGCGTTACAATGCGCGAATGATGCACAGCTTGATAGGCAGACCTGTAAATGTTTGTGCATAGGTAACTGGATGGGAAAAAATTGCTCTGGTAAGAGTTGTGTCTACTTTTCAAAAATACCCTTTTGTTGCCTTTATGTTTCTTATCATTGAACATTTCACAGAAAATCCAACATCTTTCCTCGTTTAAGAGTTTGGAAATCATGCAAACTCTTAAATGAGGGGAATCATGATGTCAGTACACTTTAAAGTGGGCCCTTACAGAAATGTCCCATGAGCATCCCATGGGATTCCCATGGGGTCCCATGGGATTCCCATGGGACCCCATGGGAAACCCATGGGGTCATCAAGAACACCATGTAAGTTAAAATGATCACCATGGGAGATTTTATGCTCATCATGGGAAACCCATGGGAACACCATGGAGATTGCATGGACAACATGGGAACACCATGGGGATTTTACGAGCTCCATTGGAACACCATGGGAACACCATGGGGATTTTATGAGCTCCATGGGAACACCATGGGGATTTTACGGACACCATGGGAACACCATGGGGATTTTATGGACATCATGGGAACACCATGTGGAATTAATGAACACCATGGGAACCCCATGGGAATTTATGGACACCATGGGAACACCATGGGAACCCCATGGCGATTTTATGGACACCATGGGAACACCATGGGGATTTTATGGACACCATGGGAACACCATGCATTGGGATTGTATGTCACCATGGGAACACCATGGGGATTTACTGGACACCATGGGAACATCATGGGGATTTTAGACACATGGGTACACCATGAGGATTCGGACGCCATGGGAACACCATAATGTGGGTGATATAAATTATGGACACAATGGTAACACCATGGAGATTTAAAAGGCAGCACGGGGACACTGCCGGGTTATTCTGGAGAACATGCATTTGCCATGGAAAACCATCATAGACCCAATTGCACTCCCAAGTTATAGGAAAACCTTTCTTTGATTAATTACTCATTCGCCTAGCTGTAAATTTGAATTCAATTAAAAATATTTCCCTTGTGGTCATAGAGGTTATCAAGAATTCTATTTGTTACGCTGACCATGGGAAACTCCTGTGGATGTTCACCAATTGAACACAATGGGATAAACACCATGGGACACCATGGGAACACCATGGGACACCATGGGACCACCATGGGACCATCACGGGACATTTTTGTGAGAATCGCTTACAATAACGAGTGTTGTAATTGCACATTTTTGAATTTCTCTGTTGATAAGTGAAGTTAAATGATGCATACAGTATTTTTTTATGTGGAAAATGTGTCACATAAACTTTGGATAATATTGATTCACATGTTATTATGGTTGGAAACATTTATGAGAAAATAAATTGGTAACACTGTGATAATATGGTACGACTTGACAAGTGGTATGGGAGCAATAATGTGGTGTTTGTTCATAAAGTGCATAAGTCACTCCTTTTGATTGCGTGGAACAATCCCAATCGGAGTTCCGTGATGTGCTTTACCTATTCGGTGAATAGCACTCAACACACGGGGTTAAAATGTATTAAGGAAGTTGTTATTAAAAAATACCATGGAGCAATAAATCTTTTGGGAAAAAGCCCATACAAAATTTCCCATGGGAAAACTCCCATGGGAAAAATCCCATGCTACATGGTGTCCAATTCACCATGCAATTCCATGGGGTCCCATGGGAAAATTTCCCATGGGAATTACATGGGACATTTCTGTAAGGGGGTGTAGCGATCTTGTAACACATCAGACGCAGTGATTTTTGTTGGTGTAAATTGTTGTTGCTGACAAATAGAGAATAAGTGGACAATTTATTTGTCGTTACGGCAACGGAAGCTTTGTGTTTGTCAACATGGACCAAGTTTCTGTTATTCAGTGTATAATGTGATAAAGCCGCGACCTGTGTAAAATCTCAAAAGTCCAAACAAGATGTTGTCAAACCAGTTGTAGTAACTTAGCTGTTAAGGCATAGTTCCCTGTTTTACGCCGCAGTTTTCAAGACTATATTTTTTCTTCAAGAAAGTCTAATGTAGACTCGACAATGTAATGTTGTCCTTCTGTATGTAATGAACTGTAGTCAGTTTTGTGAACTCAGCAATTCATGTAGGTTAAAATTGATGACGTATTGAGGTTTTCTATAAAATATAGAAAAGGAAAAAAATGTAGTACAACTATGATATGACAGAGATGAATTTGAACCTTGTTTACAGATTGCCAACTGAGCTGTGCCAATGGTGGGAATCTCAATAATGGGACATGTCAGTGTACATGTGCAGGTAGCTGGACTGGAACCACCTGTTCTGGTGAGTTTTGGTTTTAATCGTAGAAAATGAGTGTCATTAGAAATGATTGATTTTGCCCACTTTTAAACTGGCTTAATTTCAAATCATGTTTTCTTGTACTCAAACCAAACGGACAAAAACGTACGATTTTAATTGTCTTCTCTACCGACGGAACCCTACTGATGGGCCACTCGGCCCGTTGCCAATTTTCATTTTCGTTGTCATTAAATTGCTCAGAAGATACGTCTTAAAAACATGAAAATGGAACAACTGTATCATAAGTATTCTGAAATAATTATTTAATCTTGTGAAAATTATGGTCTCAGCTATTGGCCATTTCTTAATTGAACAAAAAAGTGGCTATCCTATAGCTATATAGTGGGAATGTTAGAACGAGGACTCATGGCTTTACTTGAAATTTAAAAGCATGTTTTAATTTTTGAAAACTTGTGACTAAGAACACAAGCCTCGTTCTTTAGTTTATTTAAAATAGTTAAGATACGTTTTTAAGCTAAAGTATTGTGATTGTTTTTTTCAGACTGTCCACTTTCCTGCGCAAATAACGGTACTCTGAATGACGGAGCATGTCAGTGTCAATGCGATAAAAACTGGATGGGAATTACCTGCGCTGGTGAGTATGGATGAGTCTTATATGTATACAATAGAACATTGCTATAACGAAACACCACCATACCAAAATATGGCTAAAAACGAACCTTCTCTTTTGGCTCTTTAATTGTTTGCACATATAAACAGACCATTGTTAGCCTGCAAGTATTATTCGGTTACTCGATCAATCGATTGCTGTGTCGATTATTCATGTACATTTTTGTACTCGATTAATCAAAAACCAAGTTGTGAAAATAAAGCTTTCCTTTAAAACCTAAAATGTAAAACATTCCACGTAGCGCTAAACGATAAAATATTTCGCCACAATTTTGATGTTTGTCTAAACAAATCGGAATCGCGTACGTAAGCTCTAAAACATCGAGATCTATGCGATATCGTTTTTTTAATCGTGGCTTTATGCTCAACCCAGATTTTCCGGTCAAAAAATGAGGCTGTTCGATTAATCAAAACCGTAATCGAAAAGGGAACGATTAATCGATTGAAAAACACAATGATAAACTTGCGAGCCTGGAGCATTAGAAGACAAAAGAACTGCCCTCTATATCGACCCAATTATGTTTATGTTTTTTATAAATGGTTATAGGATATCTCGTATCTCGTTGAGACCTGAACGTTGCTGTAGTCTGCTGCAGGTTTGACCGTTTTCTAATCATATACCTAGGTGTTTTATTACAGTGTATAAGCATACACGATATTTATACAACTCCCGAATAAATCCCTAGCTTTTTATTGGAATGTTCCATCTGCCACCTCTTGAAATAATTCTTACCGTTGCACTCATAAACATTCGTTATTTGTATATTACATGTATAGCACTGTAGACGGGGAATGTTGTACTGTTAAAAAAGAAAATTGACCAATGGAGATTGTTTGTTGCAGACTGCAACTTGATTTGCGAGAATAGCGGAACGCTCAAAACTGCTACTTGCCAGTGTTCATGTGCCCAGAGCTGGACTGGAGCTAACTGTTCAGGTATGGGAACGAAATTAGGCATTTACAATTTACAGTGAGTTATCAGGAAGGGCTCTAATATTTTGAGGGGTCTGGCACTCTCAAAAACTTGTCAACAAAGCTTCAATAAGTCAATTCGTCAAAAAAATGATAATTTCCCATACAATAATGAGCAGAAGTTGAATTTGGTATTTAAAAACCGGAGATACATTCATATACATCATCCATCATGACCATGGGGGATTAGTTTGGCATAGCTGTAATTTCTTGCACCTACCACTGTGACCCTGTAGCTAGAATCCTATCTTGGCCCATGTGTGTGTCGATTTTCAGTCCCTACCTGATTCAGTGGGTCTTACCTGGAATATTCCCAGGTTCTTTCCCACCACCTACACTGTTATTATTTCCTTTCCCATAACACACCACGGGACCTCACTTGAAATGAGTCGAAAGAACCTTAGATCATTAAGACTGTATCACCGCTCTATCTACCACAGGCGCGGTTTTAGAGCCAATATTGCGTGTGTGTGTGTGTGTGGGTGGGGGGGGGGCTAGCAGGGTGGATCCAGAATGTTTTCAGGGAGTTGTGCTTCAATGTAGACAGGTTAATTTCTCCAGACACGGAGGCCTCCGAAAATCAATAGGTTGGGGGAAAGGGGGGGGGGGCTTGTGGGCTCGTGCCATATTTTTCATGGGGAGCCCCAATAAAATCCTACAGTCAGGCACACTATACTTACTGCAAACATGTACGTCACATTCCATCTTTTTACCAATGCATTTTTTTATTTTTATGGATTTATTCTTCTTCTTTTTTTGGAGGGGGGGGGGGGGGTTAGACAAAATTTTGGGGGGCTAAAGCCCAAAATGCCCCCCCCCCCAGAACCACCACTGATCCACCATAAATGTTGTGCTGTATCCAGCCTGCTTTGGCAGTCTCCCAAAATGCAAAGACACTCACCATAATCAGAAGCCACAAACAGATGTGTGTAACATTTATCATATCGCTAGCATTGCTACTTGAAGCATGATCCTTTCAGGTCCTACGTCACATACAATGCCCATTCACTCCAATGTGGCTCGTTGTTGTATGTTTTAATGTATGTTTTTTTTGTATCAGAGTGCACGCTGTCTGCATCCAGTTGCTCAAACGGAGGTACATTTGATGCAGAATTCTGCCAGTGTCTTTGTCCATCTGATTATGCTGGACCAACTTGTGCAGGTACGCTTTTACAATGAGTTGTCATTCAAACTCAAACATTTTCTTGGGATCACAATAATTCAGCAGTTATGGTTTTGCTTTTTTGTAAGTCGTAGTATGATTATATTTTCTAAGATACTGGTCTCATCCAAAGATGTTCTCTTCTGATTCGATTCCAAAAATTACACTGAGCGGTTACACTGAGTTGCTCCGTGATGATTCTTTTACTCACAAAAAAATTGTTGAAGCATTCCATTTTATCAAATGATGCTTAAGTTCCTTATTCATGCGAATTATAATGCGAGTAGTGAATTCGTTCTTCAGTTGTCGACGTCATTAACTTGCTTTACTTTTGCTTCAAGATAGTGTGAACGGGCACTTTGGCAGGAAGTGCAGATGCAGTGTCTCAGCTGTGGAAATATTCCAAGGAATCTTTTTGTTTTTACTCAGTTTACTCAGGTCACTTCTTTACCTGTATTTGTGTTTCTTTTTTCCCCTTTTACAATTAATACGTGCAAGCCAATCCATGAAAAACAAAATACATGTTCTCTGCTACAAGAAGTACAATTTTAATTTGACTACTAAGATATGGTAAAGCCTGTACAACATGTACCGGTATCAACGCAACAATAACTTTCAGAATATTTCGCTCTCCCTTATTTTACTATTTTTCAGTTGCCAGTCCATGTTTGTCAAACACCACTCAATGTCCAGACACTGACGGCAAGTTCTGTCAACCGGCTACCAACGCTGCGGGCTACACATGCGAATGCAATTGGTTTGCAGGATATTTCACTAACAGTGACGGTTCATGTTCAAGTAAGTCGACATTGGTCCTTCACAATCTCTATTTAACAGTGACTGGAGCAGGACTTCAGTCGGATGCATGTGGAAAACTGCACCACGGTCCTCTCAATTGATCTTTCCACTTGATGATCTCACTGTTGAAGCTATTATTTGAAATCTGAAGTTGTATGTGGCATCTTGAAAGATACAATACTAGCAGTAGTTTACAGTTAATCAAGCAGAGCAAGATATTTTTCATTTGTTTCTGGGGGAGGGAGGAGCGGTTAACCAAAATGTTCCTCAAAATTTCAGTTTGCTAGTCAACCCTGCTAATAGTTTGTGTTACATTTACACACAGCGCACTATGCACAGTGCAAGGGTCATTCAACAGTATTGCTGTAACATAACTTCAAGACAGAAAAATAAAATCAACCACTGTTATTGTTTTTTGCTTTTTTTCAGAACGCACGCCATTCCGATTTGGCATGGCATTAGACCTGCCTTTCCTTAGTGCCTACCGTAACCCACCATCTGCTTCATGGAGAAAACTTGCCAGAAGGATCACTACAGCGGTAATATACCATTAATTATAATAGTTCCATTCATTTTATTAAATGTATGCACCTGTTGAAATGAGCCTAAAACGTGTGTGTTGCACACAAGGATACAAACGAGAGTTACTCTACAACGGAGCATATCCCCATGCAAACAGTTCTGGATATGGTCTGGAAATTGTGTAGAGAATGTGCCTTCATCGCAAACCGGATACCCGATGTCGTAAGGATCAAGAACCTGCAAAACTAAACCAAAACTAAAACATGACGAAACCGTAGGTTCACGTGTATTGCGCACCACACGTTCGATAGCCAAAATTTAAAAACGAGAAAATATGAGCACTTTGTCAGTATTTTTTAATCATCACCACCGTCAAGTGCAACAGGCGTGTGTGTGCGTTTCAGCATTCAATAGGGGGACGTTGAACAATAGAGGACAATAGGGTCCACAGTTCCCGAAGACCCACGCTTGACAATCGTGTACACAAAATATGCGAGGTCTTCCTAAAGTACAAACAAAAGAGGGCTATGGGGTACAAAACAAAAGAGGGCTATGGGGTCCCCGATTGCAAGCAAATAATACACTTGTGTGCGTGAGTTTGTTTCTGCATTCAATAGGGGATGTTGAACAATAGAGGACAATAGGTCCCAAATTCCCAAAGGTCTCCAATTTGGCAATTTTGTACAAAACACATGGGAGCTAGGTCTTCCTGAAACGTTAAAGTACAAACAAAAGAGTGACAATAGGGGTCCCCCATTGCAGGCAAATATACACTGGTCTGCGTGTTTATGAGGTAATCATCATCCACGAGTTGAAAGGCACATTTTTTCATCATGTTTTGGTAACTGAAGTTGTGTCTCGCTTTCAAAATTTTTTGATTTTGCAGCGAAGGTTTTCAGGCAATAAAACGAAATATGGAACCGGATTTAGTTTCTCACATCGAATTCTGTCGAGTAGTCGGAATACCCAGGTGTTTTCCCAGTCCTACAAATTACAGTTAAGATGGGTTCATGTGAAGTGAATCCATCATTATAACGAAATATCCACTTTGTGGAAATGTATTCAACTTTGCAAAATCCTGAGGCAAATTGCCCAAATGTCGCAGGTGATTTTCACATTTGCATTAAGAATAAGAACTCCCTCATCTCTTTACCATCTGAACGCTACTTTCTCCTTTTTCCAGATCATAATTAAGCTGCGGGGATATAGGTCCACCGACCGTGTGACTGCGGTAACAGTTTTGAGCTTAGAAGAAGGCAGTGTGGTTGCACAGACGGCACTGGCATTCAAAGGGCAAGAACCCTCGGTGGACGTCATCAGCAATGTGATAGCAGCAAATGATACACTAAACGATGGTTTTGAAGACATAGGTCTTGTACCGGACTCTGTCAGTTACACAAACACATGTAAGGCTTTGTAATGTCTTAGCTCCTGTACCGCCAAAAACCAACTTGCCAGTTACCGGCCAGTATTACTCTCTAAAATCGAAAGAGTGAACATTCACTCCATTCGAGTGAAGATTCACTCCCACAGTCGAAAACTAGGGAATAGACGTTTAGGAGTGAAATTTCTTCAGTCGTTAAGATCGAGTTTTCACTCGAGCTGCAACTGAAGTGGCTCTTTTTTTCCCAGACTATTCATTTTCCCCGAAAAGGAGAGTGATTTTCACTCTAAAACGTCTCGTCCCTAATTTCACTCTGTGGAATTTAGAGAGTACACCAAACTGCCCGAGCCCTTGTATGGTTTATGGATTCATTAATGAGAAATTGCAGTGTGATAACACAGTGTTATACAAGTGCTAATGGGTTACAGGAACATTTTGATTGGAGGGCGAATACGATTTTTAACAATTGTTGAGATATTTCACTCCATGATTGAAATTCCAGTTGCACTCTGAATCAGCGATATAAATATGAAACAAACAGAAATAATTCAGAAACACGGGACATTCAAATATTTTAAATGGTTTCAAACTTTGAACAGTGTACAGCAGTGCCAACTTATTTGAAAAGGATATGGACAACTGGTGAACCCAGAAACTTCCTCCTGAATTAAAAATGCAATCCCTGCGACAACCTACGCTCAAAGTGCTCAGTAAAGCAGTGGTCTATTTTAGACGGTGTCAATAGGTAACACGAAAATCTCACAAGTGGATTAATTGCTATGCAGTGGAATCACAGTGAAACTTTTTTTTAAATAATTGTTTTTTTTTATCAGCATTGTTATCAGACTGCACACAAGATGGTTGCATGAATGGCGGAACGTGCGAGAGTTCAGGATTCTCCCCTCAGCCAACTTGCAGGTAATTTATGGGGCGGGGCCAGGATTGTGCGAAAGGAGTGGGAGTATATAACCATTAAAAGCAGAACATGACAAAGGGGCAAAAACGATGCCTGAATTCTTTAAGTATCGGATGTATCGCCCAGTTGAGTAATTATAAATTGAATGATGAAAAAAGTCCCAAACTGATTATAAATGTTGAGTATATGTCATCTGGTATTCTTTTTTGTCCCAGGGAAAACTCAATGCTTATATTGCGGTCTTTAAAGTTGCATCAACCTGATACCCATATGTACTTATATCCCTGGCGAGAGCTTACAACGTGTGTTTCAAATGATGTTTGATACTTCATACGGCGATCGAGACTTCTCCATCTGTTCTCCCAAACTTTGGATCAATCGCCCCGTCGTCATATACGTGATTCCCAAACTCAACACTTTCAAAACTAGACTGAAAACACACCTATTCAAATCAACTCGGACACATTCTGCCACTTTTCTTTAGTTGTTTACGCTATTTCATGTTTTTGTTAAAGGGGAGATACAACATTTCCAAACATTAGAAAACGAAATGATAAAATTTTCACGAAATACCTTACTGGATTGTTAGGGAAAGACAGTTTAAAGCATTCTGTAAAATCGTGGCTCCTGGTGTGCTGACATTTTCAAGAAAAATTGTATTTTCCAACGCAGGTCGGCCGACCAGCGTTGGAGAAAACTTGCTTTTTACAAAAAATGCTCCTATATAATTTGTCATATTTAGTTATTCCGCATTTTCTTTGCAATTGATTACTACACCTTGCTTGGGTAAAAATAACCCAGGCAATTTTTCAGTACTGTGTTTATATTCTGTATGATATATTGATCTTAAATTATACTAGTTGGTCGAAATAGTGTTAATCAAATTCTGATAGTTACTAACATAGACTACTTGAGCTGATATATTGTTGTGTACAGAGAGTTTAACTGAATAAATCTCACTCATTACATCCTTGATTTAATCATAAAAAAAGAATGGAGAAATTCCTCCATTCCTGGTCCCACTTTCTTTACAATATGCACAAAATGTATATCAAGAATGAAAACGGCTGGTAAGGAATGCTTAATGACACAATTGTGAAGTGAATGGTAGATAATTATTGATTTTAGAGGCTTTCTTGTGCTTTCTGAGGCTTTCCAAACATGTAGAATGAGTGTTCAGAAGTATAGATATAAGCAAAAGTGGGATGCAATCTGTATGTTTCTTGTAGTTGCCCGGCATCGTTCACTGGCGAGCGGTGCGAAACTGCAGTGACCACGTCACCACCAGACTTGACAACAGAGACACCAACCACAGAAGGAGGTCAGTTTTGCGACACAATAACGAAGAAATAAACCAAACCCTAATATGTATATGCAACCAAATGAAGATTGAAATACCTTTCACACAGTACACAATATATAAAGAGGGTATAGAAATGCTCTTAACATGGTGCAGTCGATGGAAAGAAATTAGCAAATAAATTGGTTTCAGCAGGAATTTAATCTTAGATCTGTAAAACTGTATCATCGCTGAACAATTTTTGCGTTGGCAGTCTCCCAAGCTGTCAATGGGACATTAATCAGAAGCAATAAGTGGAGGTGTGCAACTTTATTCATGTTGCTAGCATCGCGGCTTGGAGCATGATCCCTGCAGGTACAGAGATACATTTTGCAACATTTTTACACCCTTGGTTCAGATATTAATCTCACAACTACTTGTTTCTGTTTGTTCTTTTATGACAAAGAGTCAGCTCCAATCATGGAATTTTGTTTCTCGTAGATGGATCTCAGATTATTATGCAATAGCATGTAATGATGCAAAACTGCTTTCTTTCCTGAATCTGAAGGTTTTGGAAAAAAACAAGACCAGGGATGTTTTCAATTATGTACTCTTTTCGCTGTTGCAGGTGGTGGTGTGTCACCTCTAGCTACAGTTCTCATCATAGTCGGATGTGTTGTTCTCCTGTTGGTGATAGTAGGAATAGTCATCTGGTGCTGCATGAGGCGTAAATATCTTATCAAGAGTGAAATCTACCATCAGTCAAGTAGACGGCTCCAAGCTAGTAGAGAACCCATCGATTTTGAAGATCGCAGAGATCGCAGCTTGTCCTCTGACGAAAGCGACAGTGTAGCTGGCTGCAGCGAGGAAGAAAGGCGGATCAATCGTCTCGCTCATGTAATGAGCCGGTCACCTTTCCTACATGTAAGACAGGTTAACTGTGTTCTCCTCCAAGAGAGGTTTATAAAGAGCCTGTCCAGTTGCTGGAGTTATAACCCTAGCCTTTTCAAATCTATTCCAATCCACCATGAGGTTTTGAGGTCCTTTGTTGGATTCCGGAAAGTAGAGCTCAACCAATGTCATTTTACGTATCATGTGCTTAGGGGCTCGGTAAAATGGATCCTGTTACAAGGTGTTTGTATCTGATAGGCATGGTCACAATCACAATACTGTCTTTGGATATGTATAATCTAAGTAACATCATGTATAACTTAATGGTTAAGTTTTCTATTTTTTTATACGACGCACAGGCTATGCAGAGTAATTCAGAGTTCATCCGACCATACATGGTGTCTGGCAACGAGGCATTGGAACGTTACCGAGAAGAAGAAGCAGTAAGCTAACAGGATCAAAACATTCACATTTTAAATTTCAGACGATAAATGTTTTACCCTCGGTGTACATTTTTTTTCAACTCGACTTTAATTTCAAGACTTGTGACATGTATATGTGTTTTCTTTCACAGCGCCATTGAAGGGATGTTGCAGGCCGCGTGGTGTACAATCCCGCCATCCACTACTAAACCTCGTCATTGGCCACAACTTCCATAGCTGCAAATGCAGCTCTGCGACAAGTAATACCCATGGGATAAGTAGACTGAACGACTAAGCGAAGACTTGCAGCTGAAATTTACCATGATTACTAGAGAATTAATCCTCGCACATACTGCATTTACCCAATAAAGTATTGTATTGTATTGTATTGTATTGTTTTATTTCCATTTGTCACAAATTAATATAATGCAAATGCAACAGATTATTTACTACTACAATAACTAAACTTAATACTAATACTTGTACAACACTTTGATCAATTAAACATAAATGGTGACAGATGGGGGAACCAGGAAAAAAGCCGAAGCTTATACAGAGCCTGGTCCCGTTTGTGAATAACTTATGAAATAAACAACAATTATAGCTATAATTTAAAACAGTGGTCAATAAATTAATTAATTATTATTTACTTGGCATAATAGTAGAAAAACTGAAGGAAATTGAAATATACATGTACTAATTTACAATATAACATTTGATTATGATGGAGTGTGACTTGTACAAATGCGAATTATGGTACCGTGTCTCTCTCCCTTATTCTTTGGTTGCCGTGTTTTTTAATTCCTATAGAAGAGGACAAAGCAAATAGCCATTTCTATAAGTAGCATTTTACTCAAAAAAATGTAACTCAGTTGCAACTGGGTTTAATCCATTAGAGTTTGTTTGTTTGTTTGTTTTACCCCTGCAATGATGTTCATTTCAAACACCCAACACTACTAGAATGAGTCATTTACTAATTTGCTGTAAAAAAAAATAGTCATGGTTGTCTTTAGTCATTAACCAACATCATTAATTTTAAAGTGAAAAAAAGTAAAATCTGTATTAATATGATTTCCAACTTCTCAGCTGTCTAGTTATGACTCGCCTCAAACACTACTGCATTTATTCCTCGTTGTTTTGGTAACCTAATGAAATTCTGCACAGTCTTGTATCGAACAGTTAATTAATTGGTAAAGTAACCCTTTTTAGTTTGTTTGTTTGTTTGTTTGTTTATTCATTGATGTATTTAATATGATAAGGATATGGGTTCCGATTTGCTTAATGTTAGACATACGCAAATGCTTAGTTGTTACGTTTTATATGCTGGTTTGTATTTAGATCAGCTATTTGTTATAACAGCTTGTTATCTTTTTTTCTTCTTATCAGTGAGAGGATGGAAATAATAATGTACTGTGTGTTAAGAACGAAGGTACAGTATGAAGCCAACGCTCAGTTGTGTTCAGTCAAATCTTGAACATTCGGAACAGTGTGTACAAGCGTTGACACCGTGAGCTGAACGTGACACAGTTTGTAATTACCATCGGTTGTATCTATTAATGCACGGACATTTTGTAAACTTTTTTGTAAAATCTATTGTAATACTCCGAGGAATGATATTAATGGAATAAGTGATAATAATTACGCCGTAGGCCTCCAAGGGAGAACAGTTCTTTGGCATCCTGTGGCGCTACCGTGGTAAAATAAAATAGCGATTGAAACCGTCCTGTTTTATCTATAGCGAGGCTGATTTTTATTTTGAAACCTACATTTATTTTCTAGCAGAATTTATGACTTAGTGGAGACTATTTTAAATGATATATAATATGTATATGTTGGTCTTCCTGAATTTAATATGTTTTTTTTTAATTTGTAATTACCATATGTTTTATAGTTGAAAATGTAGTTATCTATCAATTTGAAATATCGTTTGGGGTATTCAAGGAATTAAGAGTATATTTTGTCATTGTGTAATTTCCATTCATTTACGTATTCAACTGAAACATGTATGTATTCACCACAACACTGGACTATTTTGGCTTGTAACTTAATGCATTTATAGCAATTGGAATAAGTTATTTCGTAATAATGGATATTTCTGTGCAAATGAGCTCATTTAACGAAAAAGGTCCAAATATTGTGAAAAAAATACAGAAGCAGCTGTTTTTTTAATTTATGCATTTTGATGTCATCCTGATGACGTCATGTCAGTCCGTCAAAGATAACTGTTGTATATGAAACCAATTTTAGCAGCGTTTGCTGACTAAGTGTTTATTTTTGTATTTACACTATTTTGAAAGTGTACTTTGGTATCTATTTGAGATTTAACATTTTTATTCCATAATTTTAACTCATTTACGTATTCAAATAAAATTCAGCAAGAGAATTATATTTAATGTTTTCAAGGTTATTTTTATTAAAACATTATTTAATGGGAAAATATATCCTTAGTCTATGTAATAGACCCTTGCAAAACAAGGGTATATTATATGTGGTCAACACAATCACAAGTTCCAATTTGGATTGGATTTTCGTTTTTTAGTGCTGTAGCTCTTGAGTTCCAGCTCGAATAATAAGTAATTTTTTTAATTGCTAATTTTCTTGCATTTTCAATAGTTATTCATATACGAATAAGACATTGACCGATTAAAAAGAAAATCGGTCTTTAGTTTTGAATTGTTACTTTATTATTTGAAATTATTGGCTGCCAGACAACAATCCAGTTTGCGCGTGGTAGACTGGTTCCAGCCCCACAATCAGTATCTGTAATGTACGGACTGGAAGCCAGTCTGCTCGCAAAGCAGATCTGTTTCTGCCAAAACCACAGAGGGTTGCATAAATGTTTGTTGCGTTTAGTCTTGTTTTCTTCGACTTATATAGGATTGGAGCAATGGAATGCACGTTGCACAGAATATCTATCATGACGTGGTCACTACATTTTCATGGGGGGGGGGTTGAGAGTGTAGGGTTACGTCAATGAGTGGCCCCGAACATGTTGCCGTTTGCTGCCCAGTTTCACACCACCGAGTGTCACAAGGTGAGTGGCAGAGTGTGCAGGTAGAAAGGTTCTCATTCTTTCAAATGAAATTTTAAGAGATTTTTTTTCATCATATTTTAGAGAACGGTATTAAAAGTCAATTGTAATATCGATTTCATGAGATTTTTATCTGAGCCCACGAAGTAATAGTAGAAACTTTTGGTCACTGAAAAAAATATAAATATGCCCCCATTCATTCAATTTCTAAACCTTTTATTTTAAGCCTGTTTCATTTACAAGTGTAGTAACTACGTACACAATCTACTGCGCTCGACTTATCCTTATAGCATTACTACATTATGCAGTATCCTCAAGAGGGCGCCAGCCACTCCCTTAGATTTTTTTCCCCACAGTACCTTGCGGCCCGCCCGCCACGACACATCCTCTTTAGTCTTAGCGCGCGCTACAGGAAAGACGTGTTTTCAAAAGCTCCAATATTTGCTCTTTTCTTGTCGCTTTCCTAATAAGTCTTTAAGTTAAGCTGACTTTTTCTTGTTGTTATCATCTTCTTCCTTCTGGATATATTCACGTATTCTGTGGTAATTTTTGGTGTAGTTTGGCAGGAAGATTTATCGGAGTAGCGTTCGGCCCTCCCTGGCAACTCGCTCACCGCTATTGTCACGGCGGTGCGCTTGCCCCACCTCGGCAACTCGCACCTCCACCCGACGAATCTGCCGGACTGATCCTCGGCATTCCCTACCTTGTTAAGCGGAGGCAAGCCTGCTTCTTCCCGGCAGCTCACTCTCCCCATAATCGTCAGCGGAGAAACACTTGCCCCGCCTCGTCAAGACGTATTACCACATTATCCACAACAACCGGTCGCTTGTCAAGCGGAGCTGCATTTACCCATCTCGGCAACTCGCACTCCCCACTATTTGACAGCCGCGAAACACGCCTACCCCACCTCAGTAACTTGTACTGCCCTCTCCCGAAGACCGTATTAGTTGTTACGAAGCCGAGCTGCACTTGGCCCACCTCGGTAATTACCACTCCGAAATGTGGGTAATTAGTCGTGGTGCTCTGCCCACACGGCATCGACCCACGCCGTTCCCGCTATTCACGTCCCTGTCTCAGGGAGATATCATTTCCGACTGTTACATATTTAAGGCAGAGTGATGATGGAATGGCAATCTCATCTAATCAAATCCAATCTCAGAAGAATGAATTTCCAAAAAAAAAGCAATGGTAGCCATATGGGAAATGTTCAAAATTGCTTGCGATTTTTTTTTCAAAGGACAAACCTGCAATGTCCCTTTAACCAAATATCTTTCTCATGATTATAGTGTGCCAAATTCTATGCTTGTATTCATCAATTCCCCCAAATAGTTCCCCTAACTGCCCCACTAAGAATGTCAATAGTGAGTTAATCGATACCAACCTCGTTTCCAGTGCCTACTTTATTTCCAACCTCGTTTACAATATTAAGCCCTGGATAGGTAATTTCTTCCTGTATCCTGATTCGATACCGCAATTGGCTAGCAATGGATTTATATCGAGTACTTGGTGTTGTTATTTCAAACGTCCACGCCTTCTCAATAATACTCCTTTCCTTTCCAACTTGCTCATATTAATATGAAATGTGATACTGCATTTTGTCGGGATAAGATTGTAACATTTTAACTTCAAAAAACACATAACTCACGTCACGACAAATTGATTCTGTTTTTACTCCAGACACCGCATACCGTTGCAGACCAGTATATAAATTTCCAAAGACCCCAATGATAAATGCCCCCACCTCAGAAATTCAGGAAGAAATACTCACAACTCTCCAAGGTGTTCGTCGAGACACACATAAAATTAAAGCTTATTTCATCATCTTATCAAATCTCATTTCATCAGCCCCAATTTCATCCAAATTGCACAGAACTACAAGCTCACAGTCCTGTGCACGGCCCCCACTTTTTTTTTACAAGCCCTCAAGTTCATGGCCCACAATATGCTCAAATACTGAAGAGGGCATGCAAATCGTGATTTGGCCGGCGTAGGCAATTTCGGACCGATTTCCTGGCCTGCACCCATACGACACCGCTAATGTAAGGCACAGGCAGGCACCAGACTATTCCTCATTTGCATACGTGTTCAAACATTTTGCTCATGCAAATGATCCAATACCAGGGTAAGAGAGCTGCAGGTCGATACAGGCAAAATCTGATACTCTCAGAATCAAGTGTGCAGACAAATAAGGCTGCTTCGAAAGTCTCGTGTTTTGTCCACTCTCGTGTTTTGTTTGGCTAGAGATATTAGCTTCTAATGGAGACAACCGAGCTGCCAGTTTCATTTCCTGCTATCCTGAGCAGACACTGTGAGACATCTGTGTGTAATTCTGTCCGGTGATGGAAAAGCTTTCGCCAATTAGCCGTGCTCGCGCAGCGCATGGCCAGCCCACGATGGCGAGCCGGCCAAGCGGGGCACTTTACGGACAATTTGGAAGAACAAACATTCTCTTGGTTTCTCCAGAATTTCGGAGGGCCGCGTTTATTACTTTTAAATGTAGACACAAATACACTCATTATAGGTCTACTCACGTATACAGCAGGCTTCACGGTTTTAGTCGACCGGGACGTTTTCGATTTCATTTGACATTCCAAATTCACCGATGCTCTGCGGATGGCACATGATTTAAAAAACGTCGACTGAAGAAGCATTTGTCGATAATGGCATTTCGATTGATTTGCTTTCCTGTGTGTATAAATATCGCAAACAAGTATGGGACAGTCGTGAGAAAAGAGCATAAAACCCATTTATGGATAGTGCCTATTTCTGTGAATCGATCTGGCACTCAATGCGGACAAAAGTGGGAGACCAATAAGAGATAATGGCAAAGTGTGTTTTGTTCACATGTAGAATTTTCTGTGTAATTCAAAATCAATTAAAATGATTTTTTTTTTGCAAAAACGAACTTAAAAAGATTTTTCTTCTACATTTAGTAAACGCCCAGGTTTGAAATTATGAACATTCTTAGTCCTAACAAACATCGGGCTGCACCTGAATGTCAAGAAGACAGTGAGAGTACATGTCCTACAACGTAGCTGCCAATGAGGAACATCTTGACCTCCAACCTCTCCAGAGGACTAAAAAAGGAGAATCTTTATAACAGCAATCGAGACAATCCTCCTTTACTGGTGTGAAACCTGGACTTTGACTATGTAAGTCCATGACCAAGTCTCTTGATGGCTGCTATACCCAGATGCTCCGGATCGCCTTCAACATCGACTGGACGCAGAGGGTTACAACGAGCAACTCTATGGCGACCTACCTAAATTGACCAACAAGATAGCAGGGAGATGGATGCGACTGGCCGGGCACTGCGTGCGACACCCAGAGTTGCCCGCCAGCAAAGTCATCATCTGGGAATTAACCCATGGTAGGATGAATCGTTGGCGCCCGTACAAAACCATAGTGAAGACCCTGATGGAGGACAGTGGCGCCGCGACTGCAGATGAACTAGGGACACTGATGATGGAACAGGACATGTGGCGTGTCCATCATCGTGACCAACACAACTAGTGCACGCTGCAGTCGACCAATGATGATGATGATGATAGTCCTAACCCTATAACCACGTTAACCTAGTCATTAAACACTAACCCTAACCCTTACCACAACCCTAACCCCTAACACTAACCATAACCCTTTACTTTACCTAACCATTGAACTCTGACCCTTACCCTAGGCTTAGCCTAACCCCAACCCTAACTTAAAACCCAATCATTAAGTGGTAGGACACGAGTAGAACTACCTCTAACCCAAGGGTTACCCAAACCCTTACTGACCCAAACGGCAACCCTAGAGTTCACAGGGAGGTAGAGGGCCACGATGTCAGTTTGGTGGTCGGTTGGGTTAAATGGAGTCTGCATTGATGCAAGCTCTAGCATAAGAGTAAATGGTTATTGTGATAGTTTAACAACCTCATAGGGGTTTATGGTTGATAGAGGTTTATGGTTACATTGCATTACTTTGGATCCAATATGGATATTCATTGCTAAGGGTGAATATATTGTGCTCCCACCACAGAGGCTTACTTGTCATGCAACGAATCAAGATACCTTTTTTTTTGAGCGCATAGGAAGCTGTGGCGACGCTTCTTTTCTGAGTACCAAAAAACGACGATATCACGTTTACCGAAGTAAAAAGCAGCTTTACTTCAGTCTCAAAATTAACGATTGTTTTATCGTAATGAAAATTAAAGCAATCAAACCTGACGTTGTAGCGATGCTGGGATTCACGTCTCACTGTATCCCCGAGGGTGCAGACCAGTAAGTAGACTGCCATAGATTTCAGTGATAATTACGCGCACTTCCCAAAGTGATTAAAATACTCACAACTCTCCAAGGTGTTTGAGACACACGTCCAATTAAACCTTCTTTCATCATGTTTCATTTTCTGTTCGATTTTTTGGGGGTTAACCAATGAGTTTTGGTAGAAAATTTCATGCAATGATGATCATCGACTAAAACGGACGCCCACGCTCAAGAGTCATTTTAGGGCTCAAGTTCCTCCACATTTCACACTAATACGAGCTTGCAGTCTTCACGGCTTCCACCTTCTTTTTTTTTTAAAACAAATCCTCAGGTAAAGTTCACGGCCCTCAAAATGCTCTAATACTGGGGAATCTGAGAGCGTGGAAATGGTGATTTGGCTGGTGTAGGCAATTTCTAGCCTATTTACAGGTCTGCACCACAAATGACGTTGTTACAGCGCCCTCATTAGCTCAAACACATGGTCTGTCATAAACAAGCTTAGACAATATTTTGCCACAGTTGAAAAAGTTCCCCAAGCAACGGTATGTAAAGAATGGACCAGTCTCGAGCTAATGGGTTTTTTTTTACGAAACCAGAGTTCATTGTTTTGGATCACTTAGATTTTTACATTTAAAACCAGGTTGATTTTTGTTTGTTGAAACAAGTGATTGTTTATTTCATCTGCGTCCAATGATTTTGCTTTTTAACCTAAACACGCATGTTGAATTTTTTTTTCACAAATACCCCCTCAACGGTAAGGATGGGAGAGTTGGGGGAGACCGCTTAGAGAGTGACATCCGAACACATTGCCGACACGACGACGCCTGACGGTCATGCGAAGACGCTTTGGTTGGTCCCGTGGCTAACGAACCGCGCGCATAGAGCGTTTGCGTAATAGAAATATTCTGTACGCGCCTTTTGCTAACTGTAGTGGTGAGAGCAAATATCGTGTCTAGGTTTTATTACATGTCTACGGACCACGCATAGACATCCCACGGGACTCTCGAAGGTTTTAAATAAAGCGCCCTCTCCCTTGGCGCACGGATGCCATAGGCCAAAAATGGTACATTACTTAGAGCGACTATCATGGACTTGCAGATATTCTAACGATTGTTGCACTTGTTGCCCATTGACACAGGGATATATCGCAAATGAATGCACAACAGACCCCTGTGAACACCATGAAGCTGTTCTAAGGTCACGGTGTACCCATTTTCATTTACAGGAATCAGCTATTACGCACCATGCGATGACCGATTACTGGACAGTCAAGAAAACTGAACAGAGTTAGTATATAGGAAACCATTATTTATATGAAGATTGTTTTATCAGCAATTTTGGATTTTGTGTAGAAATAGCGATATAGATAGCTTTCTAATCTGAGGCAAATTTCACAGCAAAGCTTTAAAAACTCATGAGCCGACACGAATGCAATGTAATATAGGATTCCAATGTGTCTTTATTTCATTGTGTTATTCATACATTGTTGTATTTACTTAAACTTCTAATGAAAATTTATACACATGTATTTACTAGTTTATATTCCAGGCATTGGGAAGTGTTCATTGACACTGTCCTTTCGGTCACTTCCATTAAATCATTACAAAAACACATGTGCAAACAAGCCAGAAAGTAGTAATCTGATATCTCATTGAGATTAAGATTGTGTTCGGTGCGTTCGACTAGCTGTCTTGTAAGACATAGCCTAATATAAAAAAGGAGAAAAGAAATCCAACTTCTGAAAAGAAGTTTTACACAAACAGAGTAAAAGGTAGCATTTTATGCCTTCTCAAGAAGCTAATTGGTTTTCATTTCGTTGGATTGACGAAACTGTCGGTATTGCAAAGAACTCAATAATATTGATAATCACATATTATGTGATAAGACATTAAGTGGTTAAAACTGATCAATAAATATATTCACTCCCAAGAATTACATTATTCAGATGTTTAATGTATTTAAAAATAATTTTAAAAAAATGATCATACCAAAGTACAACAATCGCTTGTCACATGAATGGCTTCACATGTCGGTATCAGGAAAAGCTAACATAGTTTGGTGTAGTTATAAAACAATAGCATTGGATGGGAATTAACAATTTACCATCGTAGATGACAAGCTTAACTTTATTTATTTAATTTTCCTCTTAATCTTTAGACAAATAAAATGATACATACAAATTAAAATGAACAAAGGCTGTATTTTAAGAGTAAAACAAAAGTATAAAACTATCATGTAAACATGTGTTTAACCAGCCGTATCATTACATAAACGAAGCTTACTGCATGAATAGCCATTGTTCCATTTTTCTTGGTTGAAACTAAGGTTATAAAGAGTCATTAGTAATATCACAAAAGCTACCCGAACACCCCCCTTTGGTGTTGAATACATGGGCAATATAAGTTTGGATTGCATACCACCAAAACTTACGCGCCCACGTTTTGCTTGTAAAATAAAACGTCCTTAGCGTAAATATTTTTGAACCCATAGTCTTTACTTTTAAGTGTAAATCATGCGTCCTAACGAACCATGTATCATGCATGAAACGTTAAGATAATATACACACCTTCCGATGCAAATTGCCTATAAGACGGTAATCTTATCATGGGTAGGCCCTACACATGTGCTCTTTTTGTTCAGCTTTTGTCAATTAAACAAAGTACCAGGTTTATTATTATTTTTTTTTTTACAATGTTTACCATGTGAAGTGGTGAGATAAATGCCTAACTGTAGTTTTAGAGTGTCAACCCACCACTATACCGTTAAGTGGCTTTATCGTCATTATTCCCCAATGTTCATGTATTGAGCATCTCAATCTGACGCAAGATTGTGTCTCACTTTATGATCTCACAATATTATACATTAACAATAAACTTGTATTTCAGCTATGTCGACTCAGATACAAAAGTCGGCATTTAGCAAATTCTGCTTTCATCTCTGATTTGTTTTTATCAAATTTGACAGATACGTACAGTAAATAGCTATATTTATAAACCTATCATGAATTATGTACATATCTATGTGCTATAATACAATCCAGAATTATTCAAGTACTTTTCATTCCATGCTTTATATACATATATTATATCCATGACAGTTTAGAGCTTCGTCCAATGTCCTCCTCGGTCACTGGCCAAGTAACACTATCATATCAATGATTACAACGTGGACATTGTCACAAGTATGTTGATAGAACATTGGAACTGTTGCCAAATTATGTTCGGTATCATCAATGCGGAATGCACTTTGCCTCCAACTTACGCGTTTGACGCAAGTTTCTGCCGTTTTGTTGCTGCTAGTTTATTCGGAAAACATGTATGAAGGTATAATGCCAATGTCAACTTTACGTTTGAGAAACAGAATAAATAATCTGATTTCAGTGTTTGAATCGATGTAGTCGAGTCCATAACAAGACCGGTCACAAGTAAATCAAAAGTACCAGTAACAGGAACTTTAAATAAAGACTATTTGTTTTAACAGTTCATTTGAATAGCTTGGGAGTTCATTTGAATAGCTTGGGAATAGCTTGGCATTTTCAAATCTCAGCTGGGCATTTTGTTTTAGCCTTGGGATTCTATACATTTGGGGTAAAATTGATCTGATTTACTAAGTTCGTATTTATCCTTGGGAAAGCTTTCCGTGGAACACTGTTTTTCAAAGGTGCCAAGTTATCAAAAACATTCGGTAGTATAAAAATAGAAAGAAAAAAAACCAGTAAAAACATTCATGAGACTTTTTTTTCAAGAACACTTATGAACAATAAAGTGAGGCAAAGTTAATCAAGGTTAATCACACTGAGTCGTTGCATTGGCAATTAAAAGGTATACGATTTTGTAAATTCAGAACACATTCTTTAACGCCTTCTACCCCCAAGAGTGATTAATTAATGCAAAGTACCTGCTAAACTAATAAAAAGTAGTTTGAAGTCAATTTCAATGATATTTCCATGTCAAATTACACACGGGTCAGGTGTAGCAGGGACACCAACATGTCACACTTTCAGACCCCCTTTTTATAGAATGACCGAATTGTGAGGACTTGTGATGGACTCGAATACAACCCTGCTAAATTTCAGAAGTGACGCCTATACGCAGATTGACAAAGTATGCAAAATGGTGTCATACTGTCGGCCAAGGGTAGGCCTCGTCATGCGATACACAACAATGAGATGTTCTTGACAGCTGAAATACACAGTCCACATGGTCGACAATAATTCACACAATACGAAACATTACATGCAAATTCCATGCAGCGGGATACCTGTAAATCAACCTTTCAAACGACGAGGCATTTACAATTATCTTTTATTTCGAAGATGCGTTGTTCGAGCATTGTGTTGTGTCACCTCACTGAATATAGCAGATACCAAGCTCCTGGTCAGAGGTTAATGTTGAAGCGCAACCGTCACAAGCACGTGCAAAATCAAGGTATTTAATGTAAATTGATGGATCATTCATCTCGATTTCTCTCCAAAGTCCAGACACCATTTCGATCAAGGTAAGAGCAAAATCTACCGTCGTGGGAAATGTTGCACTAGCGTTGGCCATACTGTTTCCTTGCGATGGTCGTTTGAAGTCAAGAGTACACTTTTGTACATACCAAGGTTCATTTGTAAATGCCACGGCAATACCATGACTGCCGTGACTTCATGTAGTCCGTGCCGTACCTGGGACACATCTGTGTGTTCCTTTAAAAAAAAAAAAAAATCTTGTTTTGCTGATATCACGATAGTCAGTCTTCCATCAGGAATCGTTGCAGCATAGCTCAGGCATCATCTATGGGCAATTCTTATTAAGGCCGACCTCGTTGAACACTAACGGTGACAGTAAATGCATTCGCTCCATGTAAGTGCACGTCATGGGCAGTACTTTTTACCAAGTGAGGGCGCTATCACATCCACCACACGGTTAAACTAAAATAGAGACTTTTACCTAAAGGCACGGTGTACCATTAATCGTGACAGTACGGTGGGTGGATGTTTTGGAAATACTGCATGATGCAATTTCCTTTCACAAAAATGCAAATTTACATTTTACGTATTTTGTTTAGGATGGGGAAATTCAATTATCCTTTTGCGACGGATACATTTTTGTTTTCGACTTGAGCCATAATTTGACCCCGTATTTATGTCCAGGAATCCAGTGTCCAATACTACAGCTTCGACTTGTGTCAAGTGTCAATTTCGGCCCAGCAAACAGCCAAAGAATTATCAAAGGACTGACTTCAAATGCATACAAGAAACCTAGATTTTCCCTAGAATATTGTCACGATAATGACAACAGAAAGCTAAATTATACAGCACATTCAAATGTGCACTATGGAAAGTAATGACTCCGTCAGTACGTATTAAAATATAAATTGCAACTCCTAGGCTTGATAAATTACGGGGAAGTTAAACCGAGTGCCAAAACATGAGTAGAAACCTATACACAAAGTACACCGTATTGCTTGACAGCTCTGATGACTTGCTTACAGTGCCCTCTTTGCAGTTTATTTAACCTATTATAGCGCCCTCATTTGATATCTTGGGGAGAGATCCTGGTTGAAATGACGAGTTGAGTTAAGATGGTGGCTTGGTTTGAAACACCGACGGGTACAACGTCCAACACACAGGTTGTTCATACTAAAAATGGCCAGTTCAGTGTCTGTCAGAATGAGCGGCATGGTGCTGTGGCGTCGCATCGTAGTCCGATGGTGGCTGTGTACCCCCACGAAATTATCCAAAGCTCAAGCCATCCTCAACAGACCTATTGGGAGAAAAAAAAACGAGAAACATTTTTTTTAAAGACGCCAGAGCAAAAAAAGAGCATATGGGTTTTGGAGCCAGGTTTTGTACAAACACGTGCTTGGGACTATACAGTGGGGTCCAAAAAAAGTTTACACTTTTTCGGAGGCAGACTTCTTATAATTAAAGACAAATGTTGAAATTGTTTGAAAAATCAAGATTTGGTTGTATATGGTGAAAAAAGGCGTTGAAAATAAAGCTCACGTTACGAAATAGCGGCCATTTACAGAAGAATGGTCAAAAACTAGATTGGGGGAATGTCCACGTCTATGGCAGTCATGTAGACCTAATAACAATTATTGCAGGTTTTTTTTGTGCGTGGAGTGTTATTGTGTTGAACATATCTCACTTAGACTTACGTGTGACAAACTGGCTTTTGACCATCTTTCTTTAAACCATCGCCAATTCTTAATTTAGGCTTTACTTTCAACGCCGTTTTCACCATAAACCACGAAGATGCTGTATTTTAGGAATGTCCTGAAACAATTTTAACATGTCTCCCAAATTCCGAGAAATCTACATCTAAAATAAGTGTAATTTTTTTTTTGGACCACCCTGTATTATTTTGAACTACATTTTTTTTTCAATCTTAATAAAGCTACGACCAAACAACGTCTGATCTGTTCAGATGAACTCATTCATTTTCCAAGGATTTTCCCACATCCTTAAAAATAGACAGCTGTAAAGCAGACATTCGTCTTACAGTTTGTACGAATAAACACAGAAGCATGAATTAATATTATTTTTACAACATAATAAACATTATTAATAGAGGACGACTTTTTATATTTTCTTCTGTGTGTGTATTTTAATTGTGAGTGTTTGTTGGGTTGTCCAGCTGCGTGTTTGTTTGCTTGGTTTTTTTTTTTTTTTGGGGGGGGGGTTCTTTGTTTTCTTTTTCTGAGGGTATTGTTTCGCTTTGCTTTGTTTTTGTTTTGAAATGAAACGGTTCCGATGATCACTCTATAATGAATGAGCACCACCAATTTGGCACATGAATTCAAGTCGTTGTACGCTGCCTATTTGTTTTGCATACGTGCTACACCAAACACTGCAACTTCCACTCATGTGATACTAAAGACATGTATTCAGAACCCAATTCATGGTTACTGCTACATAAGGAGCAGCGCCTATTTCAACCCTCACCAACACATGCATCATCGCCTGTCACGAGAAATTATATACTCTCATTTGCACATGCGATTCCTTTCCCAACGCGTCAAATTCACGTTCCGCGACGAGTGCCAATCATTACAAATTAATACCAGTTGATCAGAAATGATATAGAGAGGATCTACATATTCATTTCAGGCATGACTGCTTCACTTTTTTTTCTCTCTCTGCAGTATCACGTGGTCTCGTGGCGCCGGGAGTGGATTGCCTTTTCGCGCGGTCCCATATTTTATTTAATTGCCAATTAAGCCGCCATATCAGAAATGAAATTGCTTTTTAGAGCCAGAGTCGCAAAGGCAGCCCCACTGCGGATCACTGAAACGTCAGAAATGGAATGACAAAAGAGCCTGGCTGTACACTGTGTGAAAAAAAATATGATGCGATCACACATTTCATAATAATTGCCTTATTTGAAGGTCTTCTTCCTTTGTCTTATTGCGCAGAATTCTTGGCATGTGATATTCTGCTACCACACTCTGTCCGAATAATATCGATACATCGCACGCACCTTCGGAAGAGGACATAGGCACAAATGAATTTTTAGCAGCGCTCTATACAATGCAGCTTTCAGAAAGGTGAAATAATATTGCTTTTAACGGCAGGTGCTCTGGCGGGCGCCATTAATGGGGCCCATTATTAATCCCGGAGACATTTGGTTAGTTTAAGTGGATGGAGAGTTAATGCAACCCCAGTCCAAGTGAAGTCGTAAGTGCTGGACGGGAAGAGCGGCAATTCGCCGAACAGTCAGCAGAGAGAGAAAAAAAAAAGAGAAAGAGGGAGAATCATCTTCTGCATCTGCAACTCAATGCTGGGGCATTTTTAAGTGCTTTTAATTTTTAAGGTTTTTTAATACGTGTGTATATATACGCAGCGCCGACAGCCACTAACCACTCAGTGGCGCCGGAGAAAGATGTGTCATCCTGCGCATGTTCAATAATGCCTTTGCGCCACCGAAGGAAGAAATGAAGAACCCAAAAAGCACAGGATGGAGGACTAGAGCAGATACACACATAGCGAGAAAAAAAACCACTCGTGACAAATGATAATGATATAGCAAACAGGGGCAGTGCGTATTTCGATAGCCATGACCGGGCTAGTCATGATGATCAGCGGATGGATAGCTTGACAGCGTCTCCTCCACGATAGCACAACTCTCTACTCAATTACCGGCAGCATCCAATATTGATGCAATAGATGTAGGGCTGGCACACACAAGGGACCCACGGGCGTAATTTGCTTGGACGAGTCATTATTCGTTCGCCATTAGCGCTGGGCCAAGGGCGCTGGGGGAGATCGGTCCGCGACCATCGCGTGGCTCCGAGCTTCGAACGCCACCCCCGCCCCCCCCCCCCCCAAAAAAAAAAAAAAAACTCGCTCCCAGACAAGTGCTGCATGCATCGACAAAAAATAATCATCTCTCTCCGTGAAGACGTCGACATTTCGGTGCTCGTTATTTGATTATAATCTCAAGACCCTAACGAGAAGGGAAGTTCCAACATGGCGATAAAAATGGGGTTCTGTTGGCCAATAATAGCGCGATGATACCTAAAATAGACATCACCGCGTCAGTGGTATAGTCATTACATCGCACATCTTTACAATCTCTATTTGACTATTCCTGCATTAAAACAAAATCTGCAATAATAAAACAGCGCACAAAATAGAAGCTGGTGTTAAAATTAGAACATCTTATTGAAGTTTAACCATGCCCTATACACGCCTTGCTTCCTAGTCTCCACGTGTATTACATACGTTTTATGTCAGTCATTTTCTCTTTTACTGTGAACATTTGAAATGGGGGACGTGGATTCCAACAGTAAAAGCTTATGCTTCTAGGGAGTAAATCGGTTTGATGATCATTTAAATTTGGTCTTACTTTTGAACACGTCAGGGATCATTACCAGTACGGAACACCGTACCTATGCGGTTCGAAAAGAAAAGTTGCTTGTTATATCGCCATAGTGTGTAGTTATTTCATCGGGCACAATAGGTGCAATTTGTATTTCACATCAAAATGTTGGGATGTAGACGTGGGTCTGGTGAAATAGCCACGGCAAGTTTTGATAAGCCGCAAATGTATCCCGTACGCGCTGCCTGAATCTGAATGATATATAAGTTCCATGTTCTGATTTCCAATGGCATGGGATTAAACCAAGATTCTGAAAATGTATTGTTGCCTGAACAAGTTCGAATTTCAGATTTACAACGGCATGAGATCAAACCAAGTTTATGACAATGTGAAGTTGTGCTGCCTAAATGTGTTTTATAATTCGCTTCCCGTGCGTAGCACGGGTTTATTTTCTAGTTTTTAAAACACTTTCAACGTTGGTTATTTGGACGGATCAGCATCCCCTTCGCACCCCCGTATCGATCCCACGCATCCTAGAAAATAGAGCATCTGAGAATGAGTGACTAGCAATCATAAGATCGTCTTGTGCGATGTCGGTGCATCCTTCGTTCTCAGGCAGCAATTTCAGCGTTCGTAATTGCAGGCAGATTTGGCCCACTAAATCACGCACGCGTGTTTGCTTTAGTCGTCGCAGTGGTGCAAATCCTGAAATCGTATTTGCTCATTATGAAATATCTGTGGTAGTGCACCAGAAAGAGGCATGATGGACTTCTTACAAGAAAAAAAAACTGTTCAAACTCCAGAATCTTTACAATGATTAGGGAACGAAACAAGGTCATTCTCAGGAGATGAAGTAGTACATTCCCCTTGAAAATTGGAGGGAAAAATAGCTTTAAAATTGACATTCTTGACTGATGATGATGATGCAAGATGTCTTTAAGTTCCAATAATACATTTCCAGGAGTCTTGAGTTTCCCGACGTTTATCGTGACCATTTCGCCTAATTTGTTCTTTTCTTTGTTAACATCTTTGGTAACCCTTGCACTCGAAACATTCGGTTGGCCTTCTGTGCGTACACGTCTGAAATGAAGTGCAAACACAAGCATGCTTCAAAAAAATAAAAACACATTTACAAAGAAAACAGGATACAGTTTCAAAGAACCACAAGAGCATAATGGGTCTGCATGGCGGGTCCGTGACTTTACACAGCTATTAAATTAGGGCGCAGATAAAATGCAATGACCGGCGCGTTTAGAGTCCCCACGAGACCGACGCAGGCTGGGACAATTTGGAATTGGCCCAATTAAAGTGTTGTGGCGATATCGCATCGCCCAATTAATAAGCCAAACCGAGCCGTTACTTATCAAGTCCTGGGTGACTTGACGGCCGAAGTGGGGCTTGGTGCTGTGAGGGAGGCAGCCCGTCAATAATAAGTACAACTGGGCCTAATTTCATAGATTGGCCTGCTTACCTCCAAATTTTTCTGTGCACAGAAAATAATTAATTGGCAAGAAAAGAGGTTAAAGACCAGCAAGACATACAATGTAAATGGCGTAAGACAGGTTCTCAGCTGTTTTCCGCTAAGCATTCTGCTTAATACCGTAGCACTGTGAAACCGGGCCCTGGTGCTTTTCCAGATAGCCTCAAAGCGAAAAACTATCGAATTATGGCATTGGTGAAGTTATCATCACTTTTCAACATTCCCCTCCTCGCTTACATGCCACCACTGCAAATTTTCTTCAAAACAAATTTTCACAGGGGAACTACATTTTCCAATCGTCGACAAAAAATGAACTCAAACTACAGCCCATAGTTCAATTCGGGGACAGATTGGCTGTTCAAACCAATGATCTTCATGTGAAAAAAATCCGGACAGATCGTTGGCCATTCCTGCACAAACAAATGAAGCTACGCGCCGGATCCTGATCCTTCCATTCAAATGTGGAGAGGGAACCAGTCTCAAACACTCCATCGTTCACAAAAACTAAAAATAGAACCGTCTGAAAGCATATGAAACATTTGTAAACAGAACATTTATATAAAATATATCGATTTGTACTTGTACCAAGGACCACCCCTAAAAATATTTTCGTGCAAATCCGTCCATAACTTTTTGAGTTAACTTGTAAACAGACAAACCAACCAACCAACCAACCAACAAACAAACTTACCAGATCCGATGAAAACATAACCTCCTTGGAGGAGGTAATGACGTGGGGGATACATAACTTAATCTCCGAAAACATGATAACCGAATGTATGAACGAGTTTGTTTTAAAGAACCATTCGCTGACTGTGTAATCTTCACAAACAGTATGTTCTATGAGGAGTATACCTTACTCTCTTGCGGCACTTAATACATGATTCACTAAAATTGCGATAACAGTGGAAAATAAATCTGAAAATTTAAACAGCATATTTCGCCACAACGAAATCGAAGCAGCCACATAGTCCATCGATGCACGCTGCTAAGAGATTGAAACCATCCCTATAACATACAACTAGGCGACGTGTCGAACAGATTTAATGTCACTCTAGTTTCGGGCGAGCATCACATATCATTAATGTTTCCTTGAAGTGTGCTGTGCAGACTGTAAGGTATCACAATTAGATACAAAATATTGATTTCATAATTCCGAGCAAGTGTTTGAGACTATGACGTCAATCCTCAGAAAATGCAGTTTGGCTCACTGACACCAAATGCAACAGGCAAAGAAACATTTACAAGACTCTTTTTTTCTTAATTTGTGTCGATTTTTGGACAAAATTATGAAAAATGTATTTGATGCTAGCTATGTAATTTCTGTTCAAAAAGGAACATTCTTGTATTCAAGTTTATGTCCAGGACTCCAAACGCGTTGTCAATTTTGTTTGTTTAATTAATTTGTTTTTTACACATTTTTATTTTTTTTTATTTTACATTTCAAATCATTGTAGTATCAAAGTTCAATACAATTTCTGTTAAAAGAAATAAATGTTCCTTCATTTAAAAAAATTCTTGTGTTCACAATGTGTGGTTTTTTTTTAAGTGTACGTCTCCTTTAACTGAAATGTCCCTCAAAGAGCGGTAGAGGTGTAAATTTGAACATTCTGTTGAAATGTCTGAGATTAAAACGTTGATAACAAGAATTTAAATAAACTTTTTGGCGTTTTTTTAAGAATCACAATATCTCCAAATTGCATTCACCGTGTTTTCGGATGTATTTTGAACAATGTATTTATAATATGTTTATTTCAAACTCATAGCTTATTTTAAATTGAACCTGAAAACAAACCGTTGAGATATGGTAATACAGCGCACAGAAGTTTGGAACCCTATCGCGAAAAAAAAGCACGAAAATACGTGAGCAACATGCATCGGCCGTAATAAATAAAAAGGGCATGATATATGATTGCGCGCCCTGACCGCGCACAGTTGATTAAGTTTGCCATATTCTCAATCCCATTGTTAAGCAGCACCGTGTCCAAGGCCTTGTCTGATTAAATTCTGCCACACACACACTCCAAAACTGATTTTTGAGCCGAGGCTCCGGGTCTGCCTTTATTAAAAACCCAATATAGTTCTTGAAGACTTGAACCGTTTGGACATTAACCTGGTAATTGGCTGCTCACGCTATTACCGTTATGTGCCGTTATCACATTTCTGGCGGACTGGTTCACGATTCCAATTAAATTCGCGGCATGCAGACTCTCTCTCCGGCAATGGCTTATGATTATTTTATTACTCTCTGGTAATATTACTGTTACACTATTATATCTCAATAGAATCGAGGCAAACCTGAATATGAACGGAGTAATTGGTATAACAAAGAGGTAGCCTTGGCCTTTCTGATTGTTAATTTGACGCTCGATAATTATGCCCCCGTGAACAAAGAACTATTTCCAGTGTGGCTTTCAAGAACTAAGCCATGTATTATTATCATCACAAATTATTTTGCGTAAATATGTCTCAAAATACACTTGCTCCCACAATAACTTAAGAAACTGAGGGCCTTTATAGAGAAGAGCATAATATATAAATGTACATATGTATAGGCTTAAAATTAGACATTTGGGCCCGAATGCATGATTAATCAATGAGGTATTGTTTGTTTAACACGTTATGGTTGTATGTTGTTTTGACAAGGTTGTAACTTTCTACTACGGTGTTTTATATCAACATATGCAATTCCAAGCTCTCTCCATGACACTAGAAACGTGAAATGTCGATACGAAATCAACGCTGGCGAAGGGTCGTTTGGGTATAATTTTACTCGCGTGTGCCACCACTTTGTACGGCCCGGGCAGCCCATCAGGCTAATTTTCCCGGCAATTTCCAGGCATAATTGCAGCCGATGGGAAACGTACACAGCCACACACGGCTAATTGCAAACTTAATACATCATCAGATGCAAACATAGCCAGAAGGCGAAAACCATGCATTGGAGAAAACTGTCAATGACCCGAGCAGTTGAGCGTAGGCTGCAGCGATGTATTATTATTGCTAGTGCACACACTGCACTGCAGGTAACCGTTTAGTTGTATTAATATAGAGCTGCTACTTTTCAACGCGCCCTCGAAATTTTGTGTCGACGACTTGGGTTGGAGGATGACGCTATAGAATGCTCACAAAACTTCGTAACACGTTGCTTAATAACGCAGGGGGTGGGGCAGCGGTTTCTTTAATAATGGCTACTAGGCACCATTTCGACACCTGGTTGCGTTTATTATAATCTTGTATATGAATACTTAAACATGATGTACATGTGTGAGCTTCAATACCCAAATAATGGCGTTTTCACTGTTTATACTAATTTGGATTTGTTTTTTAATTATTGATCGGTGTGGATGTTTCTCTTTGTTTGTTGTTTTTTTGTTTGGTTTTGTTTGGTTTTGTTTTTGTTTTTGTTTTTGTGTTTTTTGTTGTGTGTGTGGTTTTTTTTTTTTTTTTTTTTTGGGGGGGGGGCGGTTTGGGGGGTTTGGGGGGTTTTTTTGGGGGGAGGGGGTTGGCACATCTGTGGCACATTTGTTGTGTTTTTTTTTTACGGAACATTGGCCCATCCTTCTAGTGAAGGGGGAATATATCCTCCCCGGCCGGGAATTGTGTGCTTGCTCAGATCCAATGGAAGATTGTGAAACGGGAGAAATTTTTCATTGACCTGCTCGATACAAAACATTGCTTAGACATTTGTTTTTAGACCCATTCATACGTGCGCATCGCATGACATTTTTGCAAGGTAACCCGTTTCTGCTGAGCAAAACATTACTGTGCTTAGCGCATCTTTATGTGCCGGGCATGCAGCACAATAAAAATGGCCCCTGGTTTCTTTCACGGATATTATAGCGAACAAGATATCGCAGAAAAAGCTGAAGCTCGGTGAAAAAAATGAACGCCATTAACATCAGGCATTGTAAACAGCTTCTCGCCCCATCAATGCAATCAAGCAATATGCCCGATCAGACCATGGCATTGGTCATTACCCCACCTCTAGGGAGACAAAAAAATTGCATAGTTTGATCGCATGATGCCCCCCAAAAAGCCTCTGCCTACTAATAGTACCTGCCATAGCAGAGGGAATATCAAGCCATGACATTTTACCTTCGTCCGGGGACAAGACATATTATAGCTCAGAAACTCGCAGGAGATTTCAAAAGATATGTGACCCGATCCTGACCCACAATATTCCAAAAATATCACCAAAAACGCTCCTACGACAGGCAAAGGTCGGGATATTAGAAGCTTTACAGAAATATAAAATGCGCAAAATTCTATAAAAAAAAAATGTTCCGAAACAACGATGAATTCGTGCAATATAAACATTTTGGATTGGTTTTTGCCTTTTTTTTCATTCAGTTTTCAAGACTTGATATAAAATAGAAATTGTGTCGTTGCCCCAGTATTCAACAAAACATCCCTTTTGTCTGTGACATCATGATCGTGGCAATTTTGACATGATGTGACATGATGATCGTGGCAATTTTCAATTTCAAATTTTCAGAATCTTTGCATGTTTTTCCACATGCAAAACCTTTTTTTTTTGTATATCCAACTTATCCCGGTATTTCGCGTTCGACAAACCCGTCATATGAAGGTGCCGCGCGAACAGTTAATCTCGGAGTTATTCTTCTTTCAAAATTAGTCCGATAATGAAAGATACTTTCCAGGAATTTGAATAAGTCTGGATCACATATCAAAACAATCCGAATGTAGAGTCTCAAAATAGGTTGCTTTGAAATATGCGTTTTCCCCTCCCGCAGATTTGAACTATACTCATCTACCAATGAAAACGGGATGTAGGGCAATTATTTTATTAGAGGGAGCTCATTTGAATTGCTTATCAAGGATTTATAACGTCAGTTGTCAATGAATTGTAATTCAAAACTGGTCTATATTTGGACGTGATAATGACTTCATCACGAGTATAATTTTCCCAAACGGTCAAGAGAATATTGAACATAATTATCTCCATACCTTATTGCCCGGCCTAAACCCGGCCACAGCCGACGACATGCCGTGCGCTTTGAACAGTTTGCTGTGGTCGTTTTCACACACCAGGCTGCCGTTGATCAGCGTATACCGATCGCCGGGTACCAGCTGTATATGACACGAACTGCAGGAGAAACATTTCAGGTGGTAGACCTTGTTGTGCGTCCGCATGACCAGCTCACTGGCGGGGATTTGTTGGGCACAGGCCGAGCAGGCTCCACTTACACCAAATAACCTGGAAAACAAAACAGGAAATGTTTGTGAACGAGGCAGTAAAAGATTCAGACCAGAGAGTAAACAATTCAATTCCAATGATCCTCACGCATTTGGTCATGCATCTGGTTTATACAATAGGTTGCATTTAGCCCATTCATGGGCGTTACGGGGAAATCCTATACGATAGCACTGCCCATCTCATAGGTGACAATGAGTCGGTCAGTCAGGCAGTCATGAGATAGATACAAAAAGGATACTATAGCACGACCCTCTGTGACAAGCAGGAGCAGTACCAAGGCAATACAGGGAGGTGCAAAAAGAAGGAAACCCACTTTTAACAGCAATTACCACCTCCTTGTTGAGCAAATTTCAAAACTTCAATTTAATGGTATTAAACTATTGATCTTTAAACATCAGTGCCAAATGTCTCTGAGATATGGTAGTTTAACAAGTTCATGTGCCAAACCTGTTTGTCCACGGACGGCTTTATTCCATCCGCTTGACTGAGCTCCGGAGCTTGATTTGAAGACACCAACAAGATAACGCATAGACTTACACGTGGACAACAGTGATTTTGGTGACTTGTATTCAAATTAGCATAATAACACTATTCTGACGATTTTTTTTAAAGATTTTTTTCACCATGTATGGTTGAAGAGCTACACTTCACTACATTATAAAAAAAGTTCAAATAGGCCTAATTTAAGAAGTAGGTTAAGATTCCTGTCAAAAGTGGGTTTCCTTCCTTTTTGCACCACCCTGTACGTCGATGATGTTGCTTTATTTTCGGCATTCCATTGCTCCTTGCGTGACACTTTTCTTGCACTCTTTTATTCAATTTATTCTCTGTTTCAGGTTGTAAAAGCAAGGCATGTATAGTTAAAGCTTTGATTGAATTATTTGAATACAAAACAGGTGAACATATGTTAAGTTGAACATGACATGGTTGATAAACGGTTATCCGAAAGGGCTTTCTGTAAATACGAAACGAATATCTTCCTTATGGAAGTACAAGTTAAGGTGATGACAAAAGAAAGTAACTTCAGCATTACATGACAGACGGGAAACAGCCAGTGACTCACGTTATACGGTTACTCGGATTAACAAAATCATGAAAAATTTCCCAACATCATTCTAATCAAATGAGTTTGCTCTTAATTGTATTCATGCTCCCCTTAGCATGCATGAGCATGGAGGCGCCATCACAATTATGCTTAAACGTGCATTAGATGAACAAATATTTCACCTGAGCCAGATGACTGATTTAGACACCAGAGGATCATTATCGGCAAATTGCATACTAAATTAATCAAATGAATGACCACACTGACGATGCTATTTTTGTTTCCAAGGTGAAACGTTAATTTTACACACAAACAAACTAACGGATAGCTTCATGCAGGTGCATTGAGAAGAGAGTACAAACCCTTCGCCAGTATTCAAATTGTACATAATTATTTAAGTCGTTTATTTATTACCCCGTTTATGTGGACAAATTACTTTCTTTTCGTCTTAACAACCATTACTTAAAACCGTACGCCACACTGAAGCGTGTATGCCATTAATCGTTCTCTCCCAAACTCATAACCTTTAAAAACCAATCTATAAGGTAATTTATTAGAAGGCACTTTGTGGAAAGCTGGCCTTAATTAGTCCCATTAGGCGGCCACATAATTGCTTTCCATGACCTAGACTCGGGTAAATTATTACTACCTCTCAGACTGCAACGAAGGTCCATATAGCCTACCTAATTATTAATCAGCTATATGAAAACCTTCCTAATGTATATGCGTTTTCGCAATAAGCCCATTCGGTATGCAAGCTGCGTGATATTCCATGCGGGATAACCACATCGGGCGGATATTTTGTAGCATTTGTTTTGTTATGCAAAAGAAATTGTCCATCTTTTGTTTTGTGCATATTAAGAAAAGGAATTTAATTGGAGTTGTTGGAATCGTAAACAAACGTTGATAATCAAACTCGTTGCCAAACAAATTGCATATGTATCCATGTAGGCCAAACAAAAAGAAAAACCTGGTGAAAACTACTACAGCACGTTAAAAAAAAGGCAACATTTGGCACCGACGGCAATATTACTCATGTATGACTTGAAATGAAAACGGCTACAAAATGACATTCCGGTAACATCAAAGCATTATAATTTCATTCTCTCATATTATCATTAAAGCAAATTGCGCTGCACTGACTATATAGAAGACGTCCGACGTTCGCGTCTCGGTCGGTCGCTCTCTCTCTCTCTCTCTCTCTCTCTACTATTTCATTTCCTCGGCTCTGAACTAACTTGACAACACTGTAATTAAAGGATATTAAACCAAACTGGGAGGACTTATTAGATTTTGCGTGGTGACAGTGATGCATGCGAAAGCTGGGGAAGTAATTGATGACAACAGGGGTAAGTTATGGAATCGGCGCGCCGTGCACGTAAGTATTAGGAAACAGCATGACCTGTGGTGCAGCCAGTGAATGACGGATGACGACTGCAGACACTCGCTGTCACAGAAAATTGCGCCAGATTTGTGGCTGATTAACGGTATCGTTTAAACGCGGAATTAACTTGTAGCTGTCACAAAAAAATCGCAATGTCAGTGGTGGTCGGTATTGTACGAGCGGCATGTTCATAATAATCCAGGAAGGGAAGTCACAATTTTTAATAAGATTCACCGTTGGTCTTAAAACAAAGTCTGTCAGATGAGTTACATTTCTCTTGGAAATTGCATGAGCACGTAGGGCACGCATACAGGCGGACAGATCTCCGCAAGTGTTTGCCGTCTCGTGTTTGGACTTGTTTCCATTCGTTTTCAAATAAACCAACAAAAAACTGCCTATAGAGTGCATTGTGAATTATTTTTAATGAACAAAGACATTAATTGGAGGAGGTTTGAACCTTCGACCTCCGACGGCAATCCAGAGGTTTTGAATAAAAAAATAAATACATGTAACTTAAAGTTTAGACGTAGTGTGTCCTTGTATGAATTAGATGATATCTATAACAAATGTCAAAAATCAAAAAAAAAATCGAGACAACACATGACAACAGCACCGCCATAAATGTCGGTACAATATTCATCTCTCTTTGGGTATAGGCACAGTTAGATCTATCCCAAGTGCTGGATGTGAAGGTCACACATAATGAAATTTTGTATTTATACCAACAGTGTCGACAGTTGCGAATTGTCGACTACATCAGACACCAAAACGTGTACGAAGATTGTAAGTGTATCAGTACAGAGAAAAATAACATAACAGAGTATACATATATAAGCAACAACTCATAAAGTATCAAGACGCTTTCGAAACCTCGACTTCGTCTCAGGCTTTGGCTCAGGAGATGCTAGGCCCCTGACGTGGACTCCGGCTCGATATGGGTTCATATTCTGATTCAAGAATACCAGTTCCTGTCGTATCAGAGCCATAGGGTCGTAAGTTTGATTGGTTTGCTTCTCAGTGATTCTGAAGCCAAAGGTGATGCCAAAGTAGTCGGAAACAAAGCCGACGTTTCGTAAACCTCTGAAGTTGTTATGCACTCAGATTCAAAAAAGAGTATAAAGGCAACTGTTGTCTTAACACGACTTTAAAAGTACACGGCTAGGACCTATAATTGAATGCAATTATCAGTACGGAATCGGCTGGCTGTGTCTGCAAGAAAACCGTGACCGCGCATACGATTAGCAATCCCTGGAAGTATTGAATAGCCATTAGGTCGTGTCCTTTTTGGTGACCAAAATCGATAACGATGAATCGATGAGCGATCACTGGCGATTGCATCCAGCCTTATAAGTTATTTACCATGACCATGAAGGTGATGACTTCAAAAGAACTCAATATTTTATACCTTGGAAAATTGCCATGGGCATTTGCCAGCGGGTGGTCATATTTTTTTGACCGCAAGTTCAGAGGTATATATAGTACTCACTTTTAGGTTATGAAATAAAGTGTTGTCAGTGCTACAACACAATCAGCATCATAACATTTAGAATAAAAAAGGCATTTTCGAATCCAAAAACCCCAATTAAACATATAGTTGTATGGCATGGACAGTTTTATACCTCATTATTTTTATTTTTTTGCTTTTCATTTATAGCATAAACTTTGGGGTTTTTTTATTTTAGAAAACAGACCATTCTTGTGAAATTTACAGTGATCGTGAAACCTCACCAGGACGTCATGCAAACTAGACATGTTCGACTAGAAAAACAATTTTTTTTTGAGAGTTAATTTTAAACGTTCGGGGTTATGAGGCGTATACGTAACGCAAACTTGTACCAAAAAAGCAGATTTGGTCAAAATGATTTTGAAACAATATACAACTGAGAGAATTGGACAGTTGATCTAAAGACTATGAGGTTATGCAAATAAGGCCTACGTGCGAGAGGCAAATTTATGGAAAAGAGTCCAATATGATTTTCAAACAAAAATACACTTATGGTAAACACTACCCAGCTGGCCTTATTATGTACAATAGTGATGCTAATGTCGATAGATCTGGAGTGGTGTTTGTCTCTCCGTACGATGCCAGCGATCACGCACAGGATTACTACGGCAGGTGTGTGGCTTGAATACGGACAGGTGGTCCTCTAGTCTGTAAATACTTCAAGACCTAAACACCACAAAGAGCCGGAAACTCTTCAAGCCGTTTCAGACTAGGAAGATTACGGAGCTTGATGGCAAGAAGGCATAAATGGAACGGCCGCCGTCAAGGTAGAAAAAAATATGGTCATGGGAGCATTATGGTATAGTAAAGTCTCACTGAAGCCTATTATGATGAAGGCCAACATGTGGATTTTGGGGGGAAATGTATTATTCTTATGTGGATATTGGGGTGAATGTTTCAAGTTTTTCTGCCGTTTAAGAGTAATTGGGTACACAAGAGGCTGTCCTCCATTTGAGTTTCAACTATGAGCTGATGACCACGAACATTTTCAGAAGTCGTCTGTCAGTAAACACAACGACAATATTGCCCATTTTGAATGACCATTTACGGAAAGTGCTAGGCCTACA